ACCTTTCCACTGCTGTTCTGGGTTTACTTGCCATTTCAATAAACAGGACTGCAGTGTGATGACTTTTGTCTATTTCATTTCAAAGCCAAGGTGCTGAAAAGTGTGTCAATGTCGTAATATTTATGTAGCCGAATGTCTTATGTGTAAGTGACGAAGCTGGTGATATTACAGCATTGCAGATATCGGTAAAAAAGCTTTGTGAAGTTTCCAATCCCGTCCTGTCAAAGCTCCAATGAGATGTGATGTCCCAAGGTGCTAATGTAGCTGGTGAGATGGTCATTTGTCATTCCCTCTCAACAGCTCTGTCATAGCTCATAAAGTTCAGGACAGCTCGAATCCAGTCAAAACAGTTTTACAATCCGGGCTGTCTGCCTCTGGAGAAGCCTGGTTAACTAAAGTGGCCCTCTTGCTAAAAAGTTTGGACACCTACGATCTAAAAAAAGGGACCTTTAACGCTCATTGAGAAACTGTTAGAAATATGGTTTAGAGTTTCTATTTCCCTTGAGTCAGGATAATGATGCACCTCCTCCAGAAGGCTACACAGTGTTGCTTTAAAGTGTTATATATGTTTTAAAATGTAAACATTGAATTGATCAAAAATAGCAACATTTCACGTCTTCAGATGAGACTTCTGTGACATTAATACTTAGATGTAATTAGGATTGCAAATAGTTATAGCTCAAGATTGGAACAGTAAAGAGCTTTTTATTAATCTTTTGCCATAATCTGCACATACTGAGTTCATGTACTTTTATCAAAATAATAGTGAGTGACATTTACTTGCAGGAGATATGGAATAAGTCCATTTAGTCTCATTAAGAGCTATTTCAATAAAACACCAACAGTTGTTTATGAGCTCCTTTTGACATTTACAAAAGAAATACTGGACTGACCAAAGAACGAACTGGCTTCAGCTGTGGCCATGATGTCATCAGTACCAGCGCAGACATGGACCCAGAAACCGATGCAACAATCTTTAAAGGGGATGTTAGACTGTCTGCTTGTCTCGTGAAAATGTGATTTTTAAGAATGATCTACATTCTACAGGTAGAAACTTAGAAATACTGTCTAAGTAAACAATATTTATTTAGAAACAGCGATTATGACCGTTATTCAATCTAACAAAGACTGTACATGGAATGGACAGTACTAACCCACTGGCTAATGAAGAATAATAGGGTAGTGCTCACCCCTGTAACTGTTTATGTCAGACTCAACAGCCTGTATACTAGGCAATGTGGGTGAAGTGTCTTGTCTAAGGACACAACAACACTTTTTGCACTTTACAGTCTTACCACTGTGGCACCTGGTGATGTTCCCAGAGGTCTCCCATCACATTACTAGCATCCATTTGATGCATTGTACCAGAGTTAGCCTTAGGCTAATTTGCATCTGTAGTCCCCTGGCAGGGAAGAACATTCCACGTACAGGTGGGTATAATAGCACAAGCATACATACCATAAAATACACATGTGTACACAGTCAGCAGATACACACAGGGCAAACACACAGTCACAGCCGTATTCCCACACACGTGCACACATTTATGACAAACATTGTTGTCTCAGAATTGATCATATTTGTGTGATCATTAAAATGAATGCCTATTTGAAGCTGCCATATAATCTGTATTTGATTTTTCTTCTTCTTCTTTCTCGCATGCCTGTGGAACAAGTCCTTCATGGATGTTCCCATCTCAGGGTCTTTCCAGCCACAGTACTTCTGATCTTTTTTCCAGAGGGTATTTTCCTGACAGCGGGTTTGCATTAGCCCACTTCTGGCCTTGATTGCTCTTGTGCACAAATCTCAAAGTATAATTACAGGTCTCAGCTTCTCATTTAAGGATTAGAGACTCTGTAATCGAATGGACCATTCTTCTAAAAAATCTCATTCCTCATTGACATTCAAGCGTACGGCAAAATATGTTTTATAGAGTTACAGCATGACTTTACGACTTCATCTCAACTCTGAGCCGATTAGCAGCTTTGATAGACCGACTTGACCCAATTCAAATATTCACTTATGTTTGTCCTGAGCCAAAGACACACCTGACATCTCAGAACACACATCTGTGTGACAATGCCATTTCATTTACAACATTTTTCCCTTATTCCCGAAATATTTTTGTATCAAAGATTACCGTAAAAGTTTTTTTTTTCCCTCATTGGATAATCGTTGTGTTTTTATTTGTGAACAAGCTAATCTTCTATTGGCCTGGAGGAGGCTATGGTTTGACTTGCATTCATCTGAAACAATGGTCTTGTGGCTGGATTTGATTTCTGGACGCATAATACTCAAGTGGAATATCCATGCATGTTCCCCTTGAGCAGACCCAGAGGACCACCCAAAACACTGTGTCTAAACAGCCGCATGTCCTACTCTGTCATTGTTCGGCTCTGTGATCACTCCCCATGATTACTGCCATATTTTCCAATGTGCCGGATGGTCCTATGATCCAAATTATAGTGTGAAGAATACATTTCAGATCATTAAAACACAACTATATAGCCCCTCTCACATTAGACACATGGCTCCACTTCACTCCTATGTAGTGGTTCTTGATTATTTAGCATCAATCTAAAACCACATATTTAGATTTTGGTTGAAGTACTTTATCGTAAATGTTCATGTTATGTATGTTCCAGTTTGTGGAGAGCCCCTTCCCTAGACCACAATCCACTTATTTATGCTCTTTTTTTCTACTCTACTCCAGCGTTCCTCAACCTTTTGAGCCGTGGCACATCGTTTTAAGTGAAAACAGTCCCATGGCCCACAACTGGCTGAAACTGAACTGAAGCCTTTACGAACAAAGCAAAGTTTCTCATCCATCCATCCATCCATTTTCTTCCCCTTAATCCATTTCTGGGTCGGGGGGTTGGCAGTCAGAGCTGCACCCAGTCCACAGAGCACCAGCCCCTCACTGATCCTCCTGCAGGTGGTGAGTCCACAGGAGCCTGGATCTTCCAGCGGGGGCTTCAGGCAAAGTGAGGTTAAGTGTCTTGTTTCTTATCTATTATTATTTTTTATAGAAACTCAAACTAGTCCAAAAGAGTTGTTAAAATCTATTCAACTTTCCATTTCTCTACTCTACTCGACTCCTGCAGAAAACAATGAGCTGCATTATGGCCAACACAAACAAAAAGAAAGAAACTATATCTCCATTGATCAAGTTTGAACATTGCTCAGAGACACACCACAAATGTAGAGCACCAAGATCCCACTTAGCCAATCATTGCAGCTTTATGGCTCTTTGTTTACAGGGGAAGTGTAAAACCAGCAAGAATTTGTTTTTTTATTGGAAAACAAATGACTGCCAAAATCCCCTGTAGGGCCAAACAGTGATGAGTGAGGTCTTTCTTCACGCAACCCGAGTGCAATGTTTCCTCTGGCTTCAGCCCACTTTTCCTTAATGTAGGTCAGTGGATTCAGTCTTTGTGTTTTGAACAGTTAAAATGTAAGGATCCCTCACGTTTGGACTGACCTCTTTCTTCAGACATGTCCGAGTCATAGCGGCACATGCATAGTCACACGTTCAGTTTTTCCAGTGGATAGACACACACTCACAGCTGCTCTGCTCAAGAACCACAATCCAGGGTCCACATTACGCCATCGACTCATTGGAAAATATTTGAGAGACTGTGAACTCATCCACAGTGAAGTGAAGTTTTTAGGTTACAGGCAAATGTTACAAGGTGTGATGGCCACAGTTAAAACATCACCACTTCATCAGTGCGAGCTGTAAATCATTCATTCATGTTGAATCAGAAAATGCAATAGTTTCAGTGGTTCTTAATTGTTTATTCTGGAATAAATATACAAAATTCAGAGACATTTTAAACTGTCTGAGTAGAAAAAAGAGCCAAACATATATTTACAATATTTTTTGCACAGAACTGGATAAATGTATACACAGTATACAGTACAGTCTACTTATGTCATTACTTCTGCTGTACAATGTGCAAAAGCTGGTAAAAAATAACAACTAAAACATTAAGACAATGCATTGGTCCAGACTGAGATGGACTACAGCTCAGATGTGCAGAAACACTCTGGACGTGGGGCCGTGAACAAGGAGAGCCACAATCAGGACAGTATAACAAAGGCATGCCAGTTTTTCTTCCCTAAAGTTTAGTGTTTCATTGATAATAAATGATGTGTGTAAACTGTGCCAGACAAGCATGTTTAACAGGCTCCATGATCTGCTGTGGACTGCGAAAAACACAAATGGCAAAGGAAGCAACAGAAACTCTGGAATCTCGTCAACTCTATTTTAGCTGTGAAACTAGTGATCACTATACTATTCAACTACACTAGTGAAAATGAACTCCTGAGATGTGTGTATGTCCTGTTTACATCCATCCCTCTGTAGGAAAAGGCCTTACATTCCATATATGGGCATAACAAATTTCCACTGCAGACACTGCTAATCTTTCCTATAAACATGACTTGTTTATCACTCTCTCAAACAGAGCCATAAAAATAATGAGCAAATTTGCAAATTCCTGGAACAATTCTACAAATGTATCGGTCTCAAACGGGCCAAGAGCCTTTTTCCAAACCCAGAATCACTGAAAATGACTGATTAAGCTAATCTTTTCTGAACATATGGCTCACATTTTTTGTCCTAAACAGCTGCACAAAAGTTGGTTTTAAGCTAATATTTGTTTTGGGTAATTAATACAACAGCAGGGCAGCAGCTGTCGCAGTGTCTGCACAAGAACACCAGAGTACTCCATATTGTTTGTAACTTTGAAGAAATCTTAAACTCCAAAGGTAGGAGGGGCCTTACAAAACAAATGTTGTTTGTATTTCAGAAGCGCCACACATCACCGTCTGTGGGGTGTGATGGTTTGTAGAAGTTCAGTACCTGCTGACAGAGGATAAATAACATTTGAAATGTGTTGTTTCTTTAAATAAGATCATTAAGGGTAATAAAGTCATCTCTGCAGAGACTTTCAGCCTTTCATCATTCTGAAGGAATATCATTTACTCCAATGCCCTCAACAAGGGCTGAGGAAACAGAAGTCCAGCTCCTGTGGTTTGCGCAGGTCAACGCAGTGTTCTCGGGGCAGCAGATGTCCGGTCTCAGCTCTGCAGACCAGCGGGCGCCTCTTGAAGCCTTTGCCACAGGTCCTGGAGCAGGGGGACCAGATCCCCATACTCCACTCAGGACAGGGGTCTCCACAGGTCCTTATGGCTGTAGGTCTTTGTGTAGGATCACAATCAAAGCCAGGTTTTCCGTCCGGTTGCAGACACTGCACTAACCTTCTCTGCAGCCCGTTTCCACAGGTCACTGAGCACTTGTCCCAGTTTGTGGCGAGCCACTTCCCTAAACCAGGATCCTCTTTTTTATACGCATTTTTCAGGCTGTTCTCATCATCCTCAGCTAGGACACTATTCTGAGAGTTTGCATGTGCGTCCTTCTTTGAGACCTTGTCCTCTTTAGTCAGTCGGGGCAGGTAGAAGGAGTAGCGAATTCGGGGCGGGGTCATCCTGCCGGCGCACAGCACTTCCACAGTTAAAGCTTCTCCTAAAGGTTTTACAGCCTGCAGAGTCTCAGAAGAGCCAGATGTGCCGCTGTAGCGCATCAGACTGTTCTTTATAATGATATCTCGCTCCCCAGACGATACAACATAGTTCCCATTCAGCAAATACTGTCCGTTACTGCTCTTTATGGCCAGATAGTTGTCATCACCCGTCATTCCCTTGTAACCTCGCTGTCGAATATCTATGTTGGCAGCACCCGCCGGGAGCATCACCACAAAGTTGTATCCATGCCTGCATACATTTCAAATAACACAACATTTAAAAGAATATACACTTTTTAATAAATCAAAGTATATATATAGTGGACTCACATTGGCTTGGTGAAGAGTCCTGACACTTTCTTGCAGCCTTTGTTGTCACCTCCGCATACGCCGCATTTATCAAACTTTTTAGTTGAACCAATTCTTTCGTCACAGCCAGCTTTGATGCACTTTCCTTGAACACACACTCCTGTTGTATCGGGGGAGCAGGGGGTGCCGTCTACCACCTGAAAAAAAGAAAACAGACACAAATATGTTGAGTATTTATCTAAAATTCCCCTCCCCTGTAAATTCATAAGGTTTACAGTCACGTCTTGGCTAAAGCTGGATACAGATGCTGATTTAAGCGTCTTGGGAGTATTTCTTAATCTCCTCTTTTGCCTGTTAGAGTGATGTGTGAACTCTGTAGTCTGGCCCATACACTTTCTACAGAAGACAGCTTTTTTCGAAACCTGAATAAATGGACCTAGAGGTGGTCCATCTGTGGTTGGATAATCATAAACCAATCATAGAGCTGCATTTCTTCATCATCACAATGGATTTAGTGACAGAGCACAATGTAATGCTTGGCTCAGTCCAGTAACATTATGATGAAAAGGCAGCTGTTTTAATTTAGAAACAAAGGAAATAAATTGATAAATGCATCTATAAAACAATTCATTCTCTGGAAAACAAATGCGGCTTGAATGTTGTGCAAAATTAATGAGTAGTATTGGATTGATGTGGCTATCCTTGCTACTGGTTTGATTCCATGGCCTGTGATCATTGGAGAAAAAAAGGATTTCTACTTCTTTCTAAAAACAAACACGATCTTTACAATAGCATGTTTTTTGTAAAGAGAATCATGCTACCTTTTGTGCGAGGACGTAGAAATAGCCGGTGCCGTTAGCTCTGCAGATGAGTTTGCACCGGTCATTTGCGGAAACACCGGAAAACTTTGGAACCCAAACGGCCGTGGCAAAGAGAGGGTTGGTGTTAAAACCGCGCCCACTGGTCTCACACTGCTCCTCTCTGAAGGTCTTCCCTGCTCACAACAGACAGAACGGGTCAGATGTGTGAATGCCCAGAGCCGCAACTTCACGTCCAACACACTACCGTTGTCAGGGCAGTGGTTCAGGCTGCAGGAGCGGTATTTGACCCGGACTCCTTGGCAGTATTTTCCTCCGTTCGCTGGCACTGGGTCGCTACACTCCCTTTTGGAAAGCTGGACACCGGCTCCACACGTGCGAGAGCAAGGGCCAAAAGCACCCCACTTACCCCAACGGCCATCCACCTGAAATAGAATCCATATAAGACTGCTTTTCTGATCCATGTAACATTGTAGGTTCAACTGTGATTTCTTACCTTCACAGTTTGGACATCAATTTTGTTGGTGCATATTCCACGGTCGCAGATCTGCCCCTCCCCGCAGTGGGTGCCGTCTGCCCAGGGGAAGTGCCTGGTCATACACACCGGATGGCCATTGGATTTTCCTGTGCACCACAATCGACCACAGGGAGGTTGCATAAAGGGACAGGGCTTAGACCCAGTCCCAAATGCAAGCTCACACTGACGGTCTAAACCGTAGGACACTCCAGCCAGAACATCAGGGAGGAGCATGGGTTTCTGTGGCACGTCCAGTAAACAGTCTCCTGAAGGGTCACAAAGAACATTCATTGAATACAGAGGATTCTGGAGTATTTTTTCATCTCTCTTGTGTGAGGTTTTGTGTGTGCCAGTCATCTCTGTTCTTGTGCAATTACCAAACTAATATACAAAGATATGTTACATCCTCCAGAGATGTACATCTGACATACAGTCAATAGATATTGGAATATACTTTTAACAGATGCATAAAATATGCATGAAGGAGGTCACTTATTTTTCATCTTCAATAAACAAATAACCTTGCAATAAATCAATAAAAACAATTACATTCCCATTCAAACTCTAGTTTTGAGGGAAATGTTTAAATAGTCCATCCCTGAGCCTCACTGCAGGGGCTCCTTGAATTCCCCAAATGTTTCATTAGAGTCACAGTCAAAGTCCTGCATATTCCACATCCTGGAATCAAGAAAGAGAGACGACATCTGCATAATGTGGGAACTGGGTAGTGTCCCGTCCGGAAATGCACAGCTGACCCAGCGCACATGACCCGCTCTTTGTGTGGGTGGGTATAGTCCCAATATATATGTATATATATATATATATATATATATATATGTGTGTATATATGGTCCTAATATATATATATTATGCATATTATGATATGTTTATGCAAAATGAGTGGTTTAAAGACCCCTCATGAACAGAGTCTGATCTGTTTACATGTTTCAGAAGTGAAAATTGCTCTTGAAAAGGCTGTTTTAGTAATGTTACCCTATCTCCAAATGATGGTACCCAATTAAAATTATTATTATTATATAATATATATAAAAATCAGTTTCATGCTTATTTTTGGGTCCTGGCCTGAAAGGTTTGGAAACCCTTGGTATAAATGATGATGGTTGTTGTAAACAGAAGAAAAAGCTGCAGTAGCTGCAATAGCACTAATGACATAGTAGTGTACATGTAAAAATATGTATTACATGAGTACTAAGTTACTCCCATTTTCAACGCAAGGAAATATTTTGTCAATTTTAACGGCAGTACACATTTCCTCTCGGTTCCATCCTTTTCACTCTGAGTGACCATCATTTAAATCAATAGCTGCCAATTCTGTTTACACAGAAATAGAGATATTACAAATGACTTGGGGCATGGCTGCATGGTAACATGAGGCAACATGTTGTTCCAGCAACGCAGCTTTTTGAAGACTATGACCAGCAGCCGGTAAGCACCAGGTTACAACACTGTTCACTAAAATCACTCCCAGACAAGTTTCCTCTGTGCATTTCTAGGGTTGCATTCTCTTCCGAGAGCTTCTGCAGTAAAGTGAACACAGACAGATTCTAATGTCGTTTTGTCTATTTGGAGTCTCTCTGCATGTGGAGCGGTTCGCGGGTGCACCTCTCCGTCCAAACCTCAGCGGTGACTCTTCTAAACAAGCCTTCTAATTTGATGCAGATGTCGGGTAGTTTTAAAATAAGAGTTGAGCATCTCTCCAGGGGTTTGTGGTTTGCCCTGCTTGGCATCGAGTCCAAATGGATCATTTCTGGTGATGGCCGCCACTTTTGTAATTTGATTATGCCCTTACATATGTGTGCTTGGCCGGAGACAAGAATAACTGTTGAAATCCTTAGAATGTGAACTCGGACAAATGGTTAAATGGTTACAACCACAAATACTCAAAGAAACCACCAGGAAATTATGGTGCAACTGTGACGTACGCAATGCTTATAGCAACTTTGGGGCACGTTGCGGTTATAGAGGATGGGACAAAACGTATTAATTAAAACAATAAATGAATAGAAGAAATACAACCTACAAATACAACCTATAAACAACGACAAGCCTGCGTAATAAAAAGTCAACAAACAACAAAAGGTCAAAATGTTTATATCTTTTCTTAATTCCACCTAAACCTAATTGTTGTATTGGACACCTAATTACCGATCAAGGCCTTTCAGCTTACCATGTCCTCCGTCCAAAAACTCTGTGATAATGGCGGCGCTGCAGGGAGACCAGGGGCTGGTGCGGTTGATCTGGATCAGAGTAGGAGACATCATGTGGTTATCCTGCAGCCTCCCAAACACATCGTCACAGGCTTTCACATTGTCGTGTGGCATGCTGAACACGTGTCCTGTTGAGAGACCATCACAGTTAACAGTGACGTACTGTAACGTTAAATGAATATTGTGTGCTGTCATAAATACGGTAGGTGTGGTGCTGGTCTCACCGAGTTCATGAGCTGTGGTGAAAGCAGAGGGCAGGCCGTCATCCTCGATCACAGAGCAGCTCCTCTTGGGGTCACACATGGTGCCCACGTCAGCCATTCCCAGAGTGTCACAAGTGGATGCTCCGCACAAGTCCTTTAAAACAAGGTTTTGAAGAAGCCAATTATTAGATTTTTTAACAGTCAAGTCCTCTCCACCTTAGCTTCAGATCAGAAAACATACAGTTGCTTCTTGGATACAAATCCAACAGGATGAACCAGATGTAAAATAAAGCAGTCAATGTTATGCCAGAGATTGATGTGGTCAAAGAATGTGGTTTCGGTAACTGGTAATGTATTCACCGCTTTTTCATGTTCATGTTTCATGTTTTTCATCGGTCAAATTCTTTTTTCAATAAAATCTGCCATTTTATTTGAACCAAATGTGTATTTTTTTTTTCAACCTATGACCATATTGTATAAATCTGAATATTGCAAAATCAACATATTTGATACTGTCCCCTCTCCCTCTCCATAACCACCACAAATTAAATTTTCTGGAAGAGACCAGCAAAATGGACAATGACAAGGGCTTTTTCTGCGTATCTAAATTATTCGGTCCAAATAGGAAGCAGTGGGGGCGAGAATGGGTAGGTCTTGCTTTGTAAAAAAAAAAAATGTACTCGCAATTCAAAAAGTAGCTGACAATCACTTTAAGAACTTTGATGTGAAGCAGGCAGAGACTTCAACAATAAATAACAGAATTATTCATAAAATAAATACTGAAAGGAACGTGCCCTGGATTCAGGACCTCGTGGAACACCTCTATCCTTTGGCGCCTAAAGGGTTAACTGGTAACTTTGTGTAGCGCTCACTTTTTTCCTACAAGTTATTCTGAAGGTAAATATCCCCCGTCATTGTATACACTTTCCAGATGACCCATTTCCTGACCACAGAACTTTACCCCAGTTTTATTGCATATTTAGAGTTTCTGACCAAGCCTACTAATCATAGCATTCATAATAACTGCGCAGAAACATCCATCTCCACTCTCTAAACAGCACGAGCATATACATTACATACATACACCCATTCACACTCTGGGAAATGCAGCTGCAGACAAAGACAACGCAAGTTTAACGTAATGCTATTGTGCAGCACTTCAGTTCAATCAATGTACTCGTAAAACGCTGAGCCAAGTGAAGAGCCATGATGACAAACCATTCCTCGCAAAAACCACAAATGCTGCAACTCCAAATGGCTTCCAGATGCTTCTATGTGCAGGAGATGACATCCAAACGTTTGGGTCATTTAAGAGGAGAAAATACAAATGTGCAAGAAGAACAAGAGGGACAAAGCAGCAGTGTCAATGAGTTTGTTGACCTACTTCTCACATCTGTCAACTATCATAATAGAATCCACTGTATGTAACTGTGTGCAAAAAAACAAAACAAAGATTAGACCACTGATTAGTTTGTGAAGTTTTGTTAAAAATGGTGCTACGATTGTATTATTCTAAACTGGAGGCATTTGAAATATTCTTCTTCTTCTTCTATTTTCTTTTTCTTTGTGCAGATTTAAGAGACACGATTCATGCTGCTTTTCCATTTAGATTTACAGTGGTGACCTAGAAAAGAAAATGAAATGAGGTAATTGTTTTCATGGTTAAAGGTTTCAAGCTTTGTAGCTAGAAGGTGATGTACAGTATAATCCTCCATAATTATTGTCATGATTTACATTGTATCTGCTCATCATATTTACTTTTATTCTAACTTAAAGCTTAAGTATCAGATTTTGAAACTATTTGGCTTCTGTCACATCTTACGGAGAGTACCAGCCAGTCAGCTCTCAGTGTGAATAAAATAAAATAAAATAAGGTGAAGACTGCATAACTCACAAAATGTCTTTAAACAGTTTAAAAAAAAGTTTTAAACAAAGAAAATGTTAGTTACTCCAGCTTTCAACGTGTGTCTGATAAAAGGAATTAGACAACATGTTGGAAATAATGATATAGCCTTTAGCGGCAGAACGTGCAGGCCTTCACTATTCAGTTTTGTTAAATCAAACACAGTCCTGTTGGGTTTTTTAATACAGAGGAAACAGCAGACCTTAGTGGTGTGCGGGTGTGGTCAGTCTGAGTTGAAACAGAGAGAAACAGGCCTGGATATCTCTCTCATATCTTCACCTGAATGGTTTTCCATCTTGAATATTTGTGTTGCATATTGATTTACGTAATGCGTTTTTTGAGTTGTTCCTCGTTGATGCAGGAGGGTCTAAGGACAGTGATAATCTGGGACATTAAAGGACATTAAAGGACATTTATGGACATTTATGGACATTGGCCATACCGCTACCATATACAATGGCTCCTATGTGTTTGTTCATACTGCATTTCCTGTGTCCTCCGAGACAACTGCTGTTGTGATTTAAGGCTATACACAAATAAAATGGATTGAAATAGAATTGAATGAGTGTGCCAGTGAATGAAAGCTGCTGCAGAGGTTGTTTTAAGGATGGAAGAGTCCTGTGAACCCGGGTTAACATCCCACCGCCCCTCAATCATGCAAGTATCCAGCTGTCCCTTTTGGATGAGTTTAGGAGGCCCGTGCAGCGTGGAGAACATGCAGCTGGAGCAGTGATTAAAGCAGTCAGCAGTACATCCCTGAGGCACTCGCAACACTTCCTAATGTTGCAGGTGAACTTTGCATCTGTTTTCAGCTTTACAAAACTACCTACTTTACCCTGAAACTGTAATTTAATTTCCCTTTCACATAAGCTTGCTGGTCGTACTCCCTAAAGCCTCACATAATTATGGATCATTGACTTCACTGTTGACCTAGTGTCAAATATGTGGGAGTGCAGCTTTTCCATTGAATGAAAAACTGCCCTCTCATGAGCAATGAAAGCAATGAAGGCTCTGCTTTCTCCTCCCCAATTACTTCTGACCTATGGTGTCAAAGCTCTCAGGGGCATATAGTTAAAGCTGGGGTACCTAACTTTTTGTTTGACCCAACATAAAGTGTCTCGTAGAAGTAATTTTTTGTGGACAATTCAGACCACAACATGCTGCCTTTATCTTATTAGAAAACATGTGATCTATTGCACACTTGTAAGAAAAAGTCCTGTTATTGACTGTAATCTGAGAGCTGATTGGCTGAGTAAGGGAGCTCCTTTTTCACTTTTCTGTTTGACAAGAGGACAATATTCATTGTGAACACTATCAGAGCGACGGCCTATGGGAGTTCAATGTAAGGTGATTTAACAGTTAGGTACCCCAGCTTTAAAGGCAGAATTATGCCTGCAGATCATGCATTGCTTTAAAATGAACAAAACACGTGGGGGTAAACATATATGAATGTGATGTTACCTCTCTGGTGAATAAGATTGCCGTGTCCCAGTACTCCGCATGCTTATCTGTGTTCTTGTTCATCTTTTTCTGCCAGGTGCAAAAGTTTCTGAGAGTCATTGCTGCGTTCCCGGACACCTTAGGCCCTTTGTCATCTTCAGTTATCACTATGATCTTCACAACTACGATGTTGATTGAGTTCAAAATGCTGGGATGCTTGTATAGTCGCGCAGCCACTGACATGAGTGTCAAAATATAGTGCTTTAGGTCATCGCCGTGAAACTGTGCCATGGATTCGTCTGTCGCTACGAGCGTCTCCACATATCTGGGTACTGACGCAAACCTTTTAGATCTTCCCAATCTCTGGATCGCATCGGTCACATTGTTGTCATCTGCAAAGTGTCTGTATTTCTCCAATGATTGCACAAGCTGTTGACTTATGTCACTGTCCACGGCACATCTGGACGTGGCGCTTGGTGTCAAGTTGCGGCTGATTCTGCGCCTGAGGATGTGCGCACTTTCCATAGATCTTGTATCATTCTGGACCGGAGTAATAAAGTATTCCCATCCTTGGAAACCAAAGGCGCCCTGTAAACCATTACAAAGACTCAGTGCTGCATAGGAGCTGCTGTCATCATTGACGTATCCGGAGTAGAAACACCGGTGCAACGCGCGACTGACATCGCTGCTGGATGGATTCGCCTCGTCTTGGATAGAAATACTTGATGACATAAAACTAGAGTCTTGGTGTAAATCAAGCAACAACTCCTGATGAAATGCTCTTATTTTTATGACACTTTTCCCATTAGAGCGGTCCACGTCGTTGTCAGAAACAGTCCTTCTGTCATGATTGTAGTTTTTTAGCCTGACAGGAAAGCAAAGTTCACTTTCCGTGCAACACACACGTTTGGATAATGTCAGCGCCAAATAGAGGAGAAGTTGTATTCTGATCAACATGACGATGCTCGCATTCGGGAGTCTATATTGCAGTGGTGGTGATGTGCCGATTGAGTCTGCAGGACGAGAGGAGGCGGAGAGTAATCCAATGCGCACTTTAGGCTTGTACAAGTCCACTCACCGCAGCACACTCCTCCTGCACAAGACCCATTCCTCCACCTGTGACTTAAGGCATCTGCGCCCACGGCCCGGGCTCAGGCGCTTTTTGTGAGGGGGCAGTCTTTGGAGAAGATCTCACAACTCACAAACAGACATAACTCGCCTGGCAAGAAAAGGGTGTTTTAATTAACACGCAGGGCAAGATAAATAGACTGCCAACTCTTTTATTGTGGTTAGAATGCAAAGACTTACAATTCAGACTATGGTGCAATTTAGTTTAGATAAAACATAGAATTATTGTTATGTATTTTATGCCCTATGGATGTTTTCCCGTTCAAAATAGTGTGTCTTGAATCCGTTCTCACTTTGGCAAAGATCGTCGTTTTTTATCTTTCTGAAATCTATGCATAAGACTAGCACTGAACTTTAGTCTGTGAACATGACAGGCTAATATTCACAGTCTATGGACAGGCTCCGTGGTCCATACACTGTAAGGGGCTGACCAAAAACATTGTTCAGGCTAATCTTTGCGCGCCGTCTGGCGGACAGAAATTAAATACAAAGATTTTCCAAATACCGTACAGAGAAACAAAAATCTGAATAACGGTTGAAAAGTGAGTTCACCAGTCTTTTGGTTTCTGTTATGCCTTTACATTATTTGAATAAAGAAAAATAAAGAACGATAATCTTTTGTTTACTCTTGGTTGCTATGGACGCGGCATGGGTTGCTGTGCTAAGGACCCCAACTCTGAGGTGTTCGTAAAAAAGCCCGCGCAACTCCCAAGTAACTACTTTAAAAACACATACTAAATCCTAAAATTATAATTCAACATAGAAATTAGATGAATCTGTGTTTAATCGAGTATTATAAAAACGTATAGAGTCATAATTTTAAATAATCAACCTAATCACTTAAAGACAGGCGCAGTAAAAACGACTGAACCGATAGCTGTTGCCCCAAATCAGCCATAATTTTACTTTTAATAATTATCCGCTTTGTACCTCTTGATACGTATTTATATTATCTACGAGCTATCAATAAGAGCCATGCATCATAGTTGTTATTATTGCGCGAATATATTTAATTACTAACGTTAGCCTTAAGTTAGCCAAAAGTTTTTGCTAGCGTTAGTAAACGCATGTTACATTTTTGAAATGAATTTATACCACGTTTTGGAGATTGCTGGAGAGGGTTCCTTTGGTCGAGTTTACAAAGGAAGAAAAAAACACAGCGGGGAAGTGAGTTCTTAAGAGTTTAACTATCTTTAAGTTTTACGGTTTGTTATAATACTAATCCTGTCACCTCTTTGTCATTGCACCTGTGTACCCAGGTTGTTGCTCTTAAATTTATGCCAAAAGTGGGTCGTTCTGAAAAGGAGCTCCGAAATCTCAAAAGAGAGATTGAGATTATGAGGGATCTTCAACATCCAAATATTGTTCAACTTTTTGACAGTTTTGAGACAGACACAGAGGTACTGCTGTAACATGCAAACTGAGAGAGAGAAGGGAGTGTGGACTGGATAATAATGCCAATTTATCGTGTATTAGGTAGTAGTTGTAACGGAATATGCCGAAGGTCAACTGTTTCAAATCCTTGAAGATGATGGTCATTTGCCAGAAAGTCAGGTATTGAGTTTTATGGTCGTATAGTGTCATTTGAGATATTTATGTCATTCACATATTTGTTGTCAATATAGGTCAGAGATATAGCCTGCCAACTAGTTTCAGCTCTTTATTATTTACATTCCCATCGCATTCTTCATCGTGACATGAAACCTCAAAATATCCTGCTGGGGAAAGGTGGAGTGGTGAAGCTTTGTGACTTTGGGTTAATATTTATTTTGATATTTCTGTACACATTCAGTTCTTCATACAGTATTATGGCTGTTATATCTTATCGATTATATCTGTGTAGGTTTGCCAGGGCAATGAGTGTGTCTACTTTGGTCCTGACTTCAATCAAAGGAACACCACTGTACATGTCTCCAGAACTTGTGGAGGAGAAACCCTATGACCACACAGCTGATCTCTGGTCCCTGGGTTGCATTCTTTATGAACTCCACACGGGGGCGCCCCCATTTTACACTAACTCTATCTTTCACTTAGTGCAGATGATAGTTAGAGACCAGGTCAAATGGCCACCAACAATGACTGCCACATGCACGGTAAATATTAGTTATTCAAAGCACAAAAAAAACATGTTGTAATAAAGTGATTATTTTAGTATTGTGTATTCTAGAATTTCCTAAAAGGATTGCTGACAAAAGACCCTCAACTGCGGTTGTCATGGCCCGATCTTTTGCAACACCCATTTGTTGAAGATGGTGTTAAGGGTACGTATGCATACATACATCTGTTTGTGTGTTTATGTGGTATTCATTTTTCTGCATTTCAGTTTTTTCAGATTCAACCGTGTTCAACCCCCTGACAGAAACGCCTAGTCCTGATATGGTGGCGTTGAAGCTTCAGCAGGTTGCATCAAAGACACCACTTGCTAAAGGGAAGACTAGATTATTACAACATGGCTGTAAAAAAGGACACTTTAAAATCAAAGTTAGTGGTTCGAAAGCAATATGAATACTTTTAATTGACTATGTTTAAACAATCTTTCTGATATTGACAGAAAATAGGTGATTGTGGTCAATCCAAGTCAGTAGACACACATTTTACCCCTAAACCGACAAAGCCCCAAAGAGAAGTTAATTCACAATGTGGTAATCACCAACAGTCCAAGTATGGGTATGTCGAGATGAATGTACTATACAGAGTCTACAAAGATATATAGATATAAAGATATAATTATAAGATTATGTTTCATGTTTAATTGGCAGGACTCAGATCAGTAGAGACTATGCACAAGAGTTCCCCTCTGTTGAGGTTGGTCCTCAGTTATTTCGGAGGTGTTTGGAAGAACGAAGACGCTCTTTGCATGTAGAGGTTAGGGAGAGCTGCCATTTCATTCATGCCAGACGTTTGCTTTAATTGTATTATTTCTATAGAAGCTAGAGACTGAGGACTATTGGGGAAAACTGCTCCAAGAAGTAGACCAAAACAGACTACAAGTGCTTGGACATAATGATCTCGTTCCAAGGCTGAATTCAACATTCCTTGCTTTTAAAACTCAGGTATTTGTCAGAATGGATAATCAAATTAATTTGGGTCAATGAATTAAGTGTATATGTATTATATTTGAATAGCTCAAAAGTGAATGTGTATTGGAACCATTGGAGATCCATCAGCCGTTGACGCTCCTAAGCCGCCTGATCCAGTCCGACATGAAAGACACCGACGACCTCTGTCAACAGATCGGCTTGCCCCATTTGCTCTTTGATTTAATTCATACCATTGTTGTAAACTCAAACAACTCAGAGGTATCTTTAAACAAATATTATGTGATTGATCAAAAATGCATGATATTAATCCAACTGTTGTGCTTTAGCTTCCATGGTGTGTTCCAGCACTGGGAGAATTGTTTCAGCTGCTCCTGATCGTTTGGGCCGGGCATTGTGATTGGACAGAACTTGGATTCAGGTTTTTAATATTATTTGGTTGTTTTTTTTCATAATTGTGTGGGTACTTTTGCTCAACAAATTGTTTATTTTACAGTCAATTGGAGGAGCACTCAAAGATGTTTGTCATGGTTCTTAATCAACCCGAGTTTAGGACTTTAGCTGTAAGTAATAATAATTTGGCCTGATTTTTGTTGCTTAGGAATAAAAATGCATATCTTTGTATAAGCCTCTTGCAGCCAGTGTGTTGTCTAACTTTATACACCATGATGTACCTGTGGATTTGGATGTGGATATGCTGATGACATTATTTCGGGAACTTTGGGAAATACACGAGGTACAAATATTGTGGATCAGAAATGAAGTAAGCACTCATTTGAAAAAGTGTGTTGTTTGAAATTGTCTGTGTTTTTCTCCTTCAGGATTGCATTCCCAGACCGGAAGGATGGGGCATGTTTGACGGAATCCTGGCTTTATTGCTACACACATTATCAGAGGTCAAAACTGATTATAAAAGAAACACAAACATTTACACACAATCATGTTATTCATCATCACAATTGTATTTTTAGCATGAAGGTGGACAAGTTATGCCATGCGTAGACCCAGATTTTTTCCTGGAACTATGCAAAAGTGTTAGTAGTGTCTTTAGAAAAACGCCACCAAACACAGACTTCTATTCGGTTAATGGTAGGTTGTTTATGATTGTCTTTTGTCTAATTTGGTGAAAATGCTATGTATTTACTATGTATTGTATATTCACAACAGGAATTTACTCCTTCTTGTCTTTGGCACTGTCGGTTTTCACCCAAGATCCAAACTTGTGCATTCCCCTGTTCACTGACACTTTATCAAAAAGCGTGCACACACTGGGTCTGCTGCTGAAGCCTGATTGGTTTGTGTTTTAATCTTTTTTAGCCATTCGTTTTGTCTTTTGTATTTGTCTGTCTATGATTAACTGCCTAAATGCACACTGTCACTATTGAGATTCTTGTATTTCTTTCAGTCTGGGCTTGTTTGTGGGAGACGGCTCACCCAGACTGCAGACTGATTGGACTCTTGACAGCTTGTCCGTGTTGAGCTGCCACTTGTTGTGTTTCCCATTTGCTCTGGACGTCCCTGCTCTCACCATGTCCAAGATTCTGGACTTGTATGTCAGCAGTAATATTATTGCAGGCCTTTTACAGGTTAGGACCTCATAATTCGCCTGATAAAGATCTCTGTCTCACTACTGTTGCAAACACAATGTTGTCTGATGCAAGCCTGGATAACTCTTGCAGCAAACTGGCATTAAGACATTGTGTACACATTAATATGTTTTGCTGTTTCAGAACAGATTGCCTGTTATTTGCTCTATGCTGTTTGATGGTAGGCCAGGTGTCAGAATAATGTTTTGTATTTTTATGTTTTGGCAGGTGATTCAAACGCTTACCCCTTCATTATTAGAGCTGCCTCTCTCGCTGTTGAGCCGCCTGCTGCTGTGTGACCCTGAGCGCTCGCTCCCTTGTCTTGGAGATGGTGATTTCTTGATGCTCTACCAGGACAACCGCGTCTCTGTGTCTGAAGATACTGGAGGCAGAAGTGCCATGTCTTTGCTCTCAGACCTGCTTCAGTCGGACGTCCTGTGGGAAGCTGCTGTGGAGCTGCTCTCTGTTCTGTCACAAGTTGCTCGATGCTCCTCATGTCTTTACCTGAACGGCTCAGTAATATGCTACGCACTGACACACACTCATGAACCAGTCAGAGCAGGCACCTGCAGACTAATGGCAAATTTACAGATGAATAGCCTTGATGCATTGTCGATCATGAAATGTGAAATTTTCCATCTTCTTGTAAAGTGCCTGTGTGATCCTAGCACGTGTGTGCGTCGTCTGGCCTGCAGAGGCGTCGGGAGCTGGTTAGGAGGCTTGGCTAAAGCAGAATATAAATGTACTGGGTCCAGTATTAAAAATGGGTTGGACGTAAAGGATTCTACCAAAGTAAATAGGAAAACTAAACCAAACAAACAGAGTGGCTGTATCACACTGGCAGAAAAAGGAGAGAATGTGGAAAAGTGGAGTGAGGCATTGAAGAGCTGTGTTGCTCCTCTGAGCTCCACTCTGACTGACCTGGACACTGTAACTCGCCGTCACAGCTGCTGTGCACTGGCCAACCTGCTGATGCTGGACGGGGCAGTGCAGTGGCTGTTGGAGCAGGACGTGTCCAGGGCTCTGCTCAAAGCGGCCTGTAGGGACCCCCAGCACCCAGTCAGACAAGCGGCCATATCTACCCTGTGTATGTTCAGCCAGCAGGAGCCCATACGCCAGGTAGGTTTATCATTCATATATTAGAATTCTACTCATCTCTTTTAATATGAAAAGAAGCTCTGTAATACATAGTTATTTTATGCTTCATGAGTTTTAGCTTATGCTTTATTCAACATTTTTGTGTGATATATCTTTTAAATGGTCATATTTTCCTCATCATTATGATTACTAACGATAGAAAGTATACGTTGGTTAGTCTTGATAAAGCAACCATGTAACCGTAATGATAACCATCAACATTTCAGAATCACATATTTAATTGTTTCTAACAAAATTAAACACAATTTTACTACTTGTATCTAATGGCATATAAGATCTTACTAATTTGTGATCTGTATTTAAAAGTCAGATAATAGACATTTTCATGTATTTTCTCAGATGCTGATATCACTTGATGCCAAAGGGAAACTTTTGCAGGCTTCACTTACATTTCCCCAAATGGACTATACAGAGCTCATTGAACACTTGTGAGAAGTTCATACCTGGACTTTAAGATGGATCTGAACATTGTTATTGACGAATGTGTTTTAGGTCCTTATCTGGCCGTTTGCTTGTTTTTTGTTTTTTTACTAGAGACGTGTTTCTCTTTAGAGCGCGAGCGTCCTTATTCCTTCCCTTATCTCAAACTTGTTATAGATGTGCTTTTTTTAAATGTATCATATGAACAAGTCAATTAATATGATTATCATTTAGTTATTTTTTTATATTTATAGTAATAAAAATACAATTATTGTTTCGTGTGGTCTTTTTTCAAGAGCCGCTCGCGTTGATTTACCCGCGCGGGCCGCGCTATAGTGACGGCCTCAGTGCGTATGGAAAACTGAAATTCGACTTGAAAACTCTGATACCTCCAAATAACTTGTACCACAAGTGAAGTTGAGCAGAGGACACTTTATTTTAAAACTATTACAAACACAATAAACATGTACTAAAACATAGCCTGGTATCGTTTTTGGTCTGGACAGTGAAAGCTGATAGTACACCGCAGGGAGAAAGACTGGACATGTCCAGGAGTCAGCGGGACTTTAGATTGTCTTTAAATGTGCGGTGACCACGGCACGTCACATTCGCATAATGCAAAATACACTCAGCCTTCAGAAGACATTTCATGAAAAAGTAAGAATATTATCAACAAAATAAAAACACATTCCACTCCCTGAAAAAACAATTACAAAGTTAGTGCAGATCAGCCAAATCAGGCCTTGAGATATTGCCTAAAATAGCAGTGCAGAGAAGTCTCCAACTTGAGAAAGTGTTATGAAGAAAACACAATGCAAAGAGAAAAAGTGCATGCACATGGAGGTGGAAAAACCTACAATTTAATTGTTCATCACAAATATTTGTCCCTTATTGTGAACATTTGTGAGATTGCTTTTTACAAATCGTCCTGATGCTTATATTATTGGGGAACTGAAATAGCAAATAAAAATAAAAAAACAACACAAAATGTACATGAGTGCAGATGGAAATGAAAAGCATTCTTAAGAGGCATGTTTTCATGAGACCTCTAATAATCACATAAAACTGTCTTTATAATTAAAAAAAAAACCTTTATATGATCCTCAAGGGAAGAAAATATAAAAATGGGGACCGGTAGTAATGTCCTCTTAGAAGCGAAAACGCTGTTTTAAAACCAAAAAAATTAACAAATGTGAATTAGCAGAGAATTAAATGGACAATTTCTATTGCTGACATTAGTACTAATAAGGCGGTTCATTATGCTATACCTGCATGTATTGTTACAATTTCTTCAGAAATAACCCAACTTCAGTCACATAAGATCTGGTAAAAATGATTGTCGTTCCAAGCATTTCAATGCCACAGTGCAGACTGAAGGGATTAGATATGAAGAGTACAACTAATGGAAGCATTGGATAGACTTGTTTAAAAAACAGACAAAACAAATGGTAGCAAAGCATGCAGTAATCCCACCCATCACATTCGAATCTGAACAATCGTAAAAAGTAAAACTCCATCCTCTCCTTCACATTAGGCGGTAGTGTCCTGTTTGAGCCTCTGGCTGCGTGCTTTGTAAACTTCGATGAGCAGGTCTTTGACATATTGGATCTCTCGCTCCACAGATTCAGCCTTGTCCCGCAGCTCACGGTTCCTCCCCTCCAAACAGTGCAGCTGCTCCTCCAGTGAATCCAGCTCTGCTCTCTTTCTCTGCCTGTACCTGGATAATTAAATTAATTGATTAGAAAAAATATTCTTGTCAAACTACTCAGAAAAGTTATTGTAATAAGTTCATGCTTACCTGTGTGCAGCGGTTTTATTCTGATCGCGTTTCTTCTGTTTGCGCTCCCCGCCTTCCACTGGGATGAGGTCCACCTCATATTTGACTGGACAGTGATCCTCCTTCAGCCTGCACGCCTGTCTGTGCCCCGACGCCTCCAGGTTCATACTCTCTCTGGACATTAGGAAACACTCAGAGCTCTGCTCTTCAAGGAAGCCGCAGTGCGGATCGTGCTGCCCCATCTGTAAGCCCTCTGCTTTGACCTGCTCGTTGATGTTGCCTAAAAAGCTGTGATAGGCCTCAGACGGAGCAGTGGGGAGATAACACTCACTGCCCTCACTCTTCCATGACACTGTGGCTTTGGTCACTTCCACACTTGCCTTGATGGTGTTTAGAACTTCGCTGCTACCGGTTCCTCCGCTTACTTCTCTCATGCTGTACATAAGCAGATCTTCTTTTTTGTGTGGGACTTCGATTGATCCACCAAAACCATATCCACCACTGACAATCTTTGCCGTTCCTAAAATATCTTGACTGAAACAGCAGTTCTTTTCTTCTTTTGGTAGAACCTGACATCGCCTGACCTCGACGGCACTGCCCAGACAGTAGCTTTTCCCCAGAAGTTGTTCGTCGTCTGTGCAGCTGTAACTTCCTGTCAAAGTGACGGCGGAGCTCCCTGAGTTACTGCCTTTGGAATTCAGCAGACTTGTGTCATAGCCTTCACTGAATCGCAGCCCATCCACCCGCTTTCTCCCGCTTCCAGTGGGGCGACTGCAGCTGTACGGGGCATGTCGTGGTATTTTGGATCGTCCGAGGGGCCCGCCACAGATGCTCAGCAGGTCCAATTCACCGGTTGCCAGGGTAACAAGTAGTGGACTGGTCTCTGATTGGCTGGACGTCGGATATGATGAGTATGGCAGCTGACTGAACGCTTGTGGACCCGTTGACGTCGGACCCTTGTCGCATTTTCCCAGCCGTGGCCCCTTTTCTGGCAGTGGTTCTGACAGGAAGTAGTCCTCCAGCTGAGCGAGCTCTTCTTGCAGCAGAGAGGTCATGACCTCCAGGTCCGAAGGCACCTGAATATCATTGTGAAGGGGTGAAGGAGGTAGGGAGGCATTGGTGGAGGAGGGAGGGGAAGGAGGGTGTGGGAGGTACGAGGAGAAATCCACTTCTTCTGTCATCCAGTCCGTGAGACCATCACCTGAGCGATACACAAAAAACGGAATCACTATATGCTGAAGAAAGCGACTGCAAAAAGTAATCACTCAAAAATGACAAGCACAGTAAAAATACGAATCAAACTTGAACGGAAAACGTGAAACTTAAAAAGTTGCATTTGCCGAACGCTAATTGTAGCTACTTTACTACTGTTCAAGAGGAACGAATGTGCTGCAGTGCCGAGCCCACCTGAAATGAGGAAAACTATAAAAAAGCGTACCCGCTGCAACTCACCAATTAAGTGCTGCGTCTCCTCTGACACCTCCCCCCTGCACCCCTGTGATTGGCTGAGGTTAGCCTGTGGGTGAGAGAGAGCGAGGGGGTCTGCCAGGCACACACGCAGACTCTTCCAAACAGGAGCCGAGGTTGCCATCATGGTGTTTGGTCTGATTTAGTCCAAGTCCAAGACTGTCGTGGAGTAGGTGAGCTGGGTCTGACAGATGGGCCACAGACAATAGGATAGGGCAGGCATTGTGAGACCTGCAGGAAGACAACATAGGTCAAAAATGTCAAGCAATAAACAAAAAAGAACAAAAGGATTATTTAAGTTATTTAAGGTTAAACTAATTATAACCACTGGAGAGGTATTTTCCACATACAATAGTGTATGATTGATTATAACACATTGTGGAGCTTTAATAAAGTAAAGGCATCTGTGCCTCTGGACCCATTTAGACCAGAGCACTGCCTCAAAGACACGTGGGACTCTGTGACGTTGTCAAGGGCCCAACTGTTGATAGAAAGGACCAGATTAACTGTCTGTCTCCCAGTAACTCTTACTCAATATGGATTACCGGAGATCAATTACTTGTAATCTCACCTTCTTATTCGATTCATCAGATTTGCAGATTTTGAGGATTGTAAACAATAAGGTCACGTGGTATGTGATGTTGTTTGAAACGGCTGTTATGAAATAAGATTATTATGCTACTCTTTACGTGAATGACAAGCTGATTATCTATACAGTTCATACAGATATGACGCATATATGAGCGCTTCCCAAACAACTGTTACAATCTAGCGAACACAGACGTGAACAAAGGATCCCGTTACACGGATAGAAATGACCCTGTGATGAAGAAAGTTTCATTACGGCTACTACAAAAACGTGTAGTGATATCAGACACAATTCTAACATGTATGAAAGACATGAAAAACCATGAGAAAAGTGCCACTTACTCCATTCTTGCGGAAAATTGTAGGGCACTTAAGGTGCGTTGCGAAAGCAAGCACGGCTTCTTTGTCGGTCCAAACGGTTGAGAATTTACAGAGCCATTGTCGCCGATATCCGCGCAGCGAAGGGATGAGTTGTTGCTTTGTTGTTGTCGACCTGAAAACTGGAGGCTGTATAATTGTGAGAAAGCATCAGTTCATTCACACCTAGCAACGGGCTGCGTCACTGAGGAGGAGGCTGCGCTGCAGACACCCCGCCCACGCGGCTCAGGACGGCCCACAGGCGCGCGCGGGCATGGGACAAGACCACCCCCTCCTTGTTTAGGATCTGTTTTGTATGCGAGTTAAGTAAGATGTTTTTCAAATAGTTGAACCATCGGTCAATTTTATTATTCTATATTTTACACATAGATGAACAACTAGTTTATACTAGTCCTTCTTCAGATAATAAGTTGAACTGCATTATTCTATAGTTGTGGCAGTATCTTGAGATAGTATCGTGTATACTGCCTATAGTAGTATGGGGCTATTGTTTTGGTCGCACAGGTCGCTTTGTTTTTCAGCCCATCCTGCTCAGTTGCCTCTCCATTGCATCAGGAGCTCAGAGCGCCAGAGATTGGCTGTCTGTGTGCTGTGCCGCATTCTCATTGGCTCAGATATGTGCGCAGTGTAATCTGATTGGTCTGTTGTAGTCGAGGGTAAAGAAGTGGTGGGTTGTTTTTGTGGTGGCGCCGCCCGTTGCACATGTCTCACGTAAACAAACCGGGATCAGCGTCCGGGACAGTTTTAGCTGTCTATTTTTTCCCCAACACTTTAGATTTTTACCTAAACATTATTTACAATCAAGTATAAACAGTTCAGCAGGTGTTATGTTGGTTATGACTATCTGAATATATACTTTTTTTTACAATAACATAGTGTACTATTAATACATACATCATTTAAGATACTTGACTAAACCTGTTTAGTCAAGTTCATGAAAATGAAATGTATTTGTTTTACTACTCTTACCTTAACAGTAGTAAAACTTGCAAACTAACGTCCTAGTTGAATAACATAAAAATATATGTGGTTATTGTTTAGTCTATTTTCAATCTTTTTAAAATATGTCTTCACTGACATATAATATATTTGTAAGTAAGTAAGTAATCTTTAGTTTTACATTGATTTTTGTCAAATCAATATTTTTTTAATTACTAATGCAACTATTGTATCTCACAGCAAAGACATTATTTTTTACAGAAATGTTAAGAAAAAAAGTTACAATATCTGATAAATCAGTTTACACACAAAGTGGCATTCATTAATGGATTATATTAGTTATTGTCGGTGCGTGCTTCTGTTGCTATAGCGATAGTGGACACTGCTCTATTTTAGAATGTTGTCTGGTTCCTGTTGCCATGGGATTTGCATCTCTCCCTCCTCGTGCTTCAGCGTCCTTCCTCATCCTCACCTCAGCTCACTCCGCCCTGCACGGCGCTCCGCTCTCTCATTTGCTGAGTTGCCTGTCTGAGACAAGATAATTTACCAAAACAAATAGGCTGGTGGTTACATTTGCTGAATTAGCATGCCATTACAGCAATGATGTCCCTGCACCATTAGCAAAATAAAATGAAGAGCAACTACATTTTAATAATTAGAATCTATAATAATGCATGCCATTGTTGTTCAGTACTTATTTAAGTAATCTACTAGTTGATATAAATACATTAGTTATCTGTGTCTTTGTCCACATATGCTTTTCTGTTCTCAGAGATCTGAACATAATCAACATATATGAGTGCGCAAGTTGAAGAAAAGCAATCTGATGCAATCACGATAAATGTGTTCCTAATGGAGAGACTGGTTTGGGATGAGGATGCTGCGAAGTCGCCCTGTCTCTTAGGAAATTGCTGACTGCTCTTTGTCTGTCTTAATTGGCCCATTGAGATTTACCTGTTTGCGCATCATGAAATACTATTTAACCAAGGCGTGGTCCTTTATAAAACTACAAATTACTATATTGTGTAATGTTTGAAATAGATCTCTCATATGACTGAAAGCAGTGATTATGAAATGTGTTTTAAAAATGTGTCTCTGCTGCTGCTGACATATACAGTATTAAGTACATCGCATCCTTTTCCAATTTCACAACAATGGCACACTGCTCTGACTCATTGTAAAGAACCTCATCATTCTGTGGGAAATAACCTTCCTGATGTGATCCATAGAAATAATTGTTTTTGTTAGTGTTATAAGAAATTTTACATTTGTTATAATTTCACCTAAAATCAAACTTTTCCTTTTATTGGCTCTACTCTTATCGAGATCTCGGTCCAGCCAGTGTTATTGTATCAGGACGTGCATTGACAGAGAAGTCAGAAAAGTCATGCTGCATGCCAAGTGCATGTATGGCACGTTAGTGAGCGTTTCACCATCATTTCATCATCATCATCATCATCATCTACCGCACTATTTATTGTCCTCAACTTTTGCCCTCTTTGAACACAATCAAAAGCACTGATTTTGGTTTCATCTTGTGAATGAAGTGTTTATATGTTTGTGTTTTGCATAACATTCAACCTATTTCTTTCATACCTCTTGTTTCACTCAATAGAAAGAGTCTTGTCTAACCAAAGTTTTGTGAAAAAATCAGTTAACAACATTTGTAAACATGTTATCTTATATATTGAGAGCTGATTGGTTGTTTTATGATGGTCCTCTCTTTTTCACTTTTCTGTCTGAAAAAGCTGGTCAAAGATGTGACAGAGACCAAAAACATGCACGTGAATATTAGTGATTGAGTACCAAAATCCAAATCTTCCAATTGTTGTTACTCTTTCTTGGTACAGCATGCTGTACAAAGGATTGGAATGTGCATGTTTTCCTTCTTCCTTCTTCCCCGGGCGCTGCACTGTGGCGACCACTGCAAAAGAGGGCCCTAGTGACATTACAAGACGGGTTAAATGCAGAGGGCCAATTTCCCTATGGGGCAATAAAGTATAATATACTTATATACCTACATAAAAACCAAGGGATGGTTCTATCCCTGGGTTATGGTCCCATAACAGAACAGAACCAAACCGTTTTGAGAGCTACAAACTAGTTATATGGATTATATTAAAAATGACATTTCCTTTAGTTTTAAAGTCCTGCCTTACTCCAGGAAAATTTCCCATTTCTCAAACTTTAATGAAGTATTAACAAATATTTAAAAGAAACTGCAATCAAGTATTAACACATGTTTAACACATGTTTAAAATTCACAGACATGAAACAGATGAAGGAGATGATGATGATGATTATTATTATTAAAAATAGTAGTAACAATAATAATATTAATAATAATAGTGTTCTTATCCTTCTTACAGCGTGCCGGTCTAGATGAGAGGCTTTTTTGTCGTCCATTGAGAAGAAAGCTGCATTCCTCTTCTGCACAGGCGCCGCAGTGTAATTGGGCCTTAGTCAAAAGTGCTGTTGCCTAGTCAGTTGTTTTTATCAGAAATGTTGTCTGTGTCTCACTTAAAGTTGACACGGTTGTTCTTTCCAAAGTGCGACAGATAACACAGGTCCCACGTGGTTTGAGCACTCAGCTCCGTCTGTCACCTCCGAGCTGCACACACACAATACTGAAACAGATGCAGCTAAAGTTGTGTGGTTTTAGTACTTCCATCTACATTTACTGGTTCACGATGTTATTCACAGTCATATGGACCCATTACAGACTTCTTCCATGTCATTTCACACGGATTTTGTGGGAACAGAAATCATTCATTGAGGAATATTGCTATATTAATATTTATTAATTGAGACTCTGACATAATGAAACTACACTGTGCTCTCTAAATATTATAAAAGTGGCAAGGTAAAAATGTTAGACTAAGACTAAATCCAAAAGCCTATTGTGATTTTATTGAAATAATTGAGTATATTTTGCAACCTTCCAAGCAGATAACTTGTGTGACTCTCAGTTGATGTGTCTTAGTCAGAAAATGCAAAACCTCTTTTTTCTCCTCCTGGTTTAATAAAGTGGGTATATTTATATAAACTACTGTGAATTGGGAAGAGACTTTAAGTGACCACGTACGTCGGTCTCTTTCTGACACATTTGTTTGAATTAAAGGAAAAAGATAAGATAAGATAAACCTTTATTAGTCTCTTTAAAAAAGCTACTTCAATGATATATTTGTATTGATACATGTTTGTAAGGCACAAGGCAATGAGACAAATAAAACCTAAATGTGAAAACAGAAAAGAACACAGCAGAGTGAATGTTTTTGCAGATTTTTCAGTCCCTGCTCCAGTCAGACAGTGTTTTGTGGAGGTCTCATTATAGGTCAGTTTGCAGTTACACTTATTCTCCCTCTGGATGTTTTTGTGATACAGTGGTTACTACTTGCTACGCGCTCACAAAAACATGTCTCTTCTTTTGCCCCTAATTCATCTATTCCATACCGACTGTGTCTGTAGTGACTGTAATTGAACACTTCCTTCAAAGACCTGGTTTGTTCAAAGGGTTAATCACTAAGAGGGAAACTTGGATTGGAGTTTGCATTGGTTTAGCGCAAGCTGCTTTCATCTGCTCCACATCTGTCTATCCACATGTATGCCTGGATACCGGTTTTTTTCTCTTTTAATCACTTAAATTACTTTGAACTTAAATGTGGATACAGAAAATGATTAATTTCACAAGTTAAAGCAGGGATGTTTCAGAGTCTTGACAGGTCTTCCTCTAAAATTGCCCCCTGAGAGCAGCAATATCTTTATTACATCAGATTTTCCGACTGCTTGTTTTGAGACAGGGTTAATATCCCCTATTAATACTGACAAATTCAAGTGTGGTTATTTTAATTTGGAGTCAGGCTGTCTTATTTGTGCAGTAAAGGCCTGGGGAGCGGGGAGAGCGCTAAAGTGGGAGAGCGGAAGGTATCAGCAGTGGCTCATTAATATTTCATCTTCAATATCAGTGTGTCACTCACGCCCATCACGGCCATAATGAGCCCACACCAGTCTCTTAAAGATGTGTTTATTATTCACACCGCTGGTAGAGACGGGCCCAGAGCAGCTCCATCAAGAGCGGCTCAATGAAGCCTCTCTCAAGGTCAGACTGTCTGGAGTTTGACTGGAACTACATTTATAAAGCAACAAGTGCATCACGGCTGCTGAGGAAGACCAACTGTGAACAATGTCGCAGTCTTAGACGGACTGTTGGGAACCCCAGGAATGTATCTTTCTTTTCAGATTCAGATTTACTTTGAATATTGCACTGATTGATTCAAAAAAGTTTACATTGATGTTGTTTTCATTTGCAAATATAAAAGTCGCCTTTGCCGAAATTAGAATATTGTTCAAAAGTTTACATATTTCTGTGATTCAACTAAAAAAGGTGAGACCAATACATGATAAAGACTCATTACATGCAAAGTGAGATATTTCAAGGCCAGATTTTGAGAGGTCCGAGATGGTTTATTTTGCGGTTTTACAAGCTGTGAGCCAATTGCCAACATTATTAGAGAGAGTCAGTAAGTAATCTCTATTTATAAAGCAATTCACAGACCAGAGTCACAAAGTGCTTTACAATAAACTTAATACAAAAATAAAAATAAAGATATGACATATGTCGCTTTGCATGTAATGAGTCTGTCATAAATTAGTTTTACATTCTAAGTTGAATTACAGAAGTAAATGGACTTTTGAATGATATCCTATTTTTCAGAGTTTCACCTGTAAACTGAAAATTTTGTAAAATAGTTCAATAAAAAAAAAAAAAACAGTGAAAATATGTACATCTTCTTTGCTTGCACCTGCTTTGCGTTTTCTGTCATGCATTTCCAAGATGCAAATGAGTTGTTTATTTTAAAATAGAAGCTACATGCTCGTTGCCCCGGCTGTTTGTGTGATGTCAGATTGCTCCTCGTTGAATCATGCGTGTAGCGTGTAAAGTAGCTTGTAATTAGAGACATGTTTGTAGCTGCGTTCTGTCATGTTGTCGGCTCCGTTCTGTGATGAGACGACTGCATTTGTGCAGCACAATGCAGCGCCTTCAATGGGGAAGATTTCACTGCTCATTCTTAATATTTATCAGAAAACATTTATTTTATCATTTGACACCAGCGGTTGCAACAAAAAGATGGCACCAAAGCACAAATGAGCATTTATAATTTTATTTTGTTGTGATTTACAACACCGTTACTTGGTATAATATCTTTAATAGATTTATTTAGACCTTTACAAAATGTTTATTTTAAATATACAGATACATATGTGTTTTTGCCTCATTTGCATGTAAAAAAAACATCTTAAATATGAACTATATAAAGTGAGTATTTCCTTTGTAAATTGTAAACTATTTGACACCAAGTGGCATTTTAATAAATAAGTTTAGACATTGAGAATATGAGTTATGCCTAAAGTTAAACATAGGCCTTCAGTAAAAATAATATAAAATGCATTCTGAAAAACATGCGACCAGTAAAAGCCGTAAACAAAAGCGGTAAAGTTCTGTTCAGTTGTGTGGATTATTGAGCGGTCACACTGACGGACAAACGCTGCTGCATTATTCAGTGTTCTGGTCTTAAGCCGTCATCTGCGGCAGCATCAGGCTCAGATCTCTGCTTCACCTTGAGCTCCGCTGGAGTTTCAGCTCATGAACTGAGTGTAGCCCTCTGCGCCCGTTACAATCACGTCCATCCAGATGCGCATGGCCTCAGGGGACGGGGCCACCATGTAGTAGAGCCGGTCGTGGGTCTTCACACAGAAGGTCAGGGACGGGTTTGGGCTCTGGACACAGACACAGCCTTCAGAGCCTTCGGAGCGGCACCTGTTGCTTTGCTCACACTGGATTCACTACAACCACACCATAATACAGTCCCGAATACACACGGCCACTGTCAAACGTATCAGTACGCAGAAGTCTGGTATCATTACTTTTTTACCATTTTTCTACTTTTACTCCTCTTTTACTCCTCACTTTAAAATCCAAATATTTGTACTTTTACATTCAATAAAGAATAGTAATTTTCACACCACAAAAATAGGTTTGAAATAGTGGTTAGCCACACTTCTAAATTCAAACCACCCTGCAGCCTTCGTTGCTTTTGTTTAAATTGGATTTGTTTTAACTACTGTATTTCTACAACTGTATAATGTTGTTTCTTAAAATGTCTCAAATAAAAATCTGAAATTTCCCCGGACATATAATCTTAAGCTTAAATAAATATATTGTTCATCAATTAATCAACAAAAATGCATTTCATATCTTTTTAAGTACATACATAATACTGTACTTTTATACTTTTACTGAAGTTAATGATTTCAATACTTTATAGTTGACTTTTATACTTAAATACCTAAAACTAATACTTTTTTGTTTTTAGAACAATAAATACAAACACTTAATGAAGAAAAGAGAGTGTCCAAAAAGCACTATAAACCACCGTATGAATCATTTTTTAGATATATATTATATTTCTAGAGTTTAATATCACACAGTATCCACTCGGAGGGTGTAACTGATTAAAGTGGAGGTTACCTTGTAGGCACTGCGCAGGTGATCATAGTAAACCTCTTCAATCGCCTGGAAGTAAATGAGTCCTTTCAGTTTGGTCTCGTGCTTGTCTGCAGGAAAGAAGAGTAAAAAAATTAAGATACAAAATATTACGTCTTCTACTGATGCAAGACTCTGCCATTACAAGACGAGAACATGAAAACGGGCCCGCAATGAACCATCCACTGAGGAATTAATACATTCTTTTCAAAATAAAAAAGGGAAAATAATAATAATTCAGATAATCTATGTTTTATTTACATACTATTCCAACAGTTAATTATCGTGAGTCCAAATGTACCGCCAGAAGGAGAGAAGAAGAAGAGAAATGGCTCGTCTTTGTCCAATTTCATTTTTAGGACACTGACAAAAAGGGTAGAATTCTTTTAGTTATTTTCAAGAAATTGGGGCAGTGAAAACTCTCCAACTGGACTGGATTTTTATTTTTATTTTTTTATATATATACGTTCCTTTGTGGAGCCACTGTCCCCCAGAAAATTCAGCCCCAATTTGAATCCAGATGTTGAACAAAGCATGGCCTCCAGCTCCGTGAACACATGAATATGTAAACGTAAAGGTATAAGCCGCCAGTATCAGGTTAATTACAAGTGCATGTCTGTTTGAAGCGACGCCCCGAGACTCAAACATCTTATTAATCTGACTTGTTTTCCTCGGTTGCAGTTGCTTGTGTGTTTTAGCCGTTTTTCCCACGAGCCATGTTCTTTCATTGAGATCTTAGACATTACACAAAAGGGGGAGAAATATATTTCTTTAGGTGGAAACCAGGTCATAGTTTGCATCTGGTCCTTTGATTGCATTTCTCAAATATCCCAAAGCAGTTTCACATCAATGTGTTGTGAAGGTTTGAGAACAATTTTAATGGCTCAAAGTGCTTTTCAAACTTCTCTCACCGAGTAATATCAGCAACAATTTGTAATATTTCGATTTCAATCAGCTGATACCGGAACTAGTCTGACCCAAAGCATGGCAAGCTATTTCAAAGTATTAGATCCTGGTAAAGACTCAACACAATGACATTTTTCTATTATTATTATTATTTTTTTTATTTACATTATGCATGAAAACGTGAACATAAATATGAACATAACAGACAGAAAAAAACAGAAATAAAACTTTTTTCTAATTGAGTTGTATCAGAAAGCGAAACTGTTATTTTTTACATATTCATTACTCCTGAGTGAAACATTTTGAGTTTTTTAATTGACAAAACATATTGAACTGTTGACAAAATCCTAATCATTTGAGTGTCTGTAGATTGATGAATATTTCAAGATTTAAAATGACCTCTTCCGTCTCCAAGCGAGTAAGACCCACTTTAATAATAACATTTCTTTTCATCTTCCTCATGCACAAGGACACAAACCAAACCAATGAACTCTTTTCTGAAGCGAGTCCGACTTTTCTCTGTCCCTCTTTTCTCTAAGTCAAATCTGCTTAGTAATGAGTTAAATGTTTTTGAAATGAGAGTTTCGTTTTATTAGTCACGAACAAGCCAGAAGCCTCCTCCCAGAGAAAAACACTTTTAGAGAAATACTTGCATCTTGTTTCATCACCATCATCATCACCATCATCATCGTCAGGCGTGAGGGGGTGAAGAGACGAGTCAAGTCAACGGAGCAGCTGCGAGCGCCAATAAGACTGATGTCTAATTATCACCCATTATTTTAGCGCATTTTATCAATCCGGTTGTAGCGATCTGTCTCAACACACAACACTGAGCGGACGTGGAGACAATTGTTGCATCGTGAGAATTACATAACTGTATATTCAAAAGGGAGCAGAGTAGAGATCGACCGATACGGGGTTTTCTGCGGCATTTTTAGAGGCTAGATGGATTAAATTTAACAAATAACTGGTTAGCAATTATGACATTTTTGAAGTTACTACCTAATAACTACAGTAGCTACATAATTCCTTGATGGACATTAATGGCAGGCAGCATTTCAGATTCACGCAGCTAAAATCTGGAACAATCTTCCTGAAAATATGAAACAGGCCTCCTCTCTGACAATGTTTAAATCCGGGTTAAAAACAGTTCTGTTTAGCTGTGGGGGGTTTTATATGTTTATCTTTCTTTTTAACATACTGTGATTATAATGCCTTGTGTGATTGTTTCTATCTTGTTTTGTTCTATACTTTGAGTTACCTTGTGTATGAATTGTGCTAATCAAATAGTAAGTAATGTTTATTTATATAGTGCATTTTTCAGAACAAGGTCACCCAAAGCGCTTTACAATGTTCAGAGTTCAGATATTGTTCCAATCACTCCACACACGGTGATGACGGAAGCGAGTCCAGAACACACTGGCGCATCAGCCCCCAATCAACACCATCCATTCACTCTCTCATTTACATTCATACCTGTTGTGCATGTTTTTAGTGGTAGTGGAAACCGGAGTACCCGGAGGACACCGACGCAGACACGGGGAGAACATGCAAACTCCACTCAGAAAGGCCCTGTTCCAACCAGGATTCAAACCCAGGACCTTCTTGCTGAGAAGCGAGAGTGCTATCTATTCAGCCACCGCCAAATAAACTTCCCTTGCCTAATGGGATTGGGTTCATTTTAAAGAAGAGAAGGAGGAAAACGTGCATAACAAGAGATCCAGTGTTTTCCTTTGAAGAAGGTTTTTTAATATCTTATGTTTTGCAGTTATGCTTGTTTTGAACTGGACCGTAGAATATTACTAATGGTATAACCTGCCATTGTAGCACGTGTTACGTCGCCTCCATTGTGTATTGACAATTGGCTGATGCATTGTCCAACCAATGTAGCGGTCTGATCGAGAGCACAATGTAGAGATTTAAAAAACTGAATGCAATGTTTTGATGACATTTTGCATATATCCATTGTTATAGTCTACGTCTCAATGATGAGCCATTGAGTTGTCTTTTCTTTCTTGTTTTCTTTTCTTTTCAAAGGCTTTCTGGAGCTGAAGGGTAGGAGGAAATGAAGAGCCCACAGGTGACACTTGGCTTAACTTCAAACTCCACACTACAATCTATTGATGCTGTGTCAAGTCACTGCTTCAGGTCTTTCAGTTTCAATTAAAGTCAAATGTAACCGTGCGCGTGATAACCTGCAAGCAGTGTCCTTGCTCTCAAAAGTGAATTGTGCGCAGTTGTCAGAATTGTTATAATAATTGTGCACTCCTTACCTGCATAGTAGCCGAAGTTCCTCTTGATTCGGTCAAAGACAAACCACCGTTTCTTCCACGACTTGATTTTCCCGCCCATTTTAACCAGGTGACCTTTGCACATTTTCTCCGTGAGGATGACGAAGGCGCAGGTGTCGATGTTGTGACCGGAGGATTCCACATGCGCGCGCAAGTCAAACTCTTCCTTCAGGTTGGGCAGGTAGCGTGTCATGGGACGAGCCTGTCGGAAAATCACACGGAAAACTGTGTGAATACAATAATGAACTATGACCTCTCGCATTATGATCCACATTTTCACATTTTTTAAGTTGATATCAAACCAACTCTTCAGACTCTCAACTGAGAAACTGTAGTTGTAGTTACTGGTAGATTCAGATATACTTTACTGACTTTTTGCAGCCAACACAATTCAGATTCAGATTCAGATTCAGTTTATTTGCCATTTGCAGTAAAAAAACCACATTGGAATACATTAGCAAAAGTCTCCAGTGTGCACAGACAAATACAGACATAAAACAACATTAAAAGACAAAAATAAAACAAATAAAACAGTAAACAAATGTCACTGTGAAATCGATCGACTAAAACAGTTTCAAAACAAGTGCAAATCATTAAAGTGCTCTGTTCACACTGATAACAGCCTGTGGATAAAAACTGTTGGCGTAACGAGATGTCCTGCATCTCAAAGAGCGATATCTTCTGCCAGAGGGAAGAAGCTGGAACATGGCTTTCCCAGGGTGGCCAGAAGAGTCATTGACAATCCTAAGAGCTTTGTTTAAAAGTCTGGATTTATAAAGAACCTCCAGAACAGCCCACGGTCCTCTTTGCAGAGCACCTTGTTTAAAGATCTCTTTTCTTTATCTGTGATGTTTCCAAACCACACATACACAGAACCAACAAGTAAACTCTCAATTCCATGTGATTAGATTAGAAGAATATGTAAACTCACTGAAAACAACACTAGATTAAAGATGAAAGATGAAACAAAAATACAATACTATAAAGTTGTGGGACAAGTGACAGCACAATTTATTCACTCAAAGGGCTTCAGAGAGCAGTAGAGGAAGCATTATAATTGTATCTGTAAAATCATAAATAATCACACAACATATATTTATTAGAATAGACAATATAATCCTTCAGCTGTATGCAAATGTGAATAGACCTGGTTTAACCTCTACATTGTCAGAGTAGAAGCTTGTCTCGCATTCCCAGAAAGATTTTTTTCTGCATGAATCTGAAATATTGCCTCCGCATGTTTAAAGTTCTGACTATGGGCAACAGCAGGAGGCCAGTCCCTGTGCTCCTCAGAGTCTGAGTTTGTCCATGTGGCACTAATATGTCACTGATGTACTTTGGTGTGAGGTCATGTACACAAGCAGAGCAGCTTCAAAGTCTAGTCTCTGAGCCACAGGAACCAGTGCAGAGACCTGAGAACTGGGGCCGTATTCCTAAAGATTCTTAGTGCTAAAAGTTGCTCCTAGTGGCCAAATTCTAAGAATTTTCTTAGAATCTTGACCAACTCTTAGAATTTCCCCTAAAAGTGAGGAGTAGCTTCTAGTTAAGAAAAAAGCTATTCCTAAAGAATCCTAGCTCTTAAGAGTGCTCCTAAGGTGAGATCCCTTAAGAGTTGAGAGGAGGACTTTTAGCAACTTAAAAAGTTCCCTAAGAGCACAAAATGGTGGACGGTAGAGGCAGGAGAAATATTCTATACACTGGATGACAGTGAATCAGTAAAACACTGCAGATTGGATCCTGCAGGAATCATGTTTAAAAGTCAATCATGTAAAAGTCATCATGTACAAATATACAGTTTTGTTTTATTAACAGCAATCCAGTTCAAAAAGGAGTGTGAAGAAGTTAATACTTTTAAACTCCCACCCTCCATTTATCATTCTAAATTAACTTAAATAGTGTGGTTGCTACATCTTAGTTTATTCCAAGGTGTATTTACAGTTATGCAACAGTGACATTCACAATAACATGCACTTGATTTGTTTATGTATAAAATGCTTATATTAATATTTTTTCCTTAATTCCTTTTACGTCTTTCAGTATCACAGCCTTTACTAATCCTAATGTTATAATCATCTAATTATATATATATATATATATATATATATATATATATATATATATATATATATATATATATATAAAGTGCTCATGTTACATACGTTTGTTAAATATGTGTTAAATATGTGTGATAAATTGGTGCTGAGCAAGCTCTAATGTGGTGTAAAAGTCAAACTTACAACAGTAAGTTAGACAATATTAGTAAATACATCTGACTTTCTACCTTTTCTGATTATTTACAATGACATAGTATTCCTAAGATTAGATTCTATGATTGAGTTTGTCCATTAGAGGATCCTTATTTTGCCCATTATCAAAAATATGGTTTCTCTAACTTTTAGGATCAACCAATCACAGCGTCTGAAATGATGACTCATACCTAGCAACGGGGTCGGCCACGCCTCCTCACTAAGATAAAAGTTGTTGTCAATTCCTTGAGTTCTCTAAGAGTGTTCTGGAATAACTTTTAAGCTAAGACTCCTAGCTAGGAGTTTTTAGGTTAAGATAAGAGCTCTCTGAGAGGACTCTTAGAATCTTTAGGAATACGGCCCCTGGACTACAGTGATCATACTTCCTCGTTCTAGTCAGGACTCAAGAACCCAGTGAGGAGAAAGTAACATGTAGTCTACTGGAAACAAATTAATGAAATGTTATTCAATAGAACATATAATACATTAGCAAAACTACTATGAAGTAAGTACCGGATAAACTACTGGATCAACATTGTCGTATGCACACAGTAACGCTACATTACCTTTAAGTGTTGTTTATCCCCATAACAGTTGTGTTGTAAATTCCATATTCTGTAATTAGTGCATATTGTTGTTTTGAAAGGATTTGCACACAGTGTTTTCTCATAACAAATAGAAGCACTCAGATGAGATGAAAGCCATAATGATATGTACTAAATCTATGGCCGTAGAGGATGAGAACAGCTTTGATGTGTTTGTTGTGGCTGCACTGACCTGACAGAAGTGCTTCTCTCTCATCTTCACCTCCTCCTCCACCAGCCTCCTCCTGTGGGCCGCCTCGTCCTGGAGCCTCCTCTCCGCCTCCTCCCGCCTCCTGCGCTCCTCCTCCAGGATTTGCCGCCGCGTCTGCACCTCCCTCTCCTGGGACAGACCCAACAACGCAGAGCAAAGGCAAAGGAATACATTAATGGTGGGCAAATATTGCAATACAAAGTAAACGACAGTCGAAGGAGGGCACTGGAGGATTGGAGTCCCCATCCAGGGTTTTGTAAAATATATCCCCACGGTCTGTGCGCAGACAAGCGAGCTTTGCTGATGAAAATGATCCTTTGCAGCTTTCAGACTGTCGACTTTATGGATGGCTGTGATTCGGTATGATTTAATACCTGCTGACTTTTGTTCCACTTGTAGAAATAATACAACTCAATAAAACTTTTACATTCAAAGTTATATTTCTTTGGAGTTCTGTAGCATACACACAAAATTATATTATGCTCAGTGTTAAAAAGCTACAATGTTGAAGCTTAAACTGCATAAGATCCTTTTTTCTAATTTGGTATTATTCTGGTGGAATGAAGCCTGTTTTAGATATACATATTTTGTTCATATTAATAAAGTCTTAGTTTGGAAAAGATTTTTTTTTTTTTTTTTTTACATTGTTCTAGAACTGATAACATTACGAGAAACAGATCGAAATGTTTGGCATAATTTACGACACGCACATTTTAAACATTCAGATCTAAATATGTGTTTTCTGTACATTAAAGGACTTTGGGCCTCAGAGGTAATGTCATCATTTATAATCAAGAAATATAATTTTATGACACAAAATTGGCCAAACTGGAATGAAATGTAGAAAATATTTATATAATTCTCAAATAAAATCTACTTGACTGTGTTTTGTGAAAAGTAAAGTGTAATCTTTCATATACACTAGAAATAGACGTATATTAGGGTTAAAACAATGAATCAAGTTCATCAAATAATTCATTAAATAAATTTATTTTATTTTATTTCAAATAAATAAATTTATTTCTTGATAATTCTGATCACTTTTATAATGACATAAAACCTTGTCAGACTGTAGCGCACAGCACACTGTGACATTCTTTCAGGAGCTGTTTCATTCAAGATTTTAAAACTAAATTTTCTAAAACTCTTATCATAGTCATTGTGTATCATACTATACATTTTAGTATGTAAATACATCAATATATTACATAAATTAATTGATTAGTGAAATAATCAATAGCTGCATTCCTAAGTACCTTTACTAAGGGGTAAAGTATTCAGCAGGGTTTGTCTGTCTGTCTGTAGCAATGTAACTATAAAAGATTTATGAGGGGATCCAGATCACGGTCAGAATCCAGGATTTTTGAAAGGATTTTGACAGATGTCTGTACTTTACAAGTACTTTTACTTTTGCCCTGCCAACAGGGGGGTATTGTAATCATTTCTGTGTGTGTGTCTGTAGATTATGTAAAAACTACGGTTTTATTTTAAGATGTGCTCTGCGAATGCGTGTTCTAGATAATATTTCCTTGTGCCTTCTTGTTTAGATTGTGTATCAATAAACAATACAAAATGTGGATCTATAATAGTTATAAGCGCCACTGAAATATTCAATATATCCATTATTTTGTTTTATTTTTTACAGCATAATTTTTGGAGTGAAATGTCATTAGAAACATAAAATACGTGTTGATCAAAGTTGTTAAGATGGTTTTCTTTCCAGTCTTACTCTGTTCTCCATGAGACGGGCCTTCTCCTGCTGCGCCTCCTTCAGCAGCCTCTCCATCTCCTCGATGCGCTGGGCCTCCAGAGCGCTGCCACGACAGCAGAAAGAAAGTCGTTTGTGACCATTTCAACACAACAAACAAAAGTCACTGAACACAGCACGAGTTTTCCCAAACAGAGGCCACACACATGCATGCACATACACACACGTACATACATGAACACACATACTGATACACACACACACACACACACACACACACACACACACACACACACGTGCACACATGTTCCGGACGCCTAACTTCACAGATGGGACACTTAAAAAAGGGTTGGCATGGTAACAGCGGGTGTCCCCTCCTCGTCCATTAAAACAAACATGTTGTCAGAGGAACAAAGCAGTGACCCTTCTCCGGGGAAACGGGGCAGACTTAAGTGTTCCCATGGAAACAGGGCCATCTCTCACCTTTCGGGGGAACAGCCAGAGTTTCCAGCAGACACACTGGTCTCCAGACTGTCTGAGCTCTCCAGGCTCAGGGTGTCGAAGGCCTGGCTGCCAACAGGGGGCGTCTGGTGGTGCAGAATGGAGTGATGGACTGAAGAAGAGTCTAGACAAGAGGAACATGTCATTAAACTTGAACAGACTCACAGCGCCCTCTTCTGATGCAGAAAAGACTATGCATTCTGGAAACTGTTAGTTAAACAGTACCTGTACCTTTGTACTGAGAGGTCACATATTTTCTGGGCTCTGTATCAATGGAATTTGGAAGCTCTCTCAAAACCAACTGAAAATCCTACAAAAGTAGAACATACATTTTAGATAAATAAATAAATAAAATAGCTGTCAAATATTTAACCCACCTTGGTATTTTTGTCATGGGAAGTCCCACCATTGCTGATCTGAGAACTAGATATGACTTGTGTGACCTCATCTTCAGATTTTGATTTCATCAACTGAAAAAAAAAAACATTGTATCAAATAATGCTCCACTGTACAAATAACTTTCCTCTTGCAGTCTATTTTATGGAATCCGTAGGATTATTGTCAAATGTTGTGGTTCAAAAAGCCCAATATATTTGTCTACTTGCCACTAGAGGGCCTCCGCGTCTCATTTAAACCTGACCATAGTCTGTAAATAACACATACTTTCCCTCAGAGGAAACAGCAGCTGTACCTGTGGATGTCTGCGTGTAGACTTGGCAGGCAGTGGGGGCGGACAGGACTGGGCCTCTCCAGCCGCCATGATGTCCTGGTACCAGCTCTCAAGGTTTATAGGTGGAAGATCAGACTGACTCTAGAGTGAAGCATACACAGTGAGACATCACAGACCGCCATTTATCATCACTGTGTAAGTTTATGTAAAGGAAGGTACAATTCTTATGACAGTTCACAAACCTGGACAGAGTGAAAGCAGGAGGGAGCAGATGTGTTTGAGTGACAGGTGAAAGTAGATTCAGAGGAGGCGAGCTGGAATGATGCGAGTGAGGAAGTGGGAAAGTGATTGAGTCTTTGCAACCCAAAGATTTGACTCAGCTGACTGACAGTGATATACTCCTTCGATGTAAGCAGCCAATCATACACAACAGTACAGAAAGGAAAAGGAGAGGAAAAGGAAAGTTAGAAACTCACATTCAGTTTTTTTGGATCAGAGTCAACCATAGCGTTTCTACCTCACAGGGCACAGCAATAGACAAGCAGTGCAGAGTGGCAGGAGAAGAAGCTTGCATGGAGCCACTTCCATACATCTTAAAGACATCAGAAAGTCTCAGGTACTCCTATTTTGAGACCAAAAGAAAAGAAAAGATGAAGAACATTCAGACATAGCCACATCCTACTGAAACTAGAGTTAGATGTGTGGGATACAACCTCAATAAGACACATTGAAGTTAGAGGAACTCTTTGCTACATTTACCTCTTGAAGCCTAACGGGGAAAGGATCAGTACAGAGCTCAGGAGAGGGGTTACAGGAGGATAAGGAAGAAGAAGAGGGACGCGAGCTACAAGAAGCACCTTCCAACAAAACAAGATCTGATTCACTGATGTGAAGAAAGTCCTGTTTAAAAAGGTTCATCCAAATTAAAAACTTAAAGTGTGTTGTGGATAAGCAACCACGGCACTGAGACATTACTTTACTTACTTCTTTGAGGTTGGGCGTTAGAACGTTTTTCCCAGTCAATGTTTGGTAATTCCTTTCCAAAGCACACAGTCGGTCCTGCTCCTGTAACGGCCCAGATGTATCATGTTAATGACATGTAAAAAACAACACCATTTAGAATACAATGGCATCGACTGTCTTTATAACCTTTTGTAGCAGATGCAGGTTCACCGTTCGTTCCCTGACAATCCTTTCACATTCTTGAACAGCCTGAAGTCCTAGCTGCTTTGCTTGTGCTTCAAGAGCTGCTACTCTTTCCTGAAAAATCCTAGTGTTATCAGAGTGTGTTTAACAGAGATGCTACAAGTGCATCAAGCATAACAGACCGACCTTCCTCTGAGCCATGCTGCAGTGATGGTCAGCCTTCTCTTGTAGGAGCTGGGAGCTCTGAGTCTCTTTCCTCTCGTCTAGACTGCTCTCTTGCTCCAGCTGACAGAACTCCAGCTCCTCAAACCGTTTGGTCCCAGAGTCCACAGCCTCTGCCTTCTACTCACATAAGGCAGTGTTGGAGATGATAATGGCACAACCACACCACACCAAAACACACAAATAACCATGAACACTAGAATGCATGCAGTCAAACTTAGGATGGTTAACAGTGTTATATGTGTTATTTAGGAAGTGGTTTAATAATTGTCGGAGAAAAAGAGATCTACAGCATTTTCTGGAGACATGCTAAATGCAAAAAATACCACAGTATAACAAGCATGTCTCTGCTTTTCATTTCAGCTGTGAAGGTTTGGTTTTGGGGTAAAGTAATCTGCAGCCATAATTTTGCACTATATTACTACTATTTTATAACTCACTGTTGCCAGCCAGTGGGCTGTGTGAGAACACTGACCCTGCTGAGCTGCTCCTGTATTTGCCCCTTTAGAGGCAAGGGGCACTTATCAAACTGCCTCTTCAGATCATTGTACTCATTCCTCTGCTTTTCCAGAGCCTTCCGCTCGGCCGACACTTTTGCCCTCCCCTAAAACAGAAACATACACACCGTCCGCATTCAACACACAGCAAGGCAGGGAAATAAAAATCAGAAAAAGGGGTTAAGCTTGGGTCAGTTTAGTAACGGATTAATATTTTATCTAGTTAGTTGGTAGAAGGTAAAAGATAACTCTGATAACACCAGGATCATGAAGATCTATCTTTAATTTAAACTGTTGCGTTTAGTCAAACATGCAAATTACATAAAAAGGCAAAACAACAAACATGTATTTATGGTGATCTAAGAGGTGTCTATAAAACGTAACAGATTTGTTTGTAGAATATTGTTCATGCATTCAGCATCACAGTACCCCCTGAGGGGTCGCTATAACATGTTTGCTCAGGCTGTGTACCTTGTCCTTGTCATTCTGGGTGGTCTGGTTCAGCTGACTGAGTTTGAGCTGCAGCTGAGCGATGACTTTGTGTTCAGCCTCCACCTGCTCCTGCTCCGCCTGTCGCTCGGCCTGCAGCAGGGCCTGCTCCATCTCCACCTGTGCATTCAGACCTGTGAGTGCTTACACTCAAACACAGTCCAGTGTTGTATCTGAAACCGTACCTCATGTTTGGTCTCTGTCAGTTGCTGCTCAAGTTCACTAACTTTCTGCTTCAATTCATCTACTCGTGAAAGGATCCTGCTCCTCTCCTCCTCCAGGTTCTTCTTCTCTTTACTAGCTAAGAGCTCTGCACACTGTTGGCACAGATAAATGGGATTAGAACAGTGGTATTTTTAAGATAAAATAAGATAGACTTCTTGTAGACTTCTGGTGGTTAAATCCTTAAAGATCGTTCTGAAGATCATTTAGGTTTACATTTAAATGTAAAGCATAAAATAGACAATGACATTTGAATTAACCAAATAAAAATACTATTTGTGGGTAATGGATTAGAAAACCATTGTATGTGTGTGAGAAGTGTTACCTCCTGGTGCGTGTGAGAAGTGTTACCTCCTGGTGTGTGCTCTCTGTGCTGCTGGACTCCTCTCTCTGGCAGCTCTCGTCCACATCTTCAGGTGGGATCATCACGGTGCATCCCCCCATGAGCCCTGTCCTCATCACAGTGTCCAGGTCCAGAGAGCCGTCCTCTTGGTTATACTCCGCACACAGATTTAAGATGGCATCCAGCCTCTGCCGCTCCTACAGAGACATATTTGTGATGGATCTTTCATGCAGCCAATGAGCTATGGCTGTCCTTGTGTGACATTGGGCCATTTAGTCAGCTGTCCCACAGCGACAGACTTTGACAAGTGAAACTTGAGATTATAGAAGCCAAAGTTCATGTCATCTGCTATGGAGATGTGTTTTTTTATTAGAAAGCCAATATATTATTTTTACAGATGTATACATACAATGAACATGTGACAACTGTCAAATGTAGTAGAATATGTTCTTTAATCTTTGCTTTAATACAGCAATAAAGGAATTGAACTAACAAAGCACATATCAAGCTTAGTACATGTTGCTAATTGTTCACAAACATGACCATTCAAAACATAACATGTTACTTGGAAAACTACTGTGGCAAAAAGATTCAGCAGAAAAAAAGTTTTGAATTCCCTTGAGAATATCCTGCTCACCAAGCATTTGCTGCTGTAATTGCATAATGCATTGTGTGATTGACGAAAGCAACTATCATAAATTGGAGTGATATAAAGCATATTGGTGGAGAGTAATAACGAGAGCATGACTCTTAATGTCACTGTTTGTTCTGTATTTACTAGAAACCTTTGGCTCCTGAAATAGTCTGCTGGTGCCTGGTAATAGCCCCCCTTCCCTGCACTGTACTGGGCTCTTTGGGGGTTATGAGCTGTCGGAGGTGTGAGCTAGAACTTCAAATACATAATCTTTCATGGGTCTGCTACAGTGAAAGTGCAGGTTTTGTTGAGGCTTGGCTCAGAGCCAGCATGTTCCTGTGGAGCTAAGATGTGTAGAAGAATGTTCGGCCTGTGTCAGTCAGGCCACCAGGGCCTTGGTGCCAGTAAGCTGTGGGGAGATGAGCTGTGGCTCTGGGCCAAGAGTCGTCAGACAAGATATCTCAATGCAGTTATGTGTCTGCCCTGATAGTATTCCAACTGCTTCTCAAGTGAAGCTGTTATGGTTTTTCTTTGCTCTAAATGTGCATGTTTACTTGTACTGTACTCACCAGTTTCTCCATCTCTTGCTCACGCAGTCGCTCCTCTCTCTGATGGCGATGGTACTCCAAAAGCTCCTCTTCGTTGTCGCTGATCTCTGAAATACTATTCTTTCGCTCTCTTGTATATGGCTTTGTAAAAGTAGATTCCTTGTTGCAGTTTAACTTTATGGCAGAGTTTTTTCTTTGGTTTTGAGGGCTGGCTAAAGGAGAGGATCTCACAGAACTCTGTCTTAGATCTCTGGTTCCCGTCTCTTTATCAATCCCTGGAACAGGTTTGTGTTGGCACTGTGGGCTACCGAGTAGTGGTGTACTTGAGGGAGGTGATGTGGTCTCTCTCCTGGAGGTGTGTGGGCTGATAGGGGGGCGGCCTGTGGCTGTGGAGGTCTCTGGGGCCTTGAGTCTGTGCTGTGGGTCAGTGCGAATGGGGCTGTGAGCTCTCTGGGGACTGGTTGTAGTTGAAGAAGACAGATCAACAGATGATGATGTTTGCAGGTGTCTGACGGGGGTTGGTCCTGGCCTATTGTTTGGGGCTGAGCTTGGTGAAACGTCTCTTGTTTTCCTGAGACGGTTTGGGCTGTCCTGTGGATTCTGCATGCCGGTGTAGAAGGTCCGTGGGTGAGGAACAGGCGGCTGGTGTAAGGTGGGCATGCGAGGAGGCACTGGTGGAGTCTTGTTCCCTTCATTGTGACACAAAAAGCTGCCAACATTTTCATAGATGGATTCTTCTGTGCAATCATTTTTTCCATTCATGAATGCACCATTAGAGCCCAGGGGAGCACTTTGTTTGGCTGTTTTATCCAGCTGGGGTAAAGAGCCTGGAAAGTTTTTGGATAAGTTGTTTATTTTAAAGTTATTTTTGAAACTTTGGTGGTTTCCATTTGTGACACAGTGTAACTCTGTAGAAACAAGAGCAAAATACAAGCACTTGAGCACAGTAAATAACTGGCATGCTTAGCAAGACAGTTGAAATAACAAGCAAACACACGAGACAACCTCCGCAACATGGTGCCTGTGTCCATCCCAAACTCTGTGTTCAGAAAAACAAACAACCAAATAATAATATCCAGGTCATATTAAAATATATATATATAAACAATTCTCAAAATACTCCATGTTGTTGGAAAAAGGTTCAAATAAAACAATAGTCACAGATGCATTTTCCACAAACACAAAGAAAACGTCACACTCTTGGAATCCATGTTTCCCTCTCATCTTTAAATATTGTTCTTTATCAAATACATTTATTTTTATGTAACATGTTATAAGTCGCTTTCACTGTGTTATTTTGATATAGCAAATATGTTTTAGAAGTCTGTTTGATGAGTCTAGGCCTCCACAATAGGGCAATAACCAAATGTGTCTCACTGTATACTTTAGTGTCCCCATAGGGACATTTGTTCTCTGCATTTGACCCACAAGAAATTGGGTAGCACATAAATATTTCATTAAAAAACTATTACTGTTTGTATTTATGCATCACAGGTGCAAACAGGAAATAACTGGAGAGGACTCAGTGGAATGATTCACTCCTCACTTGTGTTGTAATCCCACAGGGATCTGGAGCAGCTAAATATAAAGGCATCACCCTGCTCTGTACCTCATAGAGCAGATGAAATCAGGGCCTGGTCAGGAAAGAGTGGGCCTTACACACAAGGCTGGGTGTGGTGCCACATTATACTATACAGCCCACACTGCATAAACTAAACCCTTAAGGTCAGAGGAAAATGGTTTTTAAATACCAACTAACACAATAACACATGGCCATTGAGGCTCCTGAGCCATAAAACAATCTCTTTTAACAATGAGGTCACACAAAGTGGATTAATGGGCCAGAGATAATTAGTTAGAGCATGCTATTATGGTATATGATAGTGCCACACTAATGTCAGGCAGAAAAGGTGCAAACGTGGTAGTCTTTATACACTTAATGTAAATATTTCTACATTCTAAACACATTATTTTGTATAAATAAAGGTACCTTTTGTTTTGGCCTTGGTCATAGTCAACACTTGGCTCCCTGGAAGCATACTCTTCATTCTCAAAGCCTCCTCAGGATGGTTGAAACGGAAAAAAGTCGACTGACCAAAACACAACATGCATCCTGTGAAGTGAAATAAATATTGAAATGAAAATGTAAGACAGCAGTGTAAGCATTTCACATATGTAAAGAAAGAACCCTTTGTGTCATAAAGTGACACAATATATAGATTAATAAATACTCACTATACTAATCACAATCTTACCATCCAACTTACAGCCAAATATCCAAACACTTTTGCTGCAAAGTCTTTCATTATCAACATCAGAAGAAAATGACAATAACTCCTCAATGTTCTATGAAGCCGGTTCTGAGCATGCAGAGCGGAGCAGCTGCCTTCAGAGCCTCCTCACACGATTTCTCAAATAACAACCCAGAGAAGCGGCTGGCCCAGTCCCACGGAGAGGGGTCTGAGGGGGCGGGGCTTCCAGAAACTAATGCAGGAATCTAATGCTGTTTGTACATTCTCATTTACAACTATGTTGCATATTCCATCCATCTACTAAATAACTGAAGCAAATACAAAGATTTCCCATTTAAGGGTGGATAATGATTGTAATTAAAAAAAACTCTTCTCTACAAAACAATGAATTTCACATAAAGTATAAAGTAAATTAATGACATTTAATAAAAGTGTATTCTTTTATTTCTGAAATATGAAACATACGTGACATCTTCCCACAATCTGTTTCCATGTTATTTATTCAATAGTGCAATTCAATACATTTGTGTATTTGTATCATCTATTGTGGTTCTCAAAAGCACTAATGCAATTAGAACATTCACACATTGAGTCATGCTTACGACCACAAACAAAGATTTTACTTTGGGGCAAAGTAGCAGAGGTGAAGTGTGAGGTGAAGAGAGAGCGTACCTTGCGTGAGGCGGTAGGGGTTGGTGATGGGGAGGCCATCCACAGAGCACTGGTGTCCACATGGGTACAACGTGATGATGCCCCCCTGGTTCTCGATGTAGCAGTGCTGAGGTGTGATTCCAGGACCTTGCAAATGGATATCTGTGACCCCGCAGCCCAACGTGGTTCTGCCTGGAACAACATGAAAACATTTTGTGTTACTGGAGACGCGCCCGGTCCCGTGAATACTTGAGGGGAGTATTTTAAGATGAAGTTCAAAGCCTCCACAAAGATGGAGGGGTGTAGACTGCAGCAGCCCAGGGGTCAAGGCCAGCGGTGAACAGGCAATGGTTAACTAAAGCAACAGGTGCCCTAACAACATAGAAACACAGCGTTCATTATACACATTTCATGCACTTTGTAATGCTTGTTGTCGCGCTGTAGTAGGGCTGACCTAATGTGTAACTAACATTTAAACTATTACTTGTATTGTTGCAAGTTATGCAGTTTGTTATGGTCAGGGGGCTGTAGTGTAGTAAAAAAGAAAGCTTTTCAGGGAGAAAATATTTGTTATACTTTATTATTATACCAAGGTATCCATCTGTAAACTTTTGCACCTGTAGTTATAATAATAATAATGCATTGGTTATATACAGGACATTTCAAAATGAAGTATTAATTCATAAAATCTAAGTAAATAAAACCAAACTAGTACTAATAATACGCTGCACTTGCTATGAGTTGTAGGCTTGGAAGAAGAGGTTTATAGCAGTTTTTTATAGTGAGGGTGCGGGGTTAGAGTTCCAGAGGGTGGGAGCAGAGATGGCAAATGCTCCGTTAAGGTTTGGTGTAGTGATACGAGGAGGGTGGAGTCTGCAGAGACACCCCTGACCAGTTGGAGAGGGGGCTGTTATCTCTAGTGCGGGTTCGGGTGAGGAACCGGGCGGCAGTGATTGGTAAGAAGAAAATAATGTCACGAGTGAAAGTAGATGTTGTGGGTTGTCTATGACTAGGGTTGGCAGTTTAATGCAGCAGAATATCATTTTTTTGTCCTAGAGGGAGGAGCGCCACATTGTCCTCTCCTCAGCTTTATATGTATTTTGTCCAGAGGAATTAATTTTAATTGTTACTACATTCATGCAATGTTCAGATTAAATCCCTCAGATAATTGTCTTAAAAATAAGGTATGACATGCCAAAGGAGCCCTTAGGAAGATCTTTTCATCAATGCTTGCAAATACAAATTTTAAATTATTTTTGGGACCACTAAAAATTGTTTCACGGACACAGCCTAGTCTATTTTTTGGCCCCCCTGAACAAAAACAAAAAGCAAAAAAACTCATACTCATAACTTTTAAACTTAGTCCCATTATCATTTGACATTGCCACTAAATCAACATTTAACCTTAGAATTTCAATCATCTCAATTAGTTAGAAACAAACTACACTCAGGCACTTGGTGTAACATTAAACTACAACATGATTTGCAGTGAGATTTGTATGGTTGAATATAATAATGCAAATATGTCTTTTCTATTATGCTTTTTGTGATGAGGAGCTTACCTGGAGGCAGCGGGAGCAGAGTGATGGCTGTACTTAAGCGACCACTTCCCAAACTAACCAGGTGAGGGCGCTCTGCTTGGACTTTCAGGGACTTGCCTGTCTCAATCAGATCCAGAGGTGTGCTCTGCAGAAACACACACACAGAACGTTTTATTTCAGCTGTTATGGGAAACATGCCGATGTAGTGCAACTCAGTGTTGAATACATTTTATTTTTGTTTCTTTATCTATTTTGTTATCAGTTATACTTTACTTTTTGTCTCAGCAACTATTAGGACAAAGCAACAAACTAAACCTGGACGAGCAGAGGACCAAGCCAAGACCGAGCACAAGCTAGGAAAAATCTCTATAGTTACTACTATTTACTAATAGTGCCGCACAAATCAATTACAATCCAATCAAAATCACAATTTTAGTGGCCACATTCAGACCTTATCGGTGATTACATGATTTCCATTTCTAACAGCAATGCATCTCATAAATCTGGCTATCTCTGTGTTTAGAGCTCAGAAATAGACTTAGAAATACAAGCTGCAAATGTCAAAAGCAGAGCCTAAATAAGTGACTGTCTTGACTGTTTATCTACAAATGTAAAGGCAAGTCCAGTCTTGTGAGAACTTAAAAAAGTAATATACTACAACTTCAGATTACTCAGGTTTTAGTTTTCCTCGAATTTGAATTCTCTGAATGCACTGAAATAGCAATGGTTATCTGAAAAATCACAATAAAATACTTCTTTAAAATTGTGCAGCCCTAATTACCAAATACATCATACTATAACTAAACCTGGGTGAAAGTTAGGCCAACAGTTCTCTCTCACCTCTTGCTCAGACCACAGACTGAAAATAAATCAGACCCACCTCCAGAACCTGATGCGTCTGTCTTCCAGGATCCATGTTGTTCCTCCTCATTTGCCCCAAGTCTGGACTCTCACTGTGGTCCTGAACACACACACATGAGAGGAGTCAGGGATGAATGGGAGCAATGGGACTGTGCTACTCCAGTTGTACTACAATAGGAACAGTGCTTTCCTTAGAAATCTTTCTGGCCTAGTTAAAAGCCCATGTGATCCGATGATTATAGTGGGTCATTGTTTCTCCAGAACACTGCAGATATGGCCCATGAGGAAGCTGGTATCGATTCACGCCTCTATTAAAGAAACATTAACTGCATTTGGACCATTCGAAACACTTTGCTGCTTTTTCAATTCTATGGGGTTGGATAACTGTTTTGTGATGAGACATAAACACACACATCATCATCTTGTTTATCTTGAAATGATTTGTCTTCCACCATCGCCCACATAGCGTTTTGAGTATTTCACAACATTCCCGAAAGAAGAAGACACAACAATCTTGTTTTGTCTACACTGGTACAATGTTAAAAAACAAAATGTCCTGTTGAAAAACTGAAATTGAATTGAGTTTTTATAATAGTACATTTGAAGGATAACTCATTTCTATGTCTTCACAACACAAACAAATACTTTACTTTTAAGTGCTTAAATAGCCACTATGGTTTTACTTTAGCACCTGTTGTATTCTTAAGTTAAATCCACACAAACAATACATTTGTCTTTCACCATCTATTATAATCTGCAATTAAACTCTACTTCATTCACAAACAGGCAAACCACATGACCGACAAAACAAAATGTGTAACCTCTCAACCGCAGCCCAGTGCTGTCATCAGTGATGTATAAAATTAGGCAAAACCAATCCACAGCTGCTATAGTCCCAGATTAGCCCTGACTGCTGGAGACAACAGGGCGTTCTCTCTCCCCTGATGTCTGATGTCACCTCACAGTCGAAGCCGGCTCGCTGTAACAATCAGCAGCAGTGTGCGAGAGGCCTGAGGAGACCCTAAGATACTGTCCTCTTTGTCATTCCGTCAGAGGGGCCTTCGCACACAGGACGAAGAGTGGGCAGGGAGACTGACTCATAGACTACATAGGCTCTAGCACATATGTTTCTGCCCCCACAAGCCCCTGTAGTGACTGGAGGTCCACGCCCATGACTGGAGAATAGTTTTAAAGCATGCAAATGTAGGGCCTCGGTCTGTACTCTGTCATTATGGGGACCGTTATGCCCTTCGGAACTGCCATGAGCCGCTGAAAATAGACACCACCCCAGCCGCACAGTCTGGGCTGCTACTTTTAAAGCGAAATCCCTTCCTTGGAATAAATGTGGTTGAATTTTGGACAAAAATGGCAATGTCTATTTTAAATTTAGCAAAAAGATTTATCAAAGTGAGATGAAAGATTATATAGCTGATTTATGAAAGCAACACATGCAACACTTACCATTTTTAAAAGAGTAGAATTAACATCTCATTGGTTTGTTCTGATCCACAGAGCTGTCCACATTATGTTTACGTCGTGAGTTCAGCTTTTTTCATTCACAGCAATCTCATTTGAGCCTGGCAGCCTCCCCCCTCCCAGATCCTTCTCCACCCTGTCCTGGTGCAGAATTACAAGTTACAGGGGGACATGTTATCAACACACCCCATAAATCACTGCAATGACTATTTTGCTCTTAATATTGTTTCCTTGGGAGACGGCAATCCATTAATTTTGCAAGATAATACAATTTTATAACGAACAAAAAATATCTATGATGCACATACAACAAAAAAGTATTTAAATGTTTAGACTGGGGAACCAAACATTTATTTAATATCAAAAATAACAAATGTTTGTCCCAGTAGAAAGTGTCTATTACACAATTAGACTAGCCTTCATCTTATTGAGAGCCTCGAGAGTCACTATTTAACCTTTTGAGCTGAGATCTGATCGGCTGGGTGAGGGTGGTCCTTTCTTTTTCACTTTTCTTACTGAAAAGGCTGATTTAAAGATGTGAAAAATTCCAAAAAACATACCAACGGAAATGTGTGGTAGAACCGAAATGTTTTGAGAATTAGATGGATTTGATTACATAGTTAAATGGTTTAAATGTTAGATACCGCAGCTTTAAGTGTTATTTTTAAGGGTGGTGATGGGGTTAAGCTTTTGACTTGCCAAGATTTTGGATGTTTTCCCTCTAGCTGTTAGGGACAATGTTTTGGCCCACACATGGTGATGAGAGGAGGCAATAGGGAAAACAGGTGTTAAAAAGTCAAGCGTTTACCCGATGAACAGACAGGAAACGACACGTGGCAAACAGTCGGAAACAAGGTTGAAAAGTTTACTGCTTTGTGATAGGGCAGTTACTGGGGAGCAACATTGAGCATTTTAAGAAACAAAAATAAAAGAGGCTACATTGCTTAGTCTTCCCAAAGGACAAAGCCTGAGAGGATGGAGACAGGATGTGAGGCTGAAGATGAGTCACAGAGGAAAATGAGAGTGCCACGATCTAGATGTTTCTCAACATTTACGTTTTGATATGATTTAGCACTTTTAGAGACTCACCTGGGCTAAATGACAGATCTAAATCATGACGTCTCAAGGTATACGTTTGCGACCAGCCTGTTGTTGGTTCATATAAAAGGAGAAAATCAATTATATAGTACACAAACATATCATACTCTACATATATTTGGCCTTTTATGATAATCATTGTCAAAGGTGTAGTCTTCAACATCACTGGTGGAGGCCTTTTGCTTGGATCCATAAATGCTGTTTTCTGCTGGAATGTTCCACAGTAGGCTAAATATTGTCCATCTACATTGGAGACAAGCAAGTGACTTGATTTGACCAGTTTGTTTGCAGAGAGGATAGCTGACCCATTGTGAAAATACAGAATAGAATTAATCATTTGTACATGATTTGGGAACCTACAAACCAGGATGATAGCAGAAAACTTGTGCAATGCATCGTGAACCATAGCTCACATGATATTGCCTTAGTGCAATTCTAATTTCATAGGTTCAGAATATTGTCTTACAGATAACTGGAGATGGAAAAAGTAACTGGATTCCAAACAAACCTGTAGATGTTGTCTGCATCCGTCCAGCTGCTGGAGCAAATGATAAACAAGTATGAATTCTTGAAATGCATGCCCATATAAGGCTTTACACATTCTAAATGTTTATGGCTCCAAAAGCATGGCGGTAATCCTTCAAAAAAGGAGATGACGGAATAATAAATAAAAAACTATATTGAGGCATCCCTGTTCAGAGAAAATTACAGTTTTAAATAAACAAAGTAAATGGTAGAATATAAGTATTTAAACCAGCTCTTGAAGGTACAAAATTCCTAATCACATGCCACTTTTTGTAAAAAGTAAAGCTTTTAAGGCCTTGAATTTGATTCCATCAAATTAAATACCTTTTAATCTAGCAGGGCTGAAGTTCAACAAAGATTTAATTTCCCTTAATCAATCAATTGTGACTAATTACCTGTAGGCCACTGGATGAAGACCATTATCCATAAAGGTCCATTTCTGTGACTCCCTCTTCAGTCCGTGTGCTGCTGTGATTTTATCCACCTCTGTGTTCCAGTGCAATCTCTCCCCAGTCCCCAACCGACTTGAGTCTTCCCACTCAAGTTTCCATAAGGAATGTATTCTTTGAGAACAAAATGGTATTTGTTCAACACGATCTAGTTTTTTCCATATCACACTAACCAGAATAAAGTAACAACCTAGTTTAATACAAACCATATTGTAATAATAAAAAATACACAATAGAAACTGGACAGACCTTTTACTGAAGCGGGTTTTCCCCGTACTTGACTGGTTCATTGCAAAACGTTGTGAGCTGAAGTAGAATACAAAGAAGATTGGGGAACATTTTTTATAAATTCACATTTATACATATGTTTATTTTATAAATCCTTAAAGTGTGATCTAGTAACAATCACGCAAGGCATATTACAGATGAAGCCACTGCCCCCTAACGGTAGAACTCTGAAGTAAACAAGAACCCATTGTGTAACTAGTGGAATCAACAGAAAACACTAAACCAAATCTATCGCAATGACGAGCAATACAGCACTTTTACATGCTTGAACAGAGGCCGATCACACATACCAAGTGTTTGTACCATAGACTGTAAATATACATGCACCATGTTTGTACACAGGAAACACCTGGGGCAAACGGCAGTTGGTGTAACCATCATGGATCTAACCATAAAGTGAGTTTTTGTGAAACTATGAACTATCTCGAACTGATACAAATGGCGCCCTCTGCAGTCAGTCTTCCGGGGTTGTGTATCAAAATACCATGGATGTATTATATTAACTATACACGCAAAATACACGGACAGGACTAAAGCGAAACCTCGTTAGGAGAAGCAACGTGATAAAGTAAAGTATGAACAGTTCCAGTTTCGAGCAGATGGTCCGAGTAAAAAAACTAGTTTGATGCATTTAGAGCTGGACACAAAGCAATGGGGCCCTTCGTAAAAGGGGTGGTTAATAAACTAAGCACATGGTACAGATGTTGACGACTGCAGACCTCGGATTACCTGCACAAGGATACAAGCTGCTAATATAAACCCCATAAACCATAGACTAGTAAACGAAGACAATTTATTAGAACAAATGAACGTGACAAAGAACAGAAGACTTGCACTCTCAATGAGGTGGGTGGCCCTTAAAAGGGCCTTTGTTGTAAAGTTTTGTGTTTTTTGTTGCCTAATACTCCTGGGACTGAGAGGAGGCCTTCTTTCCCGCCTTGCCAGAGCTGGGTGCAGCAGCCTGGCCAGTCTTCTTGGGGAGTAGCACGGCCTGGATGTTGGGCAACACACCGCCCTGAGCGATGGTCACTCCTCCAAGCAGCTTGTTCAACTCCTCATCGTTACGGACGGCGAGCTGGAGGTGTCTGGGGATGATACGGGTCTTCTTGTTGTCTCTCGCAGCGTTACCAGCCAGCTCCAGGATCTCAGCAGTCAGATACTCGAGCACCGCAGCCAGGTACACAGGAGCTCCAGCTCCCACTCGCTCTGCATAGTTTCCTTTCCGCAGGAGACGGTGCACACGGCCCACAGGGAACTGCAGACCAGCGCGGGAGCTGCGGGTCTTCGCCTTGGCGCGGGCCTTTCCTCCGGTCTTTCCTCGTCCAGACATGTTGGTAGTTCTTGATTTGCGATCACAAAATGCGTCGAAACTTGAGCAGTCGATTGACCTGATCAACCCGGTTATAAATCCTGACGGTGTCCCAAGCTCTGTCGGGATTGGCTCGAGGGCTTTACGCTCACGCGGTGTGGTTGGCTGTTACAGGCACGTGGAGTGTTTGAACCAATGAGAAGAAGTCTCACAAAGAGGCAGAGGGCGTGAACGGAAATGACCAATGGCCAATTGATTTTTCTCCCTCCACCTTTTAACTTTTGGCGGTACACCAGAATATTCTACTGCCGGAAATAAATAAAGAGAATATTCTACTAATATTTACAGTCTACCGTGCTTACCACTTTTTAGGCGGGCCTTAACAGTGTAATAAAGACTGCTTTAGAGCTCGCAATGATCTATTATTCATATAACATAGAGGTTTATAAATAGCCTGTTTAACAGAAGTAGCAATGAAAAAACATTTTGATTTCAGGAATAATTTAATGGGAATAAATAAAACGTATACACACATTATTCTGGGCCAAGTTACATTCAAACTTTAGGCCATTAGTGCATTTTAGTGCCCTTTTTGACATTATTCATGAAATTGAAGATTTTGTTTCCTAATCTTTCATGTAAAGTGCAACTTAAAAATATATATTTCTATAATAACCTGAAGTTCTGAACAAGCATCTGTTTAAAGATACAATATACAAAACAATTGTACAGACAGGTACAGCAAACATAAAAGTTGAGTTATCTTAGTGTTTATAGTGAATCTTTTTATAATACACCCTTAAATATGTATATAAAAACAGAACAGAAGTCAAACCATTGAGAGGCTGACGATTTTATATTAATATTTCAAAATCAATTATATTTTTTGTTACTGCTCTAAAAGGTGCAGTGTTTTTTCACCAGGGAGAATTCCTCGCAGAGGGATTTTTTTACTCTTCAATGCAGAACCCTCCAGGGGCCGCAAAGTGTTGGCCAGTCTTTTTATATTTGCAACAATAACATCTTTACTTCAGTTTTCCAGTGAACTTGCTCCATTTGCAGAAGAGACTTTGCTATTTGATTTTCTTGATGTGCGAAAAGAGAAGCGTTTGATGAGACGTCGTGAAAAGCTGCCTGACTTTTTGTGGCCGCTTGTTGTAGACACAACAGAGTTGTTCCCCATGTTGGAGAGGTCTTCATGGGACTGACTGAAACCAGACTCTTTCTCTCGATGTTTTCTGCGGAACAGAAGTTTGGTCCCACTCTGCAGAAACCCCACTGCAAAAAGCACATACAATAATAAAGTAGATATTTAAGCTTGGTCTAATGGTGCCTTCATGTGCTCTGGTAAAAATGATCCTTTCCACTTGTGAACTGGTAGTGTGTTCTGTTCAAGTACTTTTGTTTTTAAACATGGTTGCAGAAACTTGTCATTTCAATAGGTCATGTACATTGATTTGAGGAGTTTTTATTAAATGCAACACTTCATGAGATGTAATTTTTCCCTTTGATATAAACCACATGAGTTAATATGCACACAATTGGTTAAAATGGTTAATTACAACAAAATGCTGATAATTCACACTATTCTTGCAACTTTCTACCATTTCGAAGGTCAAAGGTTTTCTCACTCCAGCAACTTCAAGCTTAAAATGACCTCCCCGAGATGACGGGCAGTTCAAGTGCAATGTTCTACTCGGCAGGTGGTATTTACTATAATTACCAGAGAAGTCATTGAAAGCACCATAAGACATGGCCTATGCAAAACAAAGAAACGTTTATTCATTATGTGGAAACAAGGGGGCACTAGACAGTGATATTGTAGCCTAGTATCTGCTGTGTGTAATTGGTAGCTAAATAATGATGTCATGCATTTTTTTTATAGTTGATTAGAAAGGGGCGACAGTAGCTCAGTTGGTAGAGCATTGGCCTTAAGGCCTGAAGGTCGTGGGTTCAATTCCCACCTCTACACCTTCTCCACCGACTCCCACTGATGACTGCTGTCGTTGTGTCCTTGGGCAAGACACTTAACCCCACTTTGCCCAAAGCCCCCACTGAAAGATCAAGGCTATGCTCACAGTCAGAGAGCAGCCGTCCTCCTGTGGACTCACCACCTGCAGAGGGTCAGTGAGGGGCTGGTGCTATGAGACTTGGGTGGCATCTCTGACTGCCACCCCCCTGACCCAGAAATGGATTAAAAGGGTAGAAAATGGATGGATGGATGATTAGAAACATTAGAGCAGTGTCTCCCAAAGTGGGGTCCGCGGCCCCCTGGTGGGCCGCGAGGGTACTGCAGGGGGGCCGCGGGAGGTCATAAAAAAAAGAAAAAAATAATATTATTATTTAATGTTAAATTTATAATGTTTTGTTTGTAATATTAAAATATTTGTGTTCATTATTTGACTTGAATAATCCACTGTAATCATTTTTGTATTACAATGTTTGTAGCAGAGGCTATTTCCCCAAAATAAAATAACCAGAAGAGCCTATTCTTAATGTTGTCTTCTTGGTTATTATTTTGGGGGGCCACGCAGACCCGTCAGATTTTTAAGGGGGCCTCGGTGTTACTGAGTTTGGGAATGGCTGCATAAGAGGATTTCAAAATCAACCTTTATAATCCCAGTTGTCACTGAATCTGTTACTTATAAGTGCTATTGTTTCTTCCTTCTCATTTGTGTTTCCCCCACTGTGGCACCACAGGGCAAATTCCCCTTAGACCCGTTATCAGTCATATTCTCAGAGGGGAGCATGCGTGCTTGGTCACCCAATACAATATGAATTGGCTAATCAATTGACTCGAGACCTCTGTGATATGTGTAGAGTTACTATGGCTCTCTGACTCTCTCTGCCTTTATTTTTGAGTTTTTCATTTGAGAATTCTTCGATTTGAGATTGAAGCATCTTCGATTCAGCTAACAAATATTTCACAATCTTATTAATTGTGCAGAAAATTATGAGCAGGAGAACTGTTACCTTTATGGTCTTTGAGGCTGCGGGTCTCCAAACCACCTGTGGAACCAGTGTCTGACTCCACATCGTCCACAGAGGGGCGCTCTGACACGTCTGATGGTGTTGCCTCATCAGGGTCCACACTCCCTGTGCCATAGTGGTTCCCATGAGCCGCGTCCATTGCTGCTGCGTAGCCACTAGATAATGAACAGTCATCTTTGGAGAGGGGAACCTGGAGGGTGGTAATGGCATCAACACAGAGAGCCTGCACATTTTATCCACACATAATAAACTGACAAACTAACTACAAAAACACATGTAGAGCGCAGACATCTGCCACGAGGTTTTGTTTGTATGCCCCGCAGAGGTTCAACAAGATAATGTTAGTACAAAAACATCTTTTATTATCCAACCTTTGATACGCCTGAGATAATCAGTGTGCTTCTTTTAGTTGGGGTCTTTCGGGCGACCCGAGATTCTGTCAGTTGACGAATGGCTGTATCAGCAACAGGGTCCAGGCCATTGGAAAGACGACTGGATTCTGTGGAGCCACACAATAAACATAAAAGACTGTACGTAGTAGGAACTATACAAATACAGAAACTACATCAAACTAAATAGTGTCTCTTCCCTGCTGCCCATCTTTTGCATACATTTTGTCAAAAACATGATAAATGAGAGACACTCACTGCTGGGATTAGGGCTTGAGCTTTTTCCATCTGACAGAATGGTGGGCTTCTTCTCTGTCACCTCCACTTTAGAAGGAGAGCGTAAGGGAGAGTCGCCTTAAACAACACAAAGAGTCATTGTTTTACTAGCACTAGTTGTCAATATGTGGAATTACAATAGTGAACATTTTTCTCAAGAAATTGTCACTCATCTACTCATCAGTTCACAAGAATCCTTACACTGCCCTTCTGCGCAGGACTGCAGACTCACATTATTGGATGTTGTACTGGTGCGCCTAATTTTATTCAAATGCACCAGCACCAATATTTCCATTTTTGTTGGATCTTCATCAACAAAATGTCAAAACTCTGCAGCCCTGTCTGTTCAAGAATGTCAGCCACAGAGCAAATGAAAACCCAACAAATGTAATCTCCTCTTTAATAACTATTCCTGTCATTTACATTTGGTAATTTGAAGTACCTGGGCTGTGATCAAGTTTCAGACGAGACTGAACAGTGGTGACTGTGGTCACAATGGTGCCATCAGGCATTATTGTTCGATCTACATCAACTTTCTTTGTTGGTGTGAGCGAAGAGCGAAGAGGCAAAACACCACCACTAGGGTCTGTGTCTGTATACGAAACCTGCAGAAACAATACAATATTTAGTTGGGGGAAAATAATTTGCTTATGCCTTTAAAAAATTGGAAATATGAATGCTCTCACCTCTGTAGCCACAGTAGCATTTGGAGCCAGTCCATAGCCCGGGCTGATTGAGAGTACGCGTTGTTCTTGGGAAACTTTTAACTTTTCCAAGTTAATAGATGCATGTCCAGGCAAGAGCTCTAATAAATAAAAAATAAATTAAGCAAACTACTGATTACAATATTCCAAAATAGGTTAACAGGTATGCCTCCATGACCTGAAAACAGAGAAAGTGAAAGAAAACAGATAGATAGAAGTATACAGTTTTCTTTTCCTTATAATACACAAAGCAGCTCAAATAGAGCATAACCTTTTGTGACATTTACGCCTGAATAATTCTGCTCAAGCATTCAACACTTTCCTGCTGAGTGTTTTTCAACTGCAGCCAAACATGAATCACTGAAATGCAAAGCCTTACGTTCTCTCTTGCCGTTTCGCTCCAGAATTCTTATTCTCAGCTCTTTGGATTCCAGACCCAAGTCACTGTAACAAATGAAACCCACATCCAATCTTTTCAACAGTATGTACATTATCTCGTCTTCATCTTGACATAATATTTCTGACGTACAAAGAAATGTCTTCACTCCACTCCACTGGGGTGTTGGGGTTATTAGGCAAAGACAGGAAGCGTGTGGTCTTCTCTGTGGATGGTTGGTCCAAGTTAAAGACACAGCAGAGCTCCCCTGATTTTAGCCATTGTTCTGTAAAGATACAGTATACAAGCATTGGATTTAACAAAGAAAATATCCCATTGAATAAATTCATGAATAGACAGATGCTCTAATTGAGAAAAACTCATGAAGCAGACATAAGAACAGACATCATTTTCACACCTGGACTGGATTAAGCCCAGACTGTGAGGCAGTATGTGTAGGTGGCATTTAGTGGGAGGTGTGAAAGTGAAAAAAATCTCCAGCTGGATAACTGACCTTTGGATAAGGTCACTCTGAGATGCCGGAACTGGAGCTGCCTAACACTCTGGGGCCGCACAAATAAATAATCCTTTGTTCTCTGTAAATGGATAAACATAATTTTAACATTATTTACACACTGGGTAATTAGAAAAGAACATCAAAGTATAACTATAAATATATATAAATTACCAAGGGACCTGATTCACAGGTTTTCAGATCCAAAACCATTGCTGGCTGCGCACCAAAAAGAGTGTCCTCCACGAGTCCCCTGATTACATCCAAATCTCCTTCACCTGCATGAGGCTGGGAGAAAGACAAACGCATGAGAGAGGGAACCAGTATCTGTCAACGTTCAGAGCACCGACCACCAGCGAGGTCAGCGTGAATAGTATTACATGGGTCCAGCTGTAGCGTGCGTCATACTGGCTCTATTAACCTGTTTTGGCTTAAAAAGATCAGTGGAATTAAAAACCTATATTCATATACAACAAAGGTCAAAATACTCCCTATATTTAATTCAAATAATATCAGAAGCCGCTTTAACTAACATGGAGATATAGGCAGATGGCATTTGTGTAATTTTTCTGGACCATAGACCGTATATTAGGAGTGGACTGACCAAGTGCTGACGTCATCCATAGTGTTTGACGAATGCGGAAGAAGCTGATTTGAGCTTGAGCTAGCTGGAGCCAATGTCCTTGTACAGGCATTTGTTCCAACAGCATTAGCTTTGCGCTGTAACAGGGGCAGACATGTTGCTACGATAATTTGACAAAAGGTAGTAGAGTTTACTTAGGAGTCAATAGGAGCTAGAACAAGTTGGAGCAAAACCTCGTCCATGAGCACTTCCTTATTGGGCTTCATTGAGCTAGTGGGTTAGTTGTTCATCTACAGGTATATACAGTCTACAGCCTGGACAAAAGCGTTTTAGATTCCTGTACATAGATTACAGCACTGTGCGTGACTTTCATCTTGATAGCTTGTTTGTGTAAAATGACGATGGTGCTGTGAATGTAGCTTTACCTGCTTTTGGACCTTGAGAGTTGATACAGATATAGAAAAACAAGACTCTCTTGAAAGAGTCCAGGATATTAGCAAACCCTCATTTTCCACCTCCTCAAGACATACTTCCATCTGAAATAAAAAACAAAATCCTTTTTCATGCCAATAACAATTTATGGATCTCTTTTTTCGGATTTCACAGATTGCTCTGGGGATAATTATTGTAAAAAATGGTATGTGACGTCTTGTCTTTTTTTACCTTGGCCACAACAGGTACGATATGGGTCTGATATGTTTCCATGGAGACAGAGGCCGCTGACTGCTGCGTGACGGATACAGGAAACGTCATGTTGCCCACTCGACATTTGCACTGAAGGACCTGTGCGTCAAAGAAAGAGCACCAAAATGACTTTACATAACAAATTAAATCCAAATTACACACTAGAACACATTTACATACCATCCGATGTGCTGATTGGTCAGTGCAGGTCACACTCTCTATTTCACAGGCTGTATTTAGGTGTAGAGTGCTGTCAAACGTGATCTGGATTGAACTCTGCAAAAAAACATGTTTACATTACTATTAAGTGCAAGCACATGTGCAGCAATATATTTAGTTTTCTAATACTTAAGAACTATTTTAGTGATAGATCAGTTGTTAACTTCTCATAAAATAGAAGTAACCAGGAGGCTGTAAAGTAGAGCTGCAACTAACGATTATTTTGTAATCGATTAATCTATCGATTATTTTTACGATTAATCGAGTAATCGCTTGGCTGTGAATTGTGTAGAAAAAAATTATTTTTTCATCACAAAAAGCTAAAGTGGCAACACTCGAGGACGTATTGCTGGCGTAAACTTAAAGTAAATGTTTGTAACAGGCTCTTTGTGCTAATTCTGCTATCTGATTGGATGAGACAGACAGATATTCATGAAATTATAAAAACAAAGTCGGTTTTAATCAAAAATACTACATTTTCATGTCATTTTTGCTCTGTTTGAGTCCGTGTGAACCAGAAAACGATTAATCGATTACTAAAATAGTTGTCGACTATTTCAATCATCGATTAGTCGTCGATTAATCGATTAGTTGTTTCAGCCCTACTGTAAAGTGCCAGACTGTTGTCGTGTCCTTAGGCAAGACACTTTACCCACATTGGCTTGCATGAGTCTCATTTGAGTGAATGATCTGTGTTGATCGGAGAGGCCAATGGCACTTACTGGTTGCCTCGCTCCTGCTAGTCTACCCCAGGGCAGCTGTGGCTAGTTTATATGCACCTTTTTGGAATGAATGAATAATGCCAAGTTAAGTGTCTTTGAGTGTCCAAAAAAGAGCAATAAACAAACAATGCATTATTTAGTCATGATTTGTCGTTAACTTGTCATTTAGACCGGGTTAGATAGGGTGGTTCACTGTAAGTAGATCAGTTTCATTGGACCACATGTGAGCCAACACAAATCCCCTATTGTCAGCACATATGTTACACCAGGTCCAAGTCCAACAGGAGCGAGACATCAGTTTGAAGCATGTGGGAGAGTCAGCAGCAAGAAGGGGCAAGAAGCCAAGGCTGCAGCAGTCCCATAAAAAAACAATATGCTGTACAAATTAGATACTGCTGATTACTGCTGAGTCGACAAGGCTTTCATTTATATATATCCAAAGTCCAACATTATGTGAACTGACGTCAATTGTCAGTTACCCTGTCAATGGTTGTCCATATGTCTCATAATATTAGTAATACATTCATGTCACAATGACTTTTTTATGAATGCTACAGAACGGCAGTTGGCATTAAAGAAGACATGCTATGCCAAATCAACTTTCTTGAGCTTTCAACCATGTTACAACATTGTTTCCTCATCAAAACCAGAGCTGCGAGTGGTTTTCAGATCTATCCACACTGATATTCGGCACAGATATGTAACTCCATCCCTTCTGTCCAAAAGTTCCTTTCTCCTTCCTGTAATAGTATGATGTAAGTATTACACTACTGAGAGAGTTTTCTGCCTTTGTGATGTGGTGACCTAAATTAGTTTTGGGTAATCTCTCAAGTGAAAATACAGATCCTTCGCTGTGTATGCAGCCGGTTATCTTCAAATTTTATTTAAAAAATAAATAAATAATAATTCAACTCTTGTGGTAGCAAAGGGAGTTACAGGTGGAAAGCCTTATTTACCGCTCATTTTCTTCACCTATTACTTAAGATATTATTTTAAGTAAAAAGTCTCATTATCATATATTTTGTCATCTTTTCAGTCGTTTAGTAATTGATCGGCTGATGGCATTAGTAGACTAAATTAGACAACAACCTATTTTAATCAAATTGCGAGGATTTCTTTAAGGAAACTGCAAAATAAATATGGAGCAAATGGCTGAATATTTAGTCATTATTTTATGTTATTTATAGAGTATTTTTAAGTTGTTTTGTGTCAAATATAAGGATCGGAAACTTGACTCATATTTACTTTGAGAGATTTTGTAATAAAGTAATTCATCAACAGGGCCTGTATTTAGTGACGAACACAAAATGTGCCTCATATCTGATTGATAAACATTATAGCTCATCAAGGCAACAGATTTCATGACAGATTGAATTATATTGGTTGGATAAAGGCGTCCGAACCAGTGATGTGAATATTTGTGTACAGATTATAATAGCGTGTCATGCATTGGTCAGCGCAGGCTCTGGGCGGTGGGCATGTGCATGGTTTGACCTTGTGACGCAGCAGAGGTCAGATGAGAATATTTTCTGAAAATAATAAAGTTCCTGAGGACATCTTTGTGTCACATCTCATTTATATCAGGCCTCTGGCTCTCAGAAACAAAACAATTATCCACACTTACTATTAAGATTCTATTTACGAGTATACACAAAACCGAATCATTCAAGGCAAACCTAAATATTATGTATGCGTTAACTAATTGTCAGTGAATGCACAAAGCCAGGCTTAATGCTGTGCTACAGTATACGTTGCCTACATTGAAAATACATGTTCAGAGTTTCATAATTCTTTATGGTAGTTTGCCAAGTGCTAATATTTGGCATAGCTGCATCTAACGTCTAATATCTGGTTAGGAAGTGGATGAATGTCTTCTCATGAACCCTTTAATGTTCAAGTTTAGATACCTAACTTTTGTGCACATATTTACTAAGTAATACCATCCATGTAACTAGTTCCTGGTTCTTAAACAGTTTGGTTCAACCACTGGCTTTCACAAGCATGTGTTTGGCCTCTGCAACATCTTTAAAGACAGGACCTCTCACTCAGACACTGAGGACAGCATGTTGTGGTCTGATTCGTTCATTTGTTTAATTTGCTTTTACAAAACTCTTTCGGAACAACAACATTTGTTATTTATGGGGGTAAAATAGGTCCCCCATCTTTAAGGAATTAATCATTTAATTATTTGGTTTTATGTGTTGATTTTTTTTCTCCTAACTTTCAAAATATTTGAGTATGAGCATCGTTGTCGGAGCATCATTTTACAGAATGAAAATGAAAGGATGAAGAGGCTGGCTTCCTGTATTATCGGCCTAAATGAGTGCAGAGTAGATAATGTCCCCAGTTGTTTAGGAAGAGCCGACTTGAGCATAATCACAACACATTAATCATCTAATAGAGAGAGCGCTGAGTGAAGTGTGGTCTAATAATAATCATCCATCTCATTCTAACCACAAATTTAGAGCGGTCTTTTCCGATTTCCTCTGAGAGACACAGTGATATTAGTGGTGGTGTTTTTAGCCTCATGTGTCAGTGGCAGATGCACAGATGATGCTCAGATCCTTGAGAGGCCAGTGCTGCGCTTTCACAAACAAATCCAACATTTGCACAGAGAATATCTCCGTCAGAGGCCTGTCTTCTAACACCAGAGGCTCTTTCGGTTTGACTGCAGAGGTCAGATCTATTCTCGAAACCAATAAGAACTGAGTCATACAAACAAGTCACAGCAATAGATGCAGAAGAGTCCAACAATTCCCCAAAGGTTAATGTGGAAAACTGTGAACGTATTGGTGTTTCTTCACATAAAAACTAGATTCTATCTGGTGCAATGCCAATAGGATGAGTTTAATCTACTTATAATCAGGTCGGGAGATAGGTGGAAGCTGGTGGTAAATAGTACATGTTTCAAATACATGATAGATGCATGTTAAAATATTACTGAATATTATGAAAAAGCACACAGCAATTCTTCAGGACTCATTGTACTGTCAGAGTCTTTATCTTATTAAAAAAACATTACATCTTTTGCATATTTGTAAGCGAGCTCAAGATCAGACAGAGGCAAGTGAAAACTAGCAAAAGAACTGGTTTGATTGATTATATTCGATGGTTCATTTTTTTGTGGTTTGGTACCAAAGCTTTGATGAGGGAAAAACAAATAAAAAATAATCCTAATTTTCAGAAATATCTAGTATAGTATTTATACCGGGAAACGCACTTTCTATGAACATTTGACCCTGGTCCATCTGAATGTGTCTTGTGTGTAATAAACCTTGAGTTAGCGAGTTATCTGAAAGTCCTTGTAGTGACCTTGTCTTCAGTCTCATATAGCAGAAACGTCACCACAAATCAAAGTGATAATCCAAACAAACACTCACAGACGTCTCGCCTACTTCTCGCCCACGAATCAAAAAACGCATGCATTTTTTCCCCAGAGATTTCAAGAAAAAACTATTTAAAGATCAAAAGCTTGCTCATGGTTGATCAGCTATGTGGTGAGTAATGAGTCTAGACTTATATTTATATTAAAGTATATTGATTATAGTTTGAAAAGCATTTGTTGTCTTTAGTTGATTAGTTGGTCAATGGTGTTTAGTTTTCATCTGAACTAATTAACAAAGATTTCTAAAGATCAGTCCTGATAAAACTGAATTCACAAGTTTAATTCATCTCTTTATAGTTTGTTAAATATTTGAGTCATTTTATGCCTAAATTATTGTTTTTTGAGTATTAGTACAGCCTATTTTCTTTTTTAAATCATCAAGGCATTACTCTGGTCGACCAAGAATTTATTTGCTTGACAAAAGCTCTACAAATGTGCATATTTTGAAAAATGTTAGGCTTTGTCTTGTCTTCTTTGGGCTGAAAACGACTGCTGTGGGTAGTAGTTACACATTGCAAGCCTCTGATGTGTCTTCAAACTTTAACTTTTCAAAACTCCTTCAGGGATTTTACATGGGAAATGTTGCTACCGGAACCTGAGCAGACTGCCCACTTCGCGGCTCCACCTGAATCCAGAAAACTGAGTCATTTTTCTGAGCCTCCGCGTACATGGGGTCAGGTTTCCCCAGAGCAGTGTCACACTACAAGGACAACAGCAGCGGGATTGCACTTTGAACCGCAGTGTTTTTGTGGAAGTTGTAACGAGAAAAACTCCATTGAGGAGGCTTTAAAGAGACGTGTGTCAGGGGGACTGCCGACTGACAACTCTGAGACAAGACTAGCACTTTGTTTGCAGCAGCACAGCAACATTGTCAATACGATCAAAAGGGTATATTGTAAATTATGTTTATTTATATATGGAAAGTATGCAACTAAAGTGTATATTAAATCTTCATGGCAGTCAGTAATTGAATAAGATTAATGAAATACATGCCCAGGTTCAATCTGCATGTCACACTTGTATGTTGCTTTCTAAAATTGGATCTCTTTTTTTATTTACTAATGCATTTATTTGTTTGGTAATATTTTGTTGTACAGCTTCTGAAATAGACCTTGAAATAGTCTTTTGATGCATCTCCTCCTTTCACATGGACTACGGTTGAAAACAAGCTTTGTAACAGAAACCATCTGCCTTTTTGGATGTCTTTCTTTTCTATACCACATTATACTACTATTATAATTTCACAAAACCAGTATATTTGGAAATGTCAATTATTTTGATGCACCTGGTCAATAATATACCAATAATCAGAAGGTAGTTTCAGAGCTGTCTAATTACTGACACCATAGAAAAAGTCTGAGTGGGATATCTTATATGTTTTGTAATGAAAACCATGGGAGTTGCTAGTGACATACCAAGGCCCTCTGAGCAGGTTTTACCAGTCAGAAACAGAGTGTCTCTATTTACAAAGAACGTACCAGAAAGTCCCATTCACAAATTAATTGAATTAAACAAATGAAACAAAACAAAACATATTCAAACATCACAGTATACTACTTTGATTTGCCCAATGCTCTGGCTGCATCAGTATTAACCTATGACTATAGCCGTCAGTATTCTATAAGAAGAAGTTGGTAAACATTGTGTTGCAGTTTAAATCTTGCATTCCTCTTTATTAATAACAAAAATACATGCATTAACGGTTACTGTTGTTTATAATGCACATTTATCTAAAGCACAGTTCAAAGACCTTCATTTAGCAACCCTAGAAATATGATCCATCTCTGTCCAACCAAGGGGCCTTTTAATAAACATGAGCCTGCTTGACCTTATAACTGTGAAGCAATATTTACATAAGGAAGGTAAGTTCCTAGCCTGGTTTTACCATACCCTCGTACTCGGGAAAAAAAGATTTGACCGGAGTTTACGGATGGCAAAGGCCAGGCTAGTAAGTTCCTTGTACCATAGATTAACGGACACTGTGCTAACTAAGCCGATGTGTCTATCTTTAACAACATAATATTCAACCATTCATCTTCCACTTATTCTGGAGCGGCTTGTGGAGGCTGCAGCCTTAACATGCAATCCCAGACTTCCCCCACCTACTCTTGGGTGTAATCATGAGCCCCTGAGGAAAGCCAGCTGTGGGTCCCTCCAGCATGTCCTGGGTCTTCCCCAGGGCCTCTCAGTGAGACGTGCAAGAGAGTGCCTCTGCTGTTGTGTTTCCTGAACCACTTCTTTAAAATTCTACTACCAACACAATGTTATGTTATATAAAAAAAAATTGTTTAGTTGTTTTTAAAACTTCTCTCTTCATGGTTATTAATGACAGAATGCGGACTTTGACATATACAATTAATTAAAATAGCATAAATGTTAAGCTATAGATGATAAACATGATATACTCTGGAAGTTTTCCATGCTTTTACAAGTATATATCAGCAGATTGAATAAGTGGAAGAGCACACTCTCAGTAGTGAGAAGGATGCAAATCAGGAATTGGAACTGCTCTCCAGAGGAGCATCTGACACCACCTTTGTTCAATGTGGAGGAGCAGAATCTCTACTCTGAGCTCCTTCCAGGTGAGAGATTAGTTTTACTGAGTGTATGGTGTAACACTGAGGAGTCACAGTCATACAGCACAATGAGTTAGTACTTACTTAATTACAATGAATAAAACTAATTTCAACTGCTTGCATTTCTATTTTAGCATTGGATGACTTGACTGTAGCACTTTCCTCTGTTCCACTATAATGTGTACTTGACTTAAAGCTGGTATGCAAGCCTCCGCTCCACCATTTTCCTAAATCGACACTCAAACTCTTCCACCTCCACCTCGCTGCCCACACACTGCTGCATCATCACAGCACTTTCAATCCTGACACTGTTTACACCGTTTTGTGATAGGAGTAAAAAACACTCAAGACAAATTGCATCATTGCCAAAACCTCTGTAGTTTTGGTAATGATGTAGTGATGTCACGAAAGTACATGACCTACAAAGTACAAATGAAACATAAAAGTTGGATCAAGCAAGAAAAGATTTGGATACAACTGTGTCATTACAAGTGTCAACCAGGGACAACCAGTTTTAACTTTTAACTACACTATCATTCACTACTCGATTGAATAATGTGTGTTCTCTATGTATTTTTCTAAATAACAATAAGAATGACCTTTCATTGACCAAGGGTGCCTGTCCTGTAGTTACACTCTCCCCATGGAGATCAGGTCAGCGGGTACCGTGGGTACTTTTTAAATTAAAATAAAATCTCACTTTAAAATCGAATGGCTTATTTATGAGTCATACATTTTATCAATTAATTTGTGAATGTGTATTTAGAATATATAAATAATTATAAAGTTATTAATATTATTAAATTAAAACATACTCTCCAGCTAAAGAGATGGTTGAAAAGCTGAATCAGAACTTTACAGGAGTGTTCTGCATGGATGACCGCATGACTTCAATTTTAATGAAAAAACTGCCAAGCCCATTCTACTCACCCCATGCCTGGTTGCTTGCTCATTCAGGGCTTTGACCCAGGTCCTCTGCCAGTTCTCCCTAAAGGATTTGAAGGAGAACAGAGAGCCCACCAGACCCTTTACCCCTGCCTCAGAGGCAGATCTTCCATCCCAGCCATATCGGAGATATGTCAAAATGCCCCACAATCCATGCGCCTGGTTCTTCTCTTTTACCCATTTAGGGAGAAACTGCTGCCAGGCACTTCCCCTCTTGTCCTGCTTGGTTGTCCATTTGGCTCTCCACAGACGCAGCACGACCAAGGAATATTGCACGAACCACAACAGTACAATGAGCATGGAAGCCAGGAAGAGAGCCACCATGCACAGCCAGCCCAGGTCCTGGAGCTCCATCAGCGTCTCCTGGCGCTTCTCATGTCCGCGCATGAAATGTCAGCAGTCCGTCCCAACCATAGACAGGTCAGCCCCCTTTAGCCTGCGCGTGATAAAACACACACGGTCACCTTGGTGTACATGTCACAACATTGAAACCGAGGAACGCAAACATGCATTCACCCATGACAAATACTATACATTTGATGGTTAAAGTGCGCCATAATACACGACATCACATGACAGTGTGGAAGCAGCAGGGATGAGATGCCAGGAGATCATTATGTCACAATGCACGTCAGCGGAGAAGTTGTTGTTGCTGTTGAAGCGTTCTAGTCTTAGTACTGAGTAAAAGAGAAACCTACCACCGACTTAAGTCACAAGCTGCGGCGAACTGAAAGCAAGGAGTCGGTAACATGAAGATGTCTTCATGGCGATGCACAGCGCTGTCCACATCAACGAGCGTGTTCGTCTCATCTCCGGCACATCTGCGAGATTTCCTCGGGCTCTTTCCCTGACATTTGTCTATTCTAAACACAGTCTCGTGTGAGTCCTGTTCTATACGCTGCGAACTCTGGAAGGTTCAATCTCCGTCACTTTGCCTCCTCCTACAAGCGACTAGGGACCGGACCTCTTCATTTTAACACGGTCTAACCCCAGTGTGCCGAGTGAGGGCGCTCAAGAGGCATTTGACAAGCTTTGTTTTTTTGTTTTTTTTAAACGGCATTGAACGTTGAATTCTTTTTAGTTTCACAGACATATAAAAATGATACTACACAAAAACCAGATAATAGCATACAATGTGTAATTTATTGTATTTCAAACTAAATAAAAACTCATGTCAACCTGATAAACTGAGGCTGCACATAAAACGTTTCATGTTCTTCTGAAATAAACAATTGTTTATATATTTCTGTATTGTAATTATTATTATTATCATCATTCTTCTTCTTCTTCTTTTATTATTATGATTATGATAATAATCATAATCATAATAATAATAATAATTATTATTATTTAAAAAAAAAATATAAGAGGAAATGACAGTCGATGCATGCAGTTACAGGCAAAGACAACAGGGGTGTAGATTATTCTTTTATGTATGCAGTGAAGTAAATAATGAGAGTTCAATACCACAAACTCCAGAAGGTGGCGGTAATGTACTTTTTCATGTTTGCCACCCGCCAATAAACCCCACGAGAGAATGTATGCATCCATATTCAACAAAACATTTCCTTACTGTTCTCTTTTTGTGATTAAAATATATCTTTTGCGAAGCTGAATAAAATCATAATTGGCCAAGTATAATTTAACATATTTTAAAACGCTTTAGTATCAGTTAATTTACATTTTATCGGTCCAAAGTAAATAAAAATGAAAAGAAAAGGGCAAAGAAGAAGTGAATTTGGATGTGGACAGGACTGGAGCTCAGGGGTTAACCGGAAACATGATGCTGTGTTGTTAGCGTAGTTCTGTGATTGTTGGACGTGGAGTTTTGCGCTTCAGGAACATATTACTTTAAACACGATGAAACATGATTTACACCGATGCGTGGATTGCAGGATTCATTCGTCTCTAACACGGGATCGGAGAACTCGTTTCGCTCTAAACTGACATGTAATTTGTAGAGCAAAATCGATTATTACTTCGGGCGAATCCGAAAAGAAATTTGAGCTGTCAACACGAGAAACCGCACAATGCTTCCAAATATGTCCTCTGTGCCAGTTCTACCGCTGGTTATAAACTGCTGTTTATCTATGTTAGGCTGTCTCGCTACTATCAAACTAATTCCTGCCTTCAGAGCACATTTTATATCTGCCAGATTGTACGGAATTGACCTCAACAAGACATCCAAAAAGGAAGTGTAAGTGTTTTGTATACAACGTCCGTAAGAAGTCTGCCTCTCTGAAGTTGTTTTTCTCAATGTTTTAACAGTCCAGAGTCCCAGGGGGTCATCAGTGGGACCGTATTCCTGATAATCCTGTTCTGCTTCATCCCAGTGCCTTTCCTTAGCTGCTTTGTTGGAGATCAGTGTATGGGGTTTCCTCACGATGAGGTACATTATTTCACAGGAATCAATATATAAGCCAGAGTGTCTTTAAACATGCTCTTTATGTGTAGTTTGTGCAACTCATTGGTGCACTTCTGGCCATTTGCTGCATGATCTTCCTGGGGTTTGCTGATGATGTTCTGAACCTGCGATGGAGACACAAGCTTCTCCTCCCCACCATGGCATCTTTGCCTCTACTTATGGTTTATTTTACCAATTTTGGCAATACTGTCATTGTGGTACCTAAACCATTCAGGGTTCTGCTTGGACTTCACTTAGATCTGGGTTTGTACTTGTTTAAGCAATTACACTCAGACATAGTCTTCCCCTGTGTCTGAATCATTTTCATCATATAATACAATGTGTTTTTGCAGGAATTCTTTACTATGTTTATATGGGAATGCTGGCAGTTTTCTGCACAAATGCCATAAACATTCTAGCTGGCATCAATGGCATTGAATCAGGCCAAGCTCTGTTTATTGCTGGCTCCATCATTACATTTAACTTTCTGGAACTCACTGGTGTGTTATTTATGTTTTAACATACTTTGTGTTGATATTTGTGTTGAACCATTATCTAAAACTTGTTTCAGGAGACTATGGTGCTGACCATGTTTTCTCCTTGTACTTCATGATGCCATTCTTTTTCACCACATTAGGACTGTTTTATCACAACTGGTGAGCCTACAAATGTGTAGTAATAAATTATACTAAATATGTTATACATAATTAACCATTTATTGCTGTATAATTCATGCCTTTATGCAGGTATCCCTCATCAGTATTTGTGGGAGATACTTTCTGTTACTTTGCCGGAATGACTTTTGCTGTTGTGGGAATCCTTGGTCACTTCAGCAAAACGATGCTCCTGTTTTTTATTCCCCAAGTAGCAAATTTCATATACTCGCTTCCTCAACTTTTTCATATAATTCCCTGTCCAAGACATAGACTCCCCAGGTAAACTATTACTACTGTGGTGAAATTAAATTTTTATTCTATCTAATCCCCTTTATCATTTCTTAAACCAGATTAAATCAAGACACAGGAAAACTTGATATGAGTTACTCTAAATTTAAAAGTAAAGACCTCTCCAAATTGGGTCATCTAATTATAAAGGTAAGCTGTCGGAGTAAAAAAGGCCTTCCTCTTTTTTTTGGATTTTTTTTAATATACTCAATTTACAGATTGCAGAGTTACTGAGAGTTCTTGAAGTAAGAAGGGAAAAGAAAGACGGGGATGATTATATTGAATGCAACAATATGACGATAATAAATCTGGTGCTAAAACTACTTGGTCCAACGCACGAGAGAAGTCTCACAGTCATCATGCTTATTATTCAGGTAGAGTAGCATATTTGTATGATTTTAAATTCACACTGTTTTTTACATGATCTATCTTCTCTTGCACAGGTCATAGGAAGTGTTGTGGCATTCGGCATTCGTTATCATCTGGTTCGTCTCTTTTATGATGTTTGAATTGTAATGAAAATATTGACTGAACAACAAACTTTGTTGCATTCAAAAACAAATTGGTTTTCTTATCTCAATCGATCTTTGTTTTCTGAGTTGTTATACGAGGAGGCATCTTTATCTGGGTCATATAATTTGTGAATTTAGGAGCACTACGACTGCTATTGCACTATAGCTGGAAGATCCCTCATAACACTGTTAAATTTAATAAACGTTAGAGCAACAAACCAAAAAAATATATACTTTTTTTTCACTAAATGGCTAAAATGTCAAGAGGATTGTCTGCTTGGTGCATACAATAGTACATGTGAATGTGAAGTTATTGGCACTGATTCGCTCTGTATCTTGTATCTTGACAAGCAATGTATAAAAATAAAGTGAATATATGACACGTTTTTTGTTTTGTTTTTTTAGTGTTCATCTCTAATGTGAAAAAAAAAATGTAAGGCGGAACTATTTACTCATGTCGTTGTTTCAGGCGGGACATTTGTAGACGCACGTTCACCAACCATAGCAGAGCTGTTTTTTATCAGCATGATTTTACCACAGACTGCACATTTTGGCGTGACTGGTATCTCTGGAACTATAGTTTACTAATAAATGTGCATAGCAAAATCCGATTTTGTTAGAATCAAATGAGTTGAGCGTCTGTGGGTGTTATCCAGGTCCAAATGCCGCCGAAAAAACGAAATCGCAAATCGCCTCTAGTCTTGGAGTGTGAGTGGGGTCTTTGCCAAGAAGTCTTCCATGAAATGGAGGCTTTCTGTAAACACGTTGAAGATCACATGCACACTTTGAACACCACAGAAGAGGAGGCTGCTGAGGGTAACGCTTCAACTCGCTGCTCGTTTTTTTGCTCATATTTGTGTGTACTACATCACCTTGTCATCACTGACAGGAGTTCACAGCTGTCTCTGGAGGGAGTGTGGCTTCTGCTCCTCTGAAGGTCTGGAGGAGCTGAGGAGACATGTGTTTTTTCACAGTTTCCACACCAAGTTAAAGCAGCTGGGTCAACAAGTGCTTGATACCCAACCAGAGCTTAACAAATGCACCATTGGAATGGGGAGAAACCTAATTCCTGATATACCTGACAATTTTGTCTGCTTGTGGGAAGATTGCGAGGTTTGTTTGACAGTTCTTTGATGCCTCTACCCATTTCAAAATATCTTAATGCCTAGTATTATTTTTTCCAGCAACAATCATTTGAAAATCCAGAATGGTTTTATCGTCATGTTGAGATGCATAGTTTGTGTGTAGATGTTCCAGCAGGTGACTGTGAGTTTTCAGTACGCTGTGGATGGAAAGGTGCGTTTTTTATTTATTATTGTTGGAGGATGTTGTTTAAAATGTGTCATCCCCCTCTAGATTGTGAAGCTACTGCCAAAGGGCGCCCTAAACTCAAAGAGCACCTTCGTAGTCACACACAAGAGAAGATAACCGCTTGTCCAGGCTGTGGTGGCATGTACGCCAGTAATACCAAACTATTTGACCACATCATGAGACAGAGTGCTTTGGAAGGTATATACACCTACTATACTGTGTTGCATTTTGTTGTTATTATCATTGTGATTGCTCTGTGCAGGACTGGGTAGATTTCAGTGTTCCCATTGTTCCAAACGTTTTGCCACAGAGCGGCTACTGAGAGATCACATGAGGAACCATGGTTAGTCGTGCATTTCTTTATGTATGTTTTCCAAATACACAGGTGTCAAACTCACTCCACTCATTCCATTTAGGCTGGTGCTGATTTTCATCCTAACCAAGCAGGAGCACACAAGAGTCTTCAAACTTCCTTGAGTCTGTTGTGCTCCTACTTGATTGAAATTAAAACCTGCAGCCAGGGTTGTATCTAATTCTTTGTTTGTTTATGATGCAGAGGTCTAGCAGAAAACATGTTTTATTGTACTCTGGATAAATGACACAAGCAGTTTCCCATGAGCTCTTAGAGTGCTCTGGGTTTTAAACCCAGACAAAACCACTACGCAGATTTTGCTTTGACCTTCAGATAATAAAAACACAAAGTGGAAAATTAAATCACTGACTTGTGCATACTGTTGTAATGACCAACTCAGTTTTACCAAAATGTCACCAAAAGTCTCATAAAAGATCCATAGTTGCATAAGTGAATATTTTGTATTCATTTTATTTCCTCTAGTGAGCCATTACAAATGCCCTCTGTGTGATATGACTTGTCCAACACCTTCATCCCTACGTAACCACATAAAGTATCGCCACAGCACAGAGAAACCATACAGTTGTGAATACTGCGAGTACAGGTATGTTGCACGTTTGTTCATTGCTTGGTGTTTGTGGGACTATGGTTTTCGGATTATGTAAGTCTCGATGTCTGCAGCTGCAAGAATCAAGTGGACCTTCGTAAACACCTGGACAGCCACAGCAGTGAACCAGCATTTCACTGCGATGTTCCTGCTTGTGATTTCACCTCTCGCTCATTCTCCACCATGAAAAAGCACCACAAAAAAGAGCATCAGGTACATGTAACATTTTGCTTGGCCAATTGAACATAGACGGTGATTCTAACGCGTATTGTCTTCAAAATAGGGAGACTTTATTGCTCGTTACAAATGCCATGTGTGCGAACAGTGCTTCACCAGAGGAAACAACTTGACCGTTCATCTACATAAAAAACATCAATTCAAATGGCCATCTGGACATCCACGTTTCAGGTATTTCTAGCACTGTATTTAAGTGTTTTTAATAGATAAGATAGACTTTATTGATCTCACACAGGAGAAATTTACATGTTACAGTTGGCATAGATAGAATCACTCTGTGCAAAAGAAGTGTGCATTTATGTTAGAAGCAAAAAACAGTTTATATTTATTTACAGTGCATCCGGAAAGTATTCACAGCACTTCAATGTTTTCACATGTTGTTATTTTACAGCCTTATTCCAAAATGGATTCAATTAATTATTTTTCCCTCAATTCACCCCATAATGACGAAATGAAAAAAGTGCGTTTGAGATTCTTGTAAATTTATTAAAAATAAAAGAAATCACATGTACATAAGTATTCACAGCCTTTGCCATGAAGCTCAAAATGGAGCTCAGGTGCATCCTGTTTCCACGGATCATCCTTGAGATGCTTCTACTGCTTAATTGGAGTCCACCTTCCAATTCAGTTGATTGGACTTGATTTGGAAAGGCACACACATGTATAAAGTCCCACAGTTGACAGTGCATGTTAGAGCACAAACCAAGTATGAAGTCAAAGGAATTGTCGGTAGACCTCCGAAACAGGATTGTTGTCAAAGGAACTCTTTGGCGTGAATGCCAGGCGTTTGGAGGAAACAGGCACTGCTCATCACCAAGCCAATACCATCCCTACAGTGAAGCATGGTGGTGGTAGCATCATGCTGTGGGGATGTTTTTCAGCGGCAGGAACTAGGAGACTTGTCAAGATAGAGGGAAAGATGAATGTAGCAATGTACAGAGACATCCTGGATGAAAACCTGCTCCAGAGCACTCGTGACCTCAGACTGGGGCGACGGTTCATCTTTCAGCAGGACAACTACCCTAAGCACACAGCCAGTGCACCGACACTCCCCATCCAACGTGATGGAGCTTGACAGGAGCTGCAAAGAGGAATGGGCAAAACTGCCCAAACACAGGTGTGCCAAGCTTGTGGCATCATATTCAAAAAGACTTGAGGCTGTAATTGCTGCCAAATGTGCATCAGCAAAATATTAATCAAAGGTTGTGAATACTTATGTACATGTGGTTTCTTAGTTTTTTTATTTTTAATACATTTGCAAGAATCTCGAAAAAACGTTTTACATGTTATTATGGGGTGTTGTGTGTAGAATTGTGAGGAAAAAAATGTATTGAATCAATTTTGGAATAAGGCTGTAACACAACAAAATGTGGAAAAAGTGAAGCGCTGTGAATACTTTCCGGATGCACTGTATGTATTTCCGATGTATTCAAAACATTTATTACTCTTAATATTGTTTAGATATAAAGAGCACGAAGACGGCTTCATGCGACTCCAGTTGATTCGTTATGAAAGTGTGGAATTGACCGAGCAGCTGATGAGGGAGAAGCACAAACAGCATTCCGATGACGAAGGCCTCGTGGGGGAGCAGGTGGAACTCAGGGGGGTGGTGGTAGAGGAGCAAAGGCCAGAGGACGAGAGCTCAGAGGAGGGCATGCTGTACGTGCTCTCGGATCTATCTTCAGGGGACATGGCCGTCATACTGCCTTTGTCAGACTCTACACAGGAACCAGGAGTTCAAGTTTAGCTGCCAGGACAACATTCCATACGTTTTCTGAAAAAAACAACTCATCATTGACTGTAAATATTATTCCTTTGTGCCTCTATGCATAGATTAGGAGCTTTTTTTGCTTTTTATTATTTGATTATTGATTTGTTATTACTTAATTTATTCATGAACTTGTATAATTACCATTCATAGGAAAAACATATGAGCAGTATCTGACGCCAATTAAATACACATTCTGTTGCATTACAATATTCCAACATGGCTCCCTTTTTTATTTTTGTAACTACTAGGTCTCTTACTTCAGTGGATGTAAAATATCTGCAGGAAAGGTAAATAAACATGCATGATGCGATACACGTGGGAGACCACATGCTCAGGCATTTAAGGGGAAGCATGTGGACAAACGTAGTAATAATCTTCTTAGTGTCACTTTCATTAAGCAAAAGAGGTTTAGTCTTCTAATGCAAATTAGATATTGAAAATGACTCGGGGATTTAGCATTTAGGATTGTGGGTTATTATTTACTTTCACAGAAACGTTTTCAGTTGTGTGTAGAAGACTGGTTTCTTTCGTGAACCATGATCTCGGGTGCAAATTGGGACTTTGAGATGAAGATTAAACTGCTCACAGCTTAGTGTAAGTGTGACTTACCACACTTTGCCGCCTGTCCTGGATTCAACGCTTTGATGCTGCAAACTGAAATTCAAAAAACAGCAAAGCAACTCCGTCCCCCATGGAATTCTACTGAGAAGTCACTTCATGTGATGGGAAATCAGGCCTTTTATCAAGTACTTCTCTGTGTGTCTTTGTCAATCGCTCAGCTGACTGACTGGACTGGAAAGGAGGAAGGTAGTGGTAAGACCTTTTATACACTTTCCGATTGTTTTACTGAAGTGGTGGATTTTCTTTACAAACATGTTTTCCGCAGGTGAGATTGAGTGGATACCTCAACCAGAATTCAAAGACTACACTTATTGGTCTGGCACTGCTCCCATCTGTGTAGGAGGATGTCGAGCTCGGCATCAGGAGGTCAGAAGGGACCAGTGCGGAGACTCCAGTTGCTGCTGGATTGGATACAAGTCATTATGTCGAGGTAACTCTGGTTAATCACATAAGACGCTCCATTATCCAGATTTCATACTGAAGTTTATCTTACCCATTTCAAGTAAATTGTGGGAGGCCATCTGTGGACTATAATGGAGCTGCGTATGGTAATGACTGGTGGGTGGGCTCTGTGGTGCGCTACACATGCCGCCCTGGCTTCCTTTTGCTGGGAAACTCAACCAGAAGTTGCCTCCCTAATGGTCTGTGGACTCCCAAACCATCCTGCCTCAGTGAGTTTTCATTGTGTTTTAGCAGCATTTTCTCGCCTTACATTTCAGTGCGTAAAAGTGTTCTCCTGATGTGTACAGGGATGTGTAAAAAAGGACTCATTGAAATCAGTGAAGCAGAGTTAAATGGGACATGCTCCTCCACATGTGCCTATAAGAGCTACTATGGTCCTCCGAAACAGGGGTGCACCCGCATCGACAACTGTAAGAAGAAGGAAACTGGCTGGAAGCGTTTCTTTGCACAGTGTGTCCCTTGTATTTGTGACTGCTCGCTATCATGTGGTGAGTGAGCAGGGATTGTAATTGTTGATTTATTACTGAAAGATGTTTGTTTATTTCTTTTTTTTTTTTTACAGCAACAGCAGGATAAATCTTGGATTCATTTGGACATTCGTTGTAGATTCGTTGTAACATTGAGACATGTATGTTTAATGCGTTGCATGTCTTCCATGTGGCTTATCCACGGTGTGCCCATCTGCTGTGGGAGCAACTGAAGCTTTAATCCTGCTATGCCTTTGGGCTAGGACGCTCTACTAATCAACAGTGAACACCTAGTTGTGGTAATCTACATTTAAATTAAGTCTGCATTTAATAATTCAGTAATAGTTTAACCGCATTCCAGTAAAGACTAGTTTTACTTCTGTAGAGAGTTTTGTATTTTCACTGAAGTAACACTCAACAACCTCTAGATGGTGCTGTTTATTTAACCATACATGTCATCAGAAGTCAGAGTCTGATTTATTAATATTGGGAGTCATGTTGCAAACCTTTCTTACTTTAAACACTTCTTGATCCTCAGAATTATGTGTTTGAAAGCTTTCTTTTTTAACATCCTACAGTTGTCAAGAAACAAAAGCACATTTCATTTGGAAGAATTCCCTTGTCCTATTTAATTATATTAGTTGGTCTCACATGACTGTACTGAGACACCCAGTCTCCTGAGCGCTGCACCAGTTGCTGCCCTCGTCCCCAGACAATCCATTTACACGGATCAGAAACCAGCTAAAGTCACAGTCCTCCTTTACTGTAAACCTGTGAACCCAGCAGTCACTCAACATTAGACAACACTAAAGGAAGAACGACCACACTGCCCCCATACTTGCATTTATTAATTGCATAGGGCGGGTATGACTGAAGCTTATCCAAAAAGATTGGCCGGAGCAGACCAGTAGCGACATGCGTGTAAAGTAACATGTATCAGAGTGACCTGTCAAATGAGACTTTGTTACATAAGGGACTCAAGTAAAGGAATAAATTATGTATGCTTAAATGAAGTTCATATTTGGATACTAATTTAAATCAGCAAAAAAAAACCTTGTATAAACAATGTGACCAAAGATGTAGTTGGTGCCATGTTCGTCCTGCTCATGGCTGTTAAACGTTTATTTATGTGACATGACTCATTTGTCTCGATGTTGACAAAGTCTGACATGAAAATAATCTATAAACAATATACCTAGCACAGTAAATGGATTAACCACAGCTGTTGGATTCATGACCAGAATGAAGAGACATTTTGTAAAAGCCTGGGCATTGCCAGGCTTTTAGTTGATTAAGAGCCACTTTGGGATGAATTTGTTTCAGAATGTAACCTGCTCAAACGTATTCGAGAAAAAATATAGAAAGGTAATACAATGTTAGATATTGCTCATTTGTTCTGCTCAGAAGGACTTCCTCCATCAAACATACATGATTTCTATGATCTTCCCTCACCATTGTAAGGTCACAAGTTTCATAAGACATGAATAAAATATGTGTTATATGTCTGTTTTGTTGATTGTTCTTTTCCACGTGGTCCATTCTAAAGTCTGAAGAGAACGGACCCAAACGGAGCTGATTGAGAAGGGTAGGTGAGATTGACCAAAATGTTCCTGATTTCCTCTCAGGGGTGATGTAAGCCATGGAGGGGTTGTTTGAACGCTAGTAACCCCGTCTGTTTTACCGAAAATAACCCGGGCACTGCAGCATCAGCACCATGCAGGCAGCTGCGCAGGTGCGGCCTTTAAAGAGACACGGAACTGAACATGACCAAAATCATTTTAATGATTACGTACATTACCCGCCACCAAACGCAAACTTCCAACTGCATGTCATCCTTCTACCAGCTGTTTCACTATATTGCCCAGCTCACTGCCGCATCCAATCCCTTGATTATATGCAATGCCCAGAAATGGCTAATGTATTAAACGATTAAATCAACGTGTCAGCCGGTTTGATTTGTGTAAACATAACTTAGCGATGCGTATTTCTTCCCTTCATATTACTAAAGTCTCACGTAACAATATGAGTCAATCTGTATGCGTCTTTTTGCCCACGCATAACCAAAACAAAAAAATACAAAAATAACAAGAACACTCTGTTAGAAAGTATTCCCAATCATAACATATATTTTCTGCCTGGTAGCATCCTGTCAGCAACGCCCTGCATCCCAGCCGGGCGTGCGTAGTACCGGACGCGCACGCAGGGAGTGAGCGCACCATACCGCGTCTGCTCCATCTCCTGGCGCTGATTCTGCCGCTGATGTTGGAGCCTCTGCAGCGCTGTTATGAGGCGTATGTTTCGGCAGCACATGTGTAGGAGCGAGGGATAACATCACTCAACACCCACTGGGACCGGGATGGATGCGTTTGACGGAGGGCAGCAGCAGAAAACATGACATTAGAAGATCTTTGCCGCTGATTCCCGGTGATTCTCTGGTGGGATGCAGTCCTGGTTTAGGCTGTAGTGGCTGCGGGATTGTGAAGATGGGCGAGACATTTCGATAATCACTTGGAGCCCACCGGTTTTTTGTGGACCTCTGAGAACTATAGAGATAATTCAGAATACATTCTTCTGACTTCAACTGCAGACTGCAAACTGGAAATTCCCATGTGGTTGTATTTTGCTTGATCAAATCGACTGGGCACTGTTGCTCCTTCTGGGCTCTCTTCAACATACAATAATAGGTTTGTGTTTGCCCTTTATAATATCATGTACTTCATTTTGTGTAGTGAGCGTCTAATTATGCGATAGAGGGGTATTGCAAATGTACAGAGTGTTGTCCTTATTAAGACTTTTTGGTCAGTTTAAAATTGTGGTCACGTGTTCAGAAAGAACCACCCTGGACGAAAACGTGCGGCCTTCACTTGAGAGGGTCCATTAAAGTCTGTCAGGATTGTCCTGCGCTTATATGCAGCCTGGTAATGGGAATTCACTAATGGCAGGATGATCAATAGCAGCTATTGTCTGTTTTCTTCCTGGTCACGTGGACATTATTCATAAAAGCAATGTCAAGGAGAAGCACCTACAAACACTCTGTATGTTATTATGTTTTTCTTACTTGCGAGGAGGTGAGGCTTTGAAACACACTAAACTGTTTTGAGATCCCCAAAATGAATATGCATGTGTCATAAGATTTGTGCACAGCAGTGCAGGTGGGGATGCCAGCAGTCAGGCCTGGAAAAAGATCTCGGCAGCATCCTCCCATCTTAATCTCACAGTGTATTATTTATATTCACCTCTAATGAAATCATGTCCATTTTGGTGTTGGCCTATCTGCTCTTTCTGTAATAAAGCCTGTACAAAATGCCATTGGAGTTTTGCCAAGTGCGTCCTGAAACTTGGCATAGCTTGGGAAAGTAGGATTAAGCTGTCTGGAGACCCCATGGGCTGTTTTATATTGTACATAAATTGTGTTGGTGACATTTTACAAAAACATCTTTTATTATACCAAAAATTTGATAAAATATATTTCGTAAAATATGCAGCTCACTGGTTTGGTGTCCCTAATGGATGTACTGTATGTGTCTCTAGTGATAATGGCTGTACACATCAACTGTGAGGTTACGGGAGAGCCAGTGGGTCAGCCGCACAAGGCACTTGCTCTTTATGTGCTTCACTTTTTGTTCCGTGCAACATTTTGAGGACCCTTTCCCCGTTCAAAATATAAAACAATTGTGTGTCTTTTATTGTCAATCAGCATGGAAATGGTACTCATCCGAAATAATGTGGGGTTCCAACATCACTCTGTCGGGCTCTGATAGGAAATGTATTTGAATCAGCAGTATGGACCTGCTGCAGGGCTGAAACCAGATCCTTACACTCGCTCAAGCATCTAGTGTCCATCCACAGAGCCATAATCACATCAAAGCCATCCCCTGCTCTTAACATGCTGTCTGAAGTCATCCCCAAAACCTTCATCTCGTTTATGAGCTGTAGTTCAGTGGACATGATTGAGAGAAACCCTTTACTTAACTGATCACTGATCAATATGTTCTATAGGGTACATTTTTTACCATCTAGAACAAGTAATTCAAACATACCTTAAACCATTCTGCAGCAGAAATACATTTGACTTTTATTATGCTTAGTTTGAATAAGAATCTACTTTCATTTAAATAAATATAATTCCTGGTGTGATGTTGGTTACTCTGCTCCAGAAATGAAAAGGTTCCAAGTAACTTTTCTCCACATGCAATAGTTTAGAGCATGTTACTTTTGTTTGTTTGTTTGCTTTTTTTACCTTTGCATTGTTAAGTTTAAACAATACCTGACTATTTGAGTTCTCCAGGTGTGTTCTTTGCAACAGTCTTTCAGGATGGCGGAGAGGACCTTAGACCCAGCGACTGTGAGTATCCCGATGGAGGAAACCAAGTTACCCAGTGGAGCACCCCCAGAAGCCCCTCTTCTCACGCACTTGAAGAAGGTCGAGAACCACATCACTGAAGCCCAGCGCTTCTCGCACCTCCCCCGCCGATCCGCTGTCGACCTGGAGTTCAACGAGGTGTCCTACACCATCCGTGAAGGCCCCTGGTATCGTCGGAGAGGTGCGCTCCTTTAATGCAACTATGTCACACACTCCAAACGATTCATTAGCATAGGTCAAACTCTATAGCTGTAGGGCAGGTCTGTTCAACTGAAGGGGCAATGCTATGTCCTTGTATGATTTGAATGTTTCTTCAATGAATGTTTTGTGAAGCATGTTGAGTTGCCTTATCTAACTTGATCCATCTCATGAGCCATCTTATCAAAGCCTACTTGGCTATTTCAGGTGCATTTACAGAAATGTGTATTAATGCACAATGTTCCTGGCAGTCAGAGCGGCACAAGCCCCTCACTGATCGTCACTGATCCTCCTGCAGGAGGGGAGTCCACAGGAGGAGGGCTGCTCTCTCGTGGGAGCACAGCCTTGATCTTTCAGTGGGGGCTTCAGGCAAAGTGGGGTTAAGTGTCTTGCCCAAGGACACAATGACTGCAGACATCAGTGGGAGTCAGTGAAGAAGGTCCCTGTGAAATAAACAAATAAAATAGATATATACTATATATGGTAATGATACATAAAAAAATATTATATTATTTTAACATTATCATGTTAAACTAATATATACGTTTTTTTCTGATTTACTTGCTCAGTCCAGGTTTAGACTTGGTTTTGATGCACATCAATCACATATGTTGTTAGTCAAAGATATTTTATAGGTTACAGCCCTACATGACTCAAAAGATAATGTGGTCGTTCAGAAACTGCATGCTGAGCTTTCACATCCTACTCCCAATATTTCACCCTGACGTTGTTTCCTTGGGCTTTATGCGGCAAAAAATAAGCAAGTGTAATGCTCAGTATAAGCAGGACAGGGATACATTATTATTATTACATTATCTTAAAAGGGGGCGCATAGTTTTCTTTTTCCACCCCACAGCAAAAAAAATAGCCGGAAATAAGGCTTGGAAGATGACCAGATAGACTTTTCCGATACTTATCATGATGGATGGGCCCACACAGACGATCGATATCTGATGTGCAGGGGTTTCAAGAAATACAATGTGCCATTTAGATAAATATTGTTTTTTGTTCTGTGTGTTGTTTGGAGGGCTGTGCTAAAGTGTCACACAAGCTTATTACAGATATCCACCATGTTGGAGCTGTGTGCGCTATAAGTTTGCTGAGCTCAGCAGACTTTAGACACAGTAAATAATTCACACTTGCAGGTTGGCACACTGCTCCACTCTGCGTTTTCTGTGTTGTCGGATGATTAGCAGGGCATCAGGCCTAATCGATGGGATCACTCATGAAATATAGACTGCCCATACTAATGCGTCAGTTTAAGCTGCTGTCTGGATATTTTTTACCCCTATAGAAAACACTATGGATGACGAATGTGGGAGTCCCCTATGGAATCTTATTGAGTGGTATTGGAGTCCAATAATCAGGGATTAAGGCCGAGGCAGCGGTCAATAAACCAGTTTGTGTTTGCCAACCCTGCATAATTTTTTAGAACATTTGTTTCTTCGTTGTATTGTTTGTTTTGTCTCCTGTGTTTTCTCATCAATGCAGTGAAGTGTGAGGCAAGATTCGTGACTTTTACTAACTACTGCTCACGTATGATTGCTGGCCTCTTTGTGGCTGTTTTCCTCATCAGAACAAAACTGCAGCGTCTGAAGTGTAATACATGATTCTAAGGGGCTTGTTAACATCTCTTTATAACGAACAGTTTTGTTTTTACATCAAAGAAGATAAACAGTTGTTGTTTTGCTTCTCATATTACCATAATTTATGCAAGGATTCTTCTGAATAACTAGCCTAAAAAAACAACTACATTATTTCATAACTATATGATAGATTATATCCTTTTTTTAACCCGCATAGAGACAGAAGTCTCTCATTGTCTCTCTTCAATTGAGACAGTCTTTTGATGCCAAGTATTCATTAGGAATAATAATCACAGGGAATCATTTCTCATGCGTTGCTGTTAAATCAGTGTGACCAGTATTTTTTAATGAGTAACTCCATTTGTTGTTGTGCGATTGATAAGGAGAGAGCATCCAATTCCTCCTCTAAGACCAAGTGCTGTGTCCTCTTTCATGTGTAGATATGTTAGTCCCAGGAGAGCGCACTGCTGTAACACTATCCATGATGGAGAGGAAGTCTACGCACAGGTGTTCCCACCAACTCTGCGGCATTAGTGATTTACTTCCTGCTCTTTTACAGTCATTCAGAGTCAAACAGTAAACAACGATTGTCTGAAAACGATTGTCTGAAAACGATTACTGTTTACGACCGTTTGTGTATAAGCAACATTTGCACCAAAGCACGCACAGGACTTCACTAAATCAGACAGTGTGGCCAAAATACACCATGACATTTAGAGAGAAGGGCACAATCTAAAGATAAGAAAAGAAAGAAAGAATGAAAGTTGAAACAAGTCTATTGAAGACATATAAGAGGAACACTTGCAGTAATGGCCGTCAGTAGACGAGGTGCTCTTTGGTGAGGGGGAGGCCAATATATAGTATAAAAAATATGATAGCAGCAGGCAGAGCATACCATTTACAGCAGGGATGTCCACACATTTTAGTAAGAGGGCCACTTTAGTTCACAAGACATCACTCCAGGCGCCGACATCACAGACTGAAAAACTGTCTTGATTGGCATCGGGCTGTTCTGAGCTAGAGCTGAAGTTGGCTGAATGACACATGTTTACTATCTCACCAGCTACAGTAGCACCATTAAAGGAAGTTTGTGACACAGTCAACAACCCTGTCAGTTCAGTTTGTGCAAATAAAGAAACAATTGATTTCAATACGTTCTGGGCTTTAGAACGAGTTATGACATGTCTATATTGACTGAGCTGAAGTTGGATGGATGATACAGGGAACTATCGTTTATGATCTAAAAAATCTCAAAGTCCTCAGTGTCACATAAAATGACACTGAGGTCTGAAAATGGCCCTGGACTTGAGTTTGGACATGATGCGAGAAAGCAGCTTCCACGATTTTCAGCTTCACAGGATTGAAGGACGTTGAGGCACGAGCAGGTCAGAGATGTTTGAGGAGCCCGATGTTGAGGATTTCTCTATTGGGAGCATGTAGAGATATTTATAATAGGTGTAATGTGAGGTTTTCTTTGGTCAGAATGTGAGCTGCAGAATTTTGGTTGAGCTTAAGGGGCTGGATTTGGATGTGTTTGATTTGGAAAAACATCTGATAGGATAATAGTTTAGAATTTGAACTCAATTAATTAAGCAAAAAATGATTTGCTAACAACATTTTTGCAATATGGTGAAGATTCAGAAGCATAAATACAATATGGTTTATTCAGACAATCTGAACGTGTGCCTCTCCCTCTGAATACTTTTGCCACTGCGGTCCCAACAGAAAATTGGATTTGAATAAATATGAAATTCATCATCATCCACTCAGTAATTGTTTTGCTAATGATGGTGAACGTCTCTTTGGACGTAGAGGACAAACTGCTCTATCATCTGCATCTTTCTCAGCAATAAAAAATATATTTTTTGTGTAACATTGGTTTGAATGCATCATGATTGTCAGCACACTGATAAGTAATAATACGTTAAATGAGAAAAAGACACAGGACATTTTTTGGGTGCAGATGGTGTGCAGTTATCATTGAAAGTGCTGAAAGTGATGACTTCAATCAAAGCATGACTAATGAAGATCGTCTCCGAGGTGGAAACGAGCAGTGTGCAGTCACATCCTCTTATATCACTGACTATTTCTCATGTGGCGCACAGAGACAATGAAGTACGACTGACACGGCTGCATTTAAAGGGACCATATATATTATTTTCATTATGAAGGACATCTACATATTTTCATCATCATCTGTTCCCAGATAATAGTTCATCATGTACAAATCACATTTGACATTTTTGTTTACATGTAACAATATACATTGTATTTATGCCTGATTAAAAATGCAAGGGACATGATATCCATAGTGTTTATGTTTAGAATTTTAAAGCAAAACAAGGCTCTCATTTGGGTTGCCAGTTTGTGAAATTTGACTGGTCTTGGTTCCATCTTTGCTGAAATATATCAAAATCCACCAACAACAAAAAATACAAATACAAAAAATAGGACCACACATTTGTTTCATAAAAGCAGGTACAAAAATAAATGGCCATATGTAATGCTGATTCTAGCTGAACTCCAGGAGGTGTAATCAGTGTCAAGGAGAAACATGTGTCACACGCAGAAAAATACTGGCATCCAAAGTTGGATTGTAATTGTAATGACTTTATTAGACCTCTAAGAGTGCATATTACATACTGCCCTTCAAACCATTCCCGAGTGCAACAGTAACTGCATGACAAATAGGAACTCATGTCTAAATTGTGACATAATGTGGAGGACTCAAACTGACTCTGCTTCATGCAAAATCAGAAAATTCTATTATAGGATCACTAGTCTCATCATGAATTGTTAATTATAGTGCCCAGACCATGACCTACAAGAGTGATGGCCTAATTCACTGCTAAATGCTTTCTTTTGCCCTTCAACGTTGTGTTGTGGAGAAGCATACATAATCTAATAAATTATTATAAATTATTTATCTATATGGGATGGTACCGCATAATCCCAGTTATTATAAAAGCTCTGTGCACATCCTGAACCTTGATCAGCATCCAAATCCAATTATCAGGTTTATATCAAGCATTTTTGCAAAGCTTGTACCACCATTTGTATATTTTGACCATTCAGAGAAGGAGCAAAGTTTTCCTATGAATCAATAACAAACAAGATAACATGATTGCCTTGTTAAGGGTACATTTCTTCTCCTTATTCTTTGGTCTTCATTGACAGCTCATTTTTCTCTGCTGGTACCACTCACATAGTCTTTTATAGACACAGATTTTCAACAATAACATTCCCTTGATTCACTTTTGTGGAATATAATAACCTTTGAATTGTATATTTACTCAAAACCTGTGTAATCACTTGAACTCAATTCATCAATTAAAAAACAATTGTGAAAAAAAACTAATATTTATGGTTGGCTGCATTCACTTTCTCAAGACTTGACTTTGATCTGACCAAAGCATATGTTTGGTAAAAGTTGAATATGTTTTTGTCTTTTAGGTTACAAGGCTCTTCTCAAATGTCTGTCTGGGAAGTTCAACAACAGAGAGCTCATTGGCATCATGGGCCCCTCTGGAGCTGGAAAGTCCACACTTATGAATATTTTAGCTGGATACAGGTAGGACATACAGTAAACCAAAGACTTTTATATTGCGACTTAGGAAATATTGACTCAATGCTTAGGGCAGGGTGATATGTGGGGGGAAATACAATGACAATTTTGTATTTGATGTTATGTTTACAAGAGAAAGAGGGCAAGCACTGGTCACCGCCGCACATGCTCAACGTCTTGCTTTCTGAAAACTAAAGAAATACCTCATTGATAGGCAAGCCCTTTCCCCATTGGGCTATCTACTCCCCTCTTGGTTGTGGGATAGTAGGTTGGAAAGTACATAAAATATACATTCTTGAAAACATGAATTACATTTGAACATAGGGACAACCACGCTGATTGAGGATGAACAATACACACTTTTGAAAAAATAGTCAAATAAATTCTTCTAAAGCAGAAGTGGTTTGCCATCAGAATGCAGTCTTTGCCTCTCATCAATTTTAATTAAATATTTTCATGAAATTTATGTTAAAATGTGGTCTCTTTCACTTTTTCGCTCTTTCATTAAGTGCAGCTGTTTGTAAATACGGTCGGGTTTTCTCAGACTTCATGACTGAGACATTGCCTTAATATTTGCCCAAAATGTGATTGCTGCCTATAAAAGTGGATTTATCCACAATAATTGGTGTCAGCAATGTGAGAAGTTCTGCTCTATGTGAAAATGGTCATAGATCAAAGCAGCACAATGAATAACAATTCTATTTTATGGGTTAAGTATTTACTGCAATGTGACTTATGGATAATGTTCAATATTGAGACCATTCCTTTAAGAACAGTGTTGTTTATATGGTTTACTTTTTACATCACTTACAAACACTATGCATTTGTCATACACATTGTTCTGTTTTCTTTCAAGGAAAAATAAATCAAACATTGAGATTGTTCACAGCTTCTCTTATCATGTAATAATATGATGTGATTATTATTGCCTTAATTGAAATCCAACATTTTCTATTCCTCACTGTTTTCTACTTAATATGATCCATATTTGACAAACAAAAAGAACTGTATCTCTATATAACGTTGATTTATCTCACAACCATATAAATGTGCCTGTTGTTTACGGTTAAAGAGAGACTGGAATGAAGGGACAGATCCTGGTGAACGGTCGGCCCAGAGACTTGAGGACGTTCCGGAAGATGTCCTGCTACATTATGCAGGATGACATGCTGCTGCCTCACCTCACGGCACGAGAGGCCATGATGGTGAGGACTCAAACTGACTGCTTTAGGTTCTTTTTGCACTAACACCTAAAACTTTAACCAAACCATGTGTCCTCCTCAGGTTTCGGCTAATCTGAAACTGAGTGAAAGTATGCTGGTCAAAAAGGAACTAGTAAGTGTTTTTCAAATCAAACTTAAGTAAGTAAGTAAGTCATCTTTATTTATATACCGCCTTTCACAGACCAGAGTCACAAAGCGGTTTACACGTGTTATTCTTGGGCACTTGTCCTCTCACTCCACACAGAGATGGGAGCGGGGTCGCCAGTACAAGAGGCGCATGCCAGACCTATTGTACATATTTTTAGTGGTAGGGGAAACCGGAGTGCCCGGAGGAAACCTACGCAGACACGGGCAGAACATGCAAACTCCACTCAGAAAGGCCCTGGTCCGATCGGGATTCTAACCCAGGACCTTCTTGCTGAACTTGTACCCATTTTGTAAACAGGAAGTAAATGAATGAAGGAATGAATGCATTTATTTTGGTCAATTGTTTTATTAATAACTCAGAATACATATTTGCTAGAACAATGTATTTTTTGTTCACTTTTTATTGTTGTTTTATTATTATTGTTATTTTAAAGGCAAAGTATATGAAGTAATTATTTCACATTTTAAGGTAGTTTTAAATCTTGAATTAACTTAAGATGAGGCCTGGAGCTGTAAATCTACACATTTTAAACCCGTGTCTTTCCTGTGTTAGGTGGATGAGATCCTGACAGCTTTGGGTCTGCAGGAGTGTGCCCAGACACGCACTAACAACCTCTCTGGTGGACAGTGTAAACGACTGGCCATCGCTCTGGAGCTGGTCAACAATCCTCCAGTCATGTTCTTCGACGAGCCCACCAGGTAAACTCTACACATGTTTTAGTCTGTTAAGAAAGTATATTTGAAGCCTCCTCATTTAAGTGATGTCTATATGAAGCGTTGAAAAGAAAATGTCTTAAAGTTTCCCTGATCATTTTTTGATCATCATATTCACAAGCATGTCGAGTTATTCTTATGTTTGAAACTCTTTTCTACTGGCCATCATAATGCGTCTTTTTAAATATTGTCACCACTGCTTACTAGTGTTCATGTGAAGTTAACAATGAATGCACTGTTCATAAACATCATTGGCAAAGTATCACATAAAAGTAAAGTATCTGTAAAAAGTCCGAGAGATTGTAATGCACTGGGCTTTTGACCTAAAACCCTGGGTCGCTCTTTTCAACTTTCCTTCTCTTTATGCCGATGCATGTAAAGTATGATTTCTATGGCCACAAAAGCGGTAACTTAGACAGCAATGAAGCCATGTGCTTACATGCGGGTCAGGGGAAGAAGGGGATAAAACTACACACAAATCATTTTAGAGGCAAAACTTTGCATAATGACTGCGTAACAAGCTCACACCATCAAAGTTCTTGTCCTTGTAAAAGAAAATGTGTTTTAGTATTAAACCTTAATGAAGTACTTTGAGAAGAATTGTGAGATGTTAAGTTTATGTTGTCTTCTTTGTTCTGGGGCAGTGGCCTGGACAGTTCGTCATGCTTTCAGGTGGTGTCTCTCATGAAGTCTCTGGCTCAGGGAGGAAGGACAATCATCTGTACGATCCACCAGCCCAGTGCCAAGCTCTTTGAGATGTTTGATAAGGTACGGCCTTAAGTGCTGGAGTCTCCATCCCCCATTAGACAGCGCTTACTCTCACACCTCTGCAGTGCTGCTTTATGTTTGGACTGTGTCAATAAGAAATATACAATAAATAGATTAATTCAGCTGGAATTTGTTCTTTCATGTGGTTGTTTAACCTACATTTGACCTATAATTATTTGTGATAATGATATATAAAAGTATGTTAATTCCCCTGAGAGTCTTCCCATACAAAATAAGAATAATAGTAATTAGAAATCACTATGTGTTACCCTGCAGTCATGTAATTGTGTATTGTGCTTTCGAGGTAATCTAATCTAATCAATTTCTGTCTTTTGTTTGTTCTAGTTGTACATTCTCAGTCAGGGTCAGTGCATCTTCAAGGGCACTGTTCCATTTCTAATTCCCTACCTGAAGAACCTTGGTCTCCACTGTCCCACGTATCACAACCCGGCTGATTTCAGTTAGCAACCTCATGCGTAAACATTTTTTTTGTCTTTGGCTGCGTTAGACTCACGTCTCCCTTGTGTACACAGTTATTGAGGTAGCGTCAGGGGAGTATGGGGATCTGAACCAAGTGCTGTTTGAAGCCGTTCAGGGCGGACTCTGCTCTGAAGACGGAAAGAAAAACTCCAGAGACAAGAATGACCCTTCCTGTAACTCCCAGGTGTACAGTGTAAGTATCCGTCCATGATGCAGATGTGAAAGACGGTGTGCTTAAATGTTTACTGACTTTCAAAGTAATGTGCAGCTTGAAAAACTAATATCCAAATTTACTCTAACCTATTATTCAAATCTACTGAAAGTGATGACTTTTGTTATGTTCCATCTACTAATGTAGTATTAATAATTTATCTCAGCGTCTATTAAAACAGATCTTTCCACTAGTTGCCACTGAGCATTACAACATTACAAAATGTATACAAAATGATATTTGCCACCAATGATATTTTGAATACATTTACTGTGCATTTTTAAACATGTGTGTTTTTTGTACACAGGAGACTGGGACTTTGGAGAAACACAGCTTTGCCACCAGTACTTTCACACAGTTTTGTATCCTCTTCAAAAGGACTTTTATCACAATATGCAGGGACACGGTCAGATGCCCAAACTACATTTCTGTTTATCTTTTATCGGTGATCTCACTGTGTGTGTTGTTTAGGTTTTAACTCACCTTCGGGTGACGTCCCATCTGGCTATTGGAGTGCTCATTGGACTGCTCTATCTAAATATTGGAAATGATGCCAGTAAAGTGTTTAATAACACTGGCTTCCTCTTCTTCTCTATGCTATTCCTAATGTTTGCTGCCCTGATGCCTACCGTCTTAACCTGTAAGATATTAACCTGAATTACACATTATTAAACATTATGCAGAACAACCATACAATTGTTATTCCTTTTATAGTTCCTTTAGAGATGTCTGTGTTCATGAGAGAACATCTCAACTACTGGTACAGCCTTAAAGCTTATTACTTGGCTAAGACCATGGCGGACATCCCGTTTCAGGTAACATTTATGATTCCGCTCGACAGACAATAAATTAATACTGCGTTCTTTCTTTTGCTCTTTGTAATCCCTTTGAGCGCTGATTTTCTATTTGTTCTCTCTCAAGGTGTTATGTCCTATAATGTACTGCAGTATAGTGTACTGGATGACAGAGCAGCCTCCAGAAGCAGGACGTTACCTGCTCTTCATGGCCTTGTCCACATCCACGGCCCTCGTGGCTCAGTCACTGGGGCTGCTCATAGGGGCTGCTTCCACCTCCCTGCAGGTAGATTTCAAACATATGCTTCATGATAGAAAAGATAATCCATGGTTTTAATCATTTGTGTATTTACATCTGTCCTCAAGGTGGCAACATTTGTGGGACCAGTCACAGCCATACCTGTCCTCCTATTTTCTGGTTTCTTTGTAAATTTTGACACCATTCCCAAGTATCTGCAATGGAGCTCTTACTTATCATACGTCAGGTACACACACTTCACACAATGTTGGCGTCGTAACATAAATTCTTTGCATGAATTTTATTCAATACAGTGCAGTTTATAGTTACTATATGCAACATTACTATACAGTTACCATAACGTTAACTATTGTTAAATCATTACAACATGCCACTCTGTCAAAATGTCAAAATGTTCCCCAGGGCAGCTGTGGCTACAATAGTAGATTATCGCCCACTGTGCATGCGTGAAAGAATAATGACATGTGAAGCGTCTTTGAGTCTCCGGAAAAGTGTCCATAAAACCAATGCATTATTATTATTATTAATACAAATGTACATATACAAATATTCTCAAATCCTACACATTGCATATTGCGTGTTTTTTAAAATGACCTTTCCTTTAAAGGTCAAGTATAAATTGACCTTTATATTCCAAAATATAATATTCCAATTGTCTCATAGGTATGGATTTGAAGGTGTGATTCTCTCCATATACGGCATGAACCGGTCGGACTTGGAGTGTCCTGGGATAGTGTGTAAGTTCCAGAAGCCCGAGGAGGTGCTGCAGCTCCTGGACGTGGAGGACGCTAAGCTCTATGTAGATTTTATAGTCCTCGGCGCTTTCTTCGTGATTCTCAGACTGGCCACATACCTGGTGCTGCGCTACAAAGTCAAATCCGAGCGCTAAGGCCTCCACAGACAAACTCATATCATTTGGAAGCGTGAAAGCAAATACTATATCCCAGCCAAACTATATGTCTTCAATGGACAACTGTATACATCAAATCATCTGGATCCTCTCTTCGCAGTTTTGTTTAAAGAGAACGTGAAGATCTTTGAGCAATGCAAGAGCCGTCATAACTCATCTGAAATAATATGTATCTCTGAAAAAAACAGTATAGCTAAAATGCATGTCTCATTGAATTTTGAACTTATTGAATGGGCCGAACTGAATAAGCCACACAACATACGAGCTAAATTTCTATTGCAGTGCTGTTGAGCCATGTCATTTGGATTCAGAAGTATTTCATAAATTCAGTATGCCTTCAGCTACGACTTCAAGATACTATAAATAAACAAAACAATGGTGGCATGGCTTCCTACTCCCAGAGCGGATCAAACAAGGCTTTACATTGAAACTGCCAGTGGACAACCTTTCACCATAGCTGGACAGGTGTTTTATTCTACGTTTAAAAGGACATTGTAACTGCCTTGGTCTGTGATTGAAAGCCATTGATGATACAAAAAGGGACAACATGAAACAGTTATGTGGACAGTAATTAAAGTGCTGCAGGATGAACTTCAGGTCAAGTGCAATATAGTTCATTGATGGATTTAACAATAGCGTTGTTATTATTATGTCCCCTCAAACTGTTTTCTCTCACTGTACGGTTCATTGTCCTTCACAGAAACCCCTGTGTTTTCTCTCCCTTTCTCTCTGCTTTTACTGATGTCTGACAGATGCGTGTTCAAACCAATGCAAGATACTTGAATTGCTGACCAGACAGTTTCTGTGCCTCTTTAATAGAAAGATACTTTTCCTGGTCTTATTATTTGCACATTCAGTTTATGTGGACTCACTAATGCTGCTGACACACACACACACACACACATACACACACACACACACACGCACTTACACTTTCACTGTTGATAATGTTTAGAAGATCCTCTCTGTCACAAGGCAATGCAAGTAATTACCCATAGACTTGCTATGAAATATTTCTTATTCAAACTATGCTACTTAGTAATATAATATATAAAATGCATAAAATGTGGGTATATAATCAACGATTGTACAGTGAATATGTTATGCTGTAAAGAAAATTTACATTTGCACTTTTAAATGTATGCTTATTTATTTATATTTATTTGTATTTTATTTTATTTTTCTATATCTATGTGAGTGCTGCTTGACAGTATAACGAGAAAACAGCAACCGAATGTTGCATGTTCACTTTAGGAATGTCTCTACTGAAATTGTACATTTCAAACTATAGCAAATTTATGTTTTTTTCTTCACTAAATAATTATTTTCATTCATTGAAAAAAAGGCCAATACTCAATCTTTTGTTTAAAATACTGCTACGTGGGTTGAGAAAAGAAACAGTGACATGTCATGTGTATGTTTATATTGTTTAAAAGTTATGTTTGTTTGAATAACATCAATAACAGGCGTCAGAGCTACAATTCTTTACTGTATCTGCACTGCTGAGTTCATCTAATTCATTAGAGTGTTAAAGATTTGTGAATATGTTGCATCCATCTTTGAAAACAGCAACTCAAATTCAAGTTTATTTTTTGTCTTTCAAATATCAGGGTGACAAATACGTAGTTTTGTCATGTCAAATTATTTATAGTATTTCATATGTAGCATTAGACTGTTCTCATTATCTTAGAATAAAAGAGATTGTGGGCGGGGGAAAAGGATCAACATGTATCTTACCTGTTTGGGAATCCCATCAGGACCATGATGGCCACCAAAGAACCGAATAAACTCAAATATTCTGTTCTGGGAACAAACAAAGAACATTGTGGTCTACTGTGGTATAAGATTAGCCAAAGAAATGCTCTTGGATGTTACACTAACAGCAAAAGGCTGTTAAGGTTTAGATGTTTGTTATTATGCACCAGGTCATAAAATGTTGTTACATTTGCATTAGTACAGAATATCTTCAATTTTAGAATAAACCATAACTCTTTTTATTTATTATGTGAGCTGCCTTGAGATTGGAAATTAGAACATCATACTACACATTCATTTTATACACAGTGGCTTGCAAAAGCGCCAATACAACTTGAACTTTTGCACCTTTGTCATATTATTAAAACCACCTTTGTAATATTTTTCTGTTTGTTTTTATTTTCTGAAAGACCACAACAAAAACGACTATAAATGTCCAAATAAGTGAAGAAGGCACACATATTGTCCTCATGCCCTCATTACCCTCAGTGCACCATCGCCAGTATCAAATGTGCTTGGGGGGGGAGCATCTTGCTATGGGCCTGCTTTTGTTCAGCAGAGATTTATTTTTATGCAATTTTGGAGGAAAACTTGGAGTCAGCAGAAAAGTTGAGGCCGAGGCAGAGATTTACCTTTCACTAAAGCCAGTGCTACAAATAGTTAACATTCTAACACTGGCCCTATCAAAGTCCAGAGTTTAATTCATTTGAAAATCTGTAGAAAGACCTGGAAACTGCTGTTCACAGAAGCTCTTCTTCTAATCTGATGGGGGTTGAGTTGCTTTGTAGAGATGAAAGGGCAAAACATTTGTGCAAAGCATGTGGAGTCATACCTCATAAGACTTACTTCTGTGATTAAAGAGTTAATTTATGTTGTACAAATTCTTATGCAAGCCCCATTTTTCAGTTTTTTTTCACTAGACACAATGTATAATTTTGCTTTCACTTCAGTTGTTGTGGTCTTTCCCAAAAGAAATCTTGGTGTTTGTGGTCGTACCTATGACCTACTGTGCAAAAGCTGAAGTGTGTATGCCTACACTGCAACAACTCCTCTGTACTAAATCATATTTCGATGATTATAATAAAATTGTTGAAAACTTATTGGTGGTTGATTTTTACAAAATACAGTACATTAAAGCCACAGTATGTAACTTGTTAGCCATACAATAGTATTAAAGCCTTTTTTTTTTCATTTTGAATGTTATTATATTATTATCTTACATGTCCTGAGGAAGGCCTCCTCTTCTTTGGCAGCCTTTCAAACTGTGCCACCTGCAAAGCCAGATCCTGTCAGTCTTCTTAAGCCAAGCAGGGAAGGGACTGATACTGCTGAGATGGGAGACCCCTGGGAACACTTGCCTCAGTGGGGTGGTCAGATTGTCATGTTGATGGAGGTTGGAGGGACCCATGGCATGTACTACTCCCCTTGCTTCTGTCAGTGTGCCACATATATAATATTATTACTTTTCCTGACATTGACTTTATTTTCATTGGCTTTAATTGTAGAGGCGAAGATTGTGTCTCCACAAACCACGAACCAAATATTGTATCAGAGGTTCTTTATCGGCCCTTATGACCAGTGATCCACAATAAACATAAATCGATTCCACTGTATATTAACCTGATATTATTATAGATCCATGGTATTGACATGATAAGAAACAGTTTACCTTCAAACCTAGCAGCACCTATACCATCTAATTCTGCCCCTTTCATAGGAGAATGGGCACAGATTGTTTTTTTTTGGGGGGGGGGGGGGGGGGGGGGGGGATGAACGACTATTCACCAAAATGAATAGTCGTTTGCAGATATAAATGGTTGCCCTCTGTCATGTCTCTATGCTTTGAACTCTTGATATTGGGATTTTTCAAAACTCCAATGGGGATTTTAAATTGTGAGTTTTACTTGTGCATGATGTGATGTATATAGGTCATTCTTACAACATATTACACATGGGAAGGAATTGCCATTCCGCAGTGTTCAAACATGTTGTATGCAGCCCTGCACATAACATCACACTCAGTCAAACTGCAGCAAGTGGAGCTGTGTGAAAAGAAGTGCAAAATGTAAACACCAAGCAAAACCAAGGTTTAAAGCCAAATGTATTGCAAAAATCCACTGCCTCAAAAAAGTCAAAAAGGATGTATTATATTATTCCATATTATATTCCCAGCTAAAGTACATAGTGTAAATGACTAGTGACATGTTCGAGCATAGGTTCACATTTGACAAACTATATTATCTCACAATCAAGTTAGGAGGGACTTACTTACCTTCTTCATTTCATACATTTCGGATCTGTTACTCCAGTGCTTTTTCCGTTTGTCTCAGATATACTCATCTTGATGTACTTTACTCTTTGCCTCAGACCGGCATTTTCCCACAACACCCCGCTCCTGCTTTTACAGATGACGAAAATGGCGGACAACGCAACATCCGTAGGTTTCCGAAAGATGCTAATTCTAATAACAACAATATTACCTTATTTAACTAATATATACAACATATTTTCAACAGGTTGATGTCGTCGAAGGCTGCCGCCTTCCCGTTTTGCGCAAAAACCAAGAACACGAAGACGAGTGGCGTAAGTATTGCCGATATCCGTGGCTAGCCAAGCTGCAGGGCTAATGCTAACAAGCCTCAGCTGTTGTCAATGGGCAGCACGGCCTCCACTGTAAACACAAAACATACTACGGCAACTACACATCTAGGCCTATCGCTATTTACACTGACTGATGTATCATGAGTATACAATGTGCTCTTGGTACTCCAATTACAGCGGAGAGAATGCATTTCAGGTTCTATTTCAATGATAATCTAACGTTAGTTGTTAAAATAACTTTATGACACTGAGTATACTTCTGAGCACGTCTTTTATCTATTCTGCCATGACTCTGTATTGCATGTTCACTTAAACCACTTACAAACATTTGGAATCCACCATCTTTTATACATGACAACCAAAGCCATATTAGTCATTGAGTTACTACAGGACACTTCACTGGAAAATGTACATAATGCATAATAGCGTATAAGGCAAACATATTTTCTGCTTCTAATTGTTGTTCATTGTGGGTATGCTTGTCAAAGATTGATCTCGGAAGCTAATAACTTTGTAGTTGTGGGTTAAAGACTACCATGTGTGGAGTGTAATGACTCAAATCAAATCGAAGCATTTTTGTACAGTCCAAAATCCCCAAATTTTTGGCACTTCTAAGTTTCTGCCCAAGTAAATTTTTTAACAGTTGTGTTTTAAATCAATATTTGTGCTAATTTTGCAGCACCTTCTATTTTTGCACTAAGTTACTTTCTTTTTCCAGCATTGGCTGAAATCCTAAGTGTGAAGGAAGTGTCCTCAAGAAAGCTCTATTATGTCCATTATATTGACTGTAAGTATAATTTTCTATAATATCAAATTGATATTTTATAATATCAATATCACTACTCACTCATTTTCTGTGTATTCTTGTAGTTAATAAGCGTCTGGATGAGTGGGTCACATTGGATCGACTAGATTTGAAAAAACTCCAATTCCCCAAAAAAGAAGCGAAAACACCCACAAAAAATGGTCTTCCAGGGTCTCGACCCAGTTCTCCAGAAAGAGAAGTGGTAAGATGCATCAAATGGCATGATCATTCGTTTATGGGAAACTGCACATCAGGGAAACTGCACATCAGTAATCCCCACAGAGATTGTAGACATAGTATATGTCTACAATCTATGTATAAACCATTAAAATAATCTTAAATTATATTGGGATCCCCAATGTTCACTCTTTTGAATATACTCTTATGGTGGCAAAAAGGCTCCTGTCAGCTTGCCCCACGGCTGCTGTGACTACCATAGAAGCTTACTACTGTTGTGTGTGGAGTAAAGAAAAACAACTTAAGAAATTATTTGTGTTACATAAATAAAGCTTGTATTCAACAAGTTTTAGCATTAGCATTTATTTCGGAATGTCAATGTTAACGCTTAACTTAGTTTTAATCTGACGTTTGCTTTCTGCCCTAGAAATCCAATGAAGCCATTCAGCCTTTTAAAGGGATTGTTCATCCTGTGAAGGAGGTTCCCAGAGAAACTTTGGTACGGTATCATTGATTTGAGGAGGAATGGGGACTACCAACTTGATCTGTGGTTTTGGGGTGTATCAAACTGTTAATAATGTGTAATAGTCTCTTTCAAACATTGATTAGTTTATAGCAATGTAACAATGTTCCATGATGCGTCACGATGCACAAATATCACAATTTGCCTTGTGGCAGGTCTCATATTTCACATTTCATATTCTTGTAAATAATTCTTGTGTAACACATCATCAGTAGGGTAAAACTAACCACTCGGACTGGTGGCTGAGTGGACAGCACTCTCGCTTCTCAGCAAGAAGGTCCTGGGTTCGAATCCCGGTCGTAACAGGGTCTCTGAGTGGAGTTTGCATGTTCTTCCCGTGCCTGCGTTGGTTTCCTCTAGGTGCTCCGGTTTCCCCTACCACTAAAAACGTGCACTAGGTAAAATCCTCCAGCTCCGGTAGTCCTGACCAAGCCGAACATCAACAACTGGAAATGGGTTCCCGGGCTCTATTTTTTCAGCCACCACTGCTCCTGACGTAAGCCTTAGCGGCATCAGGATGGGTCAAATGCAGAGGATTAATTGCCCTACAGGGATTAATAAAGTGCACCTTTACCTTTTCCTAACCTAGAAAAACTGCTAAATATCCCCTAAAACGCACCCTGATGGTCCGCTCTGTGTGTGCGCGCGCAGGTCGAAAGTGTAAAATTACTCTGTGATCTCTTGTGTTGAGGATGCCTCAACCTGCTGTGACTGCACACATGTCAGAAACATGTATCTCTGCTTAAAACACACGCTCTATCCTCCGGTCTGCCGCGATAAAGACTGCAACTGAATGAGCGGAGGTGCTATCCGGACACGCGTGCACAAATGCAAGGGTAACATAAAGATAACATATATGCCTTTCAGTTACACCAACTGCCTAACTATAACATGCATAACACTTGATATAATGCAATGCTTAAATTTTTTTTGTCAGCCTCGAGAATTGAATCAAACCTGAGCTTCAAGAATCGTTACCCGTTTATGAAATGAGTGAATAACTGATGGCTGTGAAATGTGTGTCTACAAAACACAAGGGTTAACATGTATGTAGTTAACCCCTATTCCCTCTCTTCCTTTCTGTTCAATTCAGAGGAAGAGTCTCGATCTCAACGTACAAACCACACCCACAGCTCCTTCCAGAGGCAAATCCCTACCTGCACCGGTACAATTCCAGTTTTAAATATGACAAAGACCTCATCTACTGCTTGTTAACATTAGGGCGACTAAAATTGCTGTGCAGGAATACTGTAAAGACATTGTTTGCATTTATTTATTATAAAATGACAAATATTTTTCTCATTTAAAATATGCTTTTATTTGTTAACACCAAGTTGAAACAAGGATATACTTTGTACTGATCTTACAAACACAATGAATGAAGTGCAATAATTGGTTTGCTGTGTCTCGAAATAAGCTTTTTTGTGTGTGTGATATAATCCTCCTGGAATCTGTCTTTTAAAACACAATTGGTTCCATTACAATGTTGAAAACCCTTGTCTTTGTTACAGAAGAGAAAAGCAGAGCCTCCTGCCCCCCTGGCTCCTCAGGTGTCGCCCGCCCCCCCTGTGCCCTCTCTGCCAAGTTCAGCTGAAGCCTCTCAGGCAGCTGTGTATCCGGCTGCACGAGAGAGCACCACCTTCAAGTCCCGGGAAGACCATGAGCAGCTCTCCTCTTTAACTACGGTAACGCCAACAAAACACACGTCATCTTCATCCGGGCAGCATTTTCTAATGAAACCATCGCGTTTGTCAACAGAACGGCACCACAGCAAGACGTTTAATCCCTCCTCCAGCCGGGAGGAAGAGGAAAGCCAACTGCGGAGGCACCGATGAGGTGAGGAAACGTTTGAAGCAGAAATAATGTGAATGATTTATTTTCTACAGACTTTGTTATTTATCATTTGAATTCCTTGCTAAATTAAGTTGACCCACTCAAATCTGAAATCAAAATTCAAAAATGCTTTTGGTTTGAGTTCCAAAAACGGATTTGGGTTCATGGATATAAAGCAATTCCTATATTCCTATTCTCCTTTAGTTTCCAAAGGCCATGTTTTTGTCTCTTTCTGCTAGATGATAAAGGTTTTGCAGTATAACAAGCCTCAAAGTGCCAGTGTCTTTCTACCACCACCAGAGGTCTGTTTAATTTCATATTATTGCCAATTGATTTGTGTGTTGACTATTTCATAGTGGGTCCAATAAAACAGGTTCTCCTTTCCTCTGACCCAATTTTAGTTTAACCTTATATTCAATTTGTGTTTAATTTTGCCAAAGAAAGTGTCTTTCAATGTCATTAATATTTATTTTATGCCTCACAGACAATATCTAATGTGGGAGTTGTTCTCAACCAGGATTCCCAGGACAGCTCCGATGGAATCCCCACCGCACCCCGCATGACAGGCAGTTTGGTGTCTGACCGTAGCCATGACGACATTGTCACACGAATGAAAAACATAGAGTGTATTGAGCTCGGACGACATAGACTCAAGCCGTGGTACTTCTCTCCGTATCCACAAGAGCTGACGTCACTGCCCATCCTCTACCTCTGTGAATTCTGTCTCAAATATGTCAAAAGTTTGAAGTGTCTTCAAAGACATTTAGTAAGAACTTAAACACAATAGATCTGCATATGCTGTTGAATTTGTCACTTATTTTTGTCTTTTCACAGACAAAATGTAACCTACGACATCCGCCAGGTAACGAAATCTATCGCAAAGGCACCATTTCCTTTTTTGAAATTGATGGCAGAAAAAACAAAGTATGTGATTCAATTTATTTTGATCTGCATTTATTGGTGATTCCAAACTACAGTAACCTCCATGTTTTTAATTTTCCAGACCTATTCCCAGAATCTTTGTTTAATTGCTAAATGTTTCCTGGACCACAAGACTTTATACTATGATACAGACCCTTTCCTCTTTTATGTAATGACTGAATATGATTCCAAAGGCTTTCATATAGTGGGTTACTTCTCTAAGGTACTGGCACTAGCTTCAGGTCCATATACATGTTTTAAAGACTTTTTGCTAATGTGAGTTTGATGTACACAGGAGAAAGAGTCCACAGAAGACTATAATGTGGCCTGCATTCTCACTTTACCTCCATACCAGCGCAGAGGCTACGGCAAGCTGCTCATCGAGTTCAGTGAGTGAACATGATGCTCTCAGTATTGTGAATGTCCAGAATAGATTATTTGGACTTTTGGGGTCTCAGTTTGCCTGGAAAGTTACAACCTCAAGGTTTTCACACCCAAGTGTTGATTCATTAGTGTTCGTCTCAATTTGACAATGAATGTGCATGGGCTGTTGTCAACAAAGTAAATGCCTGGTCTACTAAAGATATGGCGCTTTTCTGGGCACTCAAGGTCGGCGGGGTGGCAAAAGCTTCCAAAACTGACCCAGCTTCTTTCAACAATGTAGCTCTATCTAAAAATGTCAACTTACAGATCAAAAGATTTATCCCTCTTAAAAACCAAGATAAACTGCAAATAGTTAGCTTTTTGTTTTTGATGTTTCCCCATATAATATCTGTAAACATCCAAAAAATACACTAATAACAATGTAATGTATAGAAATGTATATTTTTTTAGGATGCATCAACTGATTAGTCACTTAAACATCCCTAGAATGCACAAGCTATAAAATGTGAATCACTGTTTCACACTGGTCTGGTTTGCGCTCGTCAGGTTATGAACTCTCCAAAGTAGAAGGGAAAACCGGCACTCCAGAAAAACCACTCTCCGATCTAGGTCTCCTGTCCTACCGCTCCTATTGGTCACAAACGATTTTAGAAATACTCATGGACCTCAAGCCTGATAATGGAGAACGGCCTCAAATAACTATAAAGTATGTAGCGATTGCCAGCACTATTGCACGGTTACAACCACATGTATTCAGTCTGTGGTTTCTTGCAGTGAAATTAGTGAGATCACAAGTGTGAAGAAGGAAGATGTCATTTCAACACTACAATACCTCAATTTGATCAACTATTATAAGGTAATGGGAAAACAGATTATTTATAGTTTTCCACTCACTACTTCATTTGTGAATGCGTGTTTTTGTTCTATTCAGGGACAGTACATCTTGACACTTTCAGAGGAGATTGTGGATGGACATGAAAAAGCCATGCAGAAGAGACATCTACGTATAGACCCTAAATGCCTTCACTTCACGCCCAAGGACTGGAGCAAAAGGGGGAAATGGTAGAAATCAGCCTGGCTCTGCTCATGGGAACTACAGCTGCTGGCAAACCCATTTTAAGAACTTTTCAAAATTCTAACAAAAGACGTTTATGTCATAAACGGTATACAAACTGCGGAATTGAAGTACACACTGGTTAGTAACACGGAGGAGAAGCTGCAACTACTGTGCGTCCAACTGTCTTTCTATGTCGTTTATGTTGTGTCAAGTTCATATGTACGAAAATTTTTTTTAGTGGGATAAGGAACAATGGCCCCCATATACAATTGATATGTTTATTTGTTTACAGCGTTGGACATTTGTTGGTGAAAAGTGAAATAGAAAGCACCAAGTTTCCCATGCTTGTTTTTAAAATAAATGCTATAATATATAGCACTCCAAATTTAGCTGTGGCTGTGTGTGAGTACCTTTTTATTCAGAGTAATGTTATTATATGTAAGTGGCACTCTAGGCAAGTAAAAACGTTAAGAACCAATATCTACAGTATGTGGCTAAATTTAAGGTGATCAAAATAAGTTTTAGATGGTGTATGTTTGGAGTGGTATTTTTGTATAGGAAAATTAACTAAAATGTTAAATTGTCATTGCTATTTCACGTCACCCTTTGGTCAGTGCCTCGATTTCCTACTTAATAGTCGTGCCCTTACATTAAACACAAGTTATCTACCTAAAATACTGAATTTGTATTTATGTTCTTTTTTCTATTTTTTACATGAAACGTGTTAATCTGTGCAATGAGACAAATCAACATATCATCTTGTTTCTGTAAATGTACAAATGAAAATCTGATTGTAAAAAAAACGAGGGCCATGTTGAACTGTTACAGGAATGTAAATTATGTAAACAGTACAGTTTTTACTCTAATCGCACAATATATGGTTACTAGACGCAGTGATTTATTTCCTTGACATTAAGTGTTTTATGTTTACATGTTTCAAAAGATATTGAAATTAATATATCTCTAAGTGGAACACAGTCAACCATTCTTTGAATTTTATATGGACGCATTGAACAGTTCATTTAAATATAAAGAATAAACGTGTTGCTTTTTACGTTTTTAAATTCTAATTGTCATCTTTTTGAACTCTTAATGGCTGCCTTTATTTGCAATCCTCTGCTGTACATTTTCTTCTGTTTTTATTATAGATTGGTCTATGCCTATAGATTGTATATCACTAGGTCCCAGCCATAGACCCTCTATGCCTGCGGTGGGCAAACCCTGGCCTGTGTGCCAAATGCGGCCCACATTTCTATCAATCCAATCCACTTTATTTTTTTAGCACATTATATAAAAACAAGTTTCCAAAGTGCCCTGAGCCCTCCTCAGTTTATATAATTATAGAATAAAAACTACAAAATCCATCTGCGCTGCGTGCTGAACTCTGGCGCTGCAGGGCCACTCCTTGTGCGGCTCTTTTTGCCCATCCCTGCTCTGGGGTGCTCAGGATGGGGAGCTCGCATGAGAGTTCACACCATACATGTGTCAGAAAACTTTAAAGACATACTGTATTTACAACATGAGAAACACTACACAAGAACATCTCGTGGCAGATGTATGTGTGTTTTTATAAGTAATGGTTTAATCATAATCCAAGCCTAAGTATTTATTTTCTGCCAACAATGTGAAAAAAGACTACATGGTCATTACTTATTCACGTATCACATCCATCATGAACTAAATGTGATATTCTGGATCGTAACAGCCACATAAATGCAAGCTGGCCTTATGGTTGCTGAACAATTCGATCTTAGTTTGATAAAGTGTGGGCATCCCTGCTCTATCGCTGCTCTATCCCTGCTCTATCCCTGCTCTATCCCTGCCCTATCCCTGCTCTATCCCTGCTCTATCCATGCTCTATCCATGCTCTATCCATGCTCTATCCATGCTCTATCCCTGCTCTATCCCTGCCCTATCCCTGCTCTATCCCTGCTCTATCCATGCTCTATCCATGCTCTATCCCTGCTCTATCCATGCTCTATCCATGCTCTATCCCTGCTCTATCCATGCTCTATCCATGCTCTATCCCTGCTCTATTCCTGCTCTATCCCTGCCCTATCCCTGCTCTATCCATGCTCTATTCCTGCTCTATCCCTGCTCTATCCCTGCTCTATTTATGCTCTATGCCAGCCATTCCCAAACTCAGTAACACCGAGGCCCCCTTAAAAATCTGAAGGGCCTGCGTGGCCCCCCAAAATAATAACCAAGAAGACAACATTAAGAATAGGCTCTTCTGGTTATTTTATTTTGGGGAAATAGCCTCTGCTACAAACATTGTAATACAAAAATGATTACAGTGGATTATTCAAGTCAAATAATGAACACAAATATTTTAATATTACAAACAAAACATTATAAATTTAACATTAAATAATTATATATATATATATATATATATATTTTATGACCTCCCGCGGCCCCCCTGCAGTACCCTCGCGGCCCACCAGGGGGCCGCGGACCCCACTTTGGGAGACACTGCTCTATGCTATGCTGTAGAGTACCATGTTGCACGCGACGCGAGGAGGCGCTATCGACATCCTGATTTTCCTCCAATTTAGTACAACCATGATCCATGCAACGCTTACGATGTTTTTTTTTATTTAGGTCAACTCCATCTTGGAAACTGCAGGTGTTTTTTTTCTTTAAAGAAAGCAACTTTATTGATCGTAGGTCAAGTAGCAGCATAAGGTATGTACATCTATGGTACATCTACGATCAAGTGAAATGTTTGTACGTGTCTTATGTTTGTTTTTACCAAGTCAAAATTCATGTAATCAAACGTTTCAGATTAGATATTGTAAAAGGACATTATTCATCTATATAGGATTACCGTGTTTTATAACTTTGTCTTCTTGACCGGGGAACCTCACATATGCCGCAAAATGTAGCCTTATAGAGAAATGCCAAAGTAGAGTTGCTAAAACTTTGGAGTTGATCTAAAATCTATCCATAAGGGAAAGTATTTGTTAAATTCAATTTAAAAAAAAATCATTGTTACCGTAACCTCAAACTAATAAGGGATCCTAACCTAAAAGGTTTAACCTTTTGGAAATATTTATACCATTTTTTTCCGGTGTGTTCTACCACAAGGTGTCACTGCAGTTCAGGCCAGCTGCTGTGTAGAGGACCTGTCATAATAATGCTTAAGATTTTAAGAATTATCACAAACTCTAATGTGTATAACATAATATGATATAAACCGCCTCAAAAATACTATAATGAGTCAACTTTACAAACTTCAGAAGCGTCTCTCTGTTGTTTATAATATACACCCAGTTCTGTTTGCGTTATGATGTTGTTGATGGGTCTGCCTCTCTTGACTGTTTGACAACTATCAACCACCACTGTTTTTATTTTCTCTTATCTGCAGCAGACACTCTTCTTGTCTCCACCCCTGAAACCCCCGCCCTGCCCCGCTCCGAGCCTGACCAGAGCCTCTGACCTGCTAACCCATGGTGAGAGAGGGCCATACTTCATTCAGCCATTACCACCACTGCAAGACAGTGGCCGCTGATGTGGAGAAAACCCCGTAACACATCACCCTGGACTCCGTAATGCTCACAGGTAAAACTAATAATGCTGCAGTGCCTGAGGGGTGAAGTCCAGCTGGGTTTTGTAATGGCCCCTGTGCGGCTGTGTCATTGTTTGGAGGCAGGTTGATTGTTTGTTGTTGGGTGGACCCTCACGTACCTCGTTTGGGGAGCACACACTGATCTTCAACAAATAAACAGTGTCTCCAGCAGGCGCACACTTTCACCTCTGCCCTCCAGCCTTTATCTCCCCGCTCCAGAAATGTCAGTGGCACATTGTGAATCACTCATTCAATACATTGTAATCACAATCGTGGCTCAATAATTGACAAAACCAATTATTGTCTAATTTCTAAAAATGGATATATTCAGGCAATTGTTCTACGGGCCCAAGGTTAAACAAATTGGTTTTTTTAGATTGATGGCAATTTAACTTATTTGGAAAAAAAATTGCGACTAAACTTCACTGTCTCACTTAAAGCTATGGTGCCTAGCTTTCAAATATGATCAATGTAATACAATCCCTCAGACTAGTTCCTCGCTCTCAAAACAGTTTGGTTCAATAACTTTTTTCATGTGCATGTATTATTGGCCTCTGTCACCTCTTTTTCAGAAAGAAAGTTGAAATATTACCAATCAGCTCTCAGCAATAAGCGTCAAAGAAGGACTTTCTTACAATTATGCAAACTATAACACGTTCTCTAATAAGATGTCAGGTCTAAGTCTGATTTGTCAAGAATCTGTATGTTGGAACAAACAAAATGTGTTATTATGAAGAAAAGACCAGTTGGTAGGCCAGCTTTAATGGTATACTAGGACTAAAAATAAAAACAGTAGTGGTTGATAGTTGTCAAACAGTCAAGAGAGTGCAGAGCCACAACATTGTGACATAAACAGAATGATCTCAGTGTTTATTATACACAACATAAGGAAGCCTCTTATGTATGACTAAAATCCCTTTGTGACTGAGTTGAACTGTAGACAGTACATTTTAAATTTAAATCCTTAGATGAAAATCCATATATTGTGGCCTGTTTGTACATTCGGCATCTTATCCAAACAACAGATTTTGGATGATGCGATTTTCACATTTCTACCACGGAGAGCTGCCTTGACTTGCTGCTGTTCATCGCTGCCTCTTTGACAAGGCGATGAGGAGGGATTTGTGTGACAGAGAGAGCGAGAGAGAGAAAGAGGAGGAGGAAGGAGAAAGGGGGGCCGGCCTTGGGGTGATGTGAATGGAATCGAATCAGCGCAAGAGGGGAGGAAGCCCAGCACAAATCAACCTGCCTCTTGACTCAACAACAGACTGACACAGCGAGGCACCGGCTCGGATCTGCAAAAGCGCGTGCCCCTGCTTCCTTTTGAGCCACTATTGTTTTCTCTTTAGGAGGAACCACAGCCTGCAGGAACTGGGTAGAAACTCACACTGGAGATAGATAGCAGAAAAATGCTGTCATGGGGAGAACTGGGGAGGGAGCTGACAATGAGGAACAGGATGGATCGCGGTGGGGTCGCCAGGAGCTGAAATGTGGAGGTAAGTCTATTATTTCCTTTATGCTTTTTGTTGTGAGAAGAGAGAGGCCGTTAAAACCAGTCCTGTGTCCCTTTGCTCTCTTTTTCTGTTGGTAATGAATATAGATGGACAGGCCGGTAAGCGCATACCTCTGCATATGCCCCATACACAGACACAATGTGAGAGCTTTCATATAATCCTCTAGCCTGTGCTTTCCCTGTCTTCATGCCCATTATGTAGCATCTAGCACATTTGAATCTGTTAGCAGGATGCCCAGTGTCACGTTAAACTGTGGTACACACATATGCTTGGATATTATAGCATCCTGCCACCCCCCTCTCCCCCAACCTTTGTCGCATTTCAGATCCCCCATCACCTCCTCCTCCCCTAACTCTCACCCCCCACATCTTTTCTGTCTTTCTCCATTGTGCCGCGTCCCCATAGCAAGAGGCATAAGCAACGTTATGACATGCTAGAGAAGCCGCATGACTGGGAGGGGGTCAAGGTGGCAGCATGCGCGGATGCTAGTATGCAGAGATGAGATGAGTGCGGACGAGGAAAAAAAGCACTGACTGAGAGACATAAGGCAGCAAGATTGTCATTGTAATAAAAAAGCAATTTAATGTGCTGGTGGAGGCCTAGTGGGTAAAGAGGATTGTATGGGCTGCTGTACCGAGACAAAATTGGACATTATAACTGAAGTGAGGTTTTGAAGGTGCCACCGAAAACACACATGTATGAGAGTGATCTGTGAACATGAGTAAAGCATCCTTCCCCCGATTTGCAGAAATTGTAACATCTTAACCCCCCAAATCCAGAGCTCTGTGACAATTAGCAGTGGTTATATGTGTATTGTGCTTAAGACCTTTGAGTTTATTCAAGCATACGTACAATATTGATTACACTGGGGTTGGCATTAGGAGTATTTTCTTCGAACAGTAAAATACTCTGCAGAGAGAAGAGTGCTTGTGTCCTGGTGGCTGTTGAGTAAAGTGACAGAGATAGGGTGATGTCATCTGGGTTGATTCGAGATGTCGGCTGGAAGGTGTGTTGAGAGGAATCGCACCTAGTTTTAACTCCGCCTGCTCTGTGCTCTTTATAGGAAATGAAGAATAGGCTTGTCAGGCGCTCACCTCTTGAGAAGAACTCGCTGACATAATGGTGCTAACCGTATGCAGCCTATTTCTCCAACACTACAAAGTCAAATCCGTTCTGTCATCAGTGGATTGCGTCTTGAATTAATGAACAAAATCAGTCTGGTTATTAGCAGTGATGGTTCTTCCTATAAGCATCTTTTTGCCTGTAAAATAGTTGTATTATTGACCAATTTATAGCACTGTTCCCTTAAATGCACTTGGTCATTGCCGTAAAATTTAAAATGTTTGAATTAATTTCAAGGCTCCCTGAAGTCAAACCTCCGGCAAATTAGTAATTCACAGTCTGTGCTCACGGTCTGTGTAAAGCACTCACTTAGTAACACAGAGTTCCTATTGGGTAATAAAATACAATCTCATATGTCACATGTGTTGAGATGTGAACAAAGGAACAACTGATATGTTAATTCATACACCACACTATGGAGACAACTCTTCTGATTTTGTCTGTTTTTACTATTATTATAATTGTCCTCTTTCTTTATTCAATAGACATCCTTACAGTTATCTAATGTTCATGTTAGACAGTGCATAATACAATGCCTCCAAAGACCATGCACAATACTGCTCTCTTGTACACGATTGTACAAGGTTAAAGCAGTATGAGATGATGATATTTGTCGTGGTGAAGTCTATTGAGCGTATTGAAGGTTAGCCCTGAGCCCTCCTGGCGACACAGTGGTCTCATATACAGTAGGTGTCCTGTCCTCTAAGAGCTTCCTGTGGGACGGTCCCATCTGCAGAGGTAGATTTCAGATCAATCAGCTTCTTCTGCAGCAAACTTGAGCCTGGAGTCAGGATGGCTCAAGGATACCCATCCACTATGTGGTTTGTGTGGTAAAGCGATCGCTGCTTATACAATCAAAGGCTTCTGCAGTCTCCTAAAGCGTCGATAGTTTTGTGTTGTTAGCAGAAGCACCAAACTATCTGTGAAGAAGAATCTAATGATGATTCACAGCAATGTACAATAAAAGGTGAGCAGGTCCTGCACTGTAAAGAATTTCCTTATAGAAAAACGGTAAAAAGCTGCAAATATGGTTCTATGGATTTACCGTTTTCTCAGCATGGCATTACCGTAGCAAATTTTAACGGTTAAAGACTGTTTGACTGAATCACATTATGCCTTTGTGATTTCAGGATTTAACTGTATGTTCCTGTTCATTCACTTACAACAAAAACAGCATTTTAATGTTAATTTTGTGTTATTACACCATATGACTGTTTCTATATTCTAATTAGTTTCATTGACAAAACACTATCAAGTTTAATTTTGTTTTCCTTTAATGAACACAACTTTCCAATTATTTTTTGACATCTTCAGTTTATACAAGAAAATAGATGAAATCTTTACTTCTATAACATGCTTAACGCAAAAGCATCATTCTAACAAAAGCAGGAGTGTACTCCTCTTACACTCATGGTTGCTTGCTAGCAAAAATTTGACATTATAATTGTAATAAAACGCCACTGGATGTTTTTTAACCAATTTATTATTCAATTTGCATGTTTGAATTGCTTTTCAAAATAGCATTTGTTTAATGTTGAAATTTCATTGTAATTTTACAGAAATTTGTTACAGTGTGGCAGATCCTCTAAATCTATGTATACCTTTATTTATGGTTTGTCTGCTGGATTTGCGGGTGATGCAGTCATTCCCAAAAGATGTTTACAGGCCTCAGGTTTAACAAATATCTGACAAGAGTCAACAAGAGTCATTAGCCACTGCACTGAGGTGACAGCAGGAGGCACGTGAGTTTGTCACAGGCGATTTAATAAAAGTTGTAGTAATTGAGTAAGCTAACGATTATTACCTTTGTTCGATTAATTAAGATTACATCTAAAAGTACCTATTTACTTTCAATCAATGAATTTTACTTTAAAAAAAAAAAAAAATCCCATATGATTTATGGTTGAAACAGATAAGGAGTTTCTGTGTGGAATAACTTTTTAGTTTTAATTTCAGTGCAGTGCAGGCTCCGTCACAAACATGTGCTCTGTGCGCTTCAGTTCCCAAGAAGTGAAGTCATTACAAATAATAAGCTAAAAATTGAGGCAATGCTATTGTCCTCAAAGCTCAAATACTTTGACTAACTCTAGTCATTGTTTCATCCCTAAACGAGATAAAAGATCAGTGTTTTGTTGCAGTTTGGTCCTGAGCGTCCTGGTGTGAGGACAGAGTTCTGTCCGTGATGATGCTA